ACCCGATTAAGAGACCTGTTTTAAGAGATGACCAGAATATCTTTCAAAGTAATGCTATTTTAATATTTTAAAATTTAGTTTAAATTAATTAAATGCTTACCAAAATTAAATTTATTATCATTTTTATCTAAAATCGGTTAGTAAAAGAGGTAATATTAGTTGAAATTTATTTCCTTCCTTTTTTCGTTTCTGAAAATGATTTTTTCTTATAAGTTTTTAAAGAAAAAATGTTATCAATCAAATTTTTTATTTCATAAAATGTATATTATTTTTATTCATGGTTAAAAAATATATTAGTTACATAAGATCTTTTAAGATATCTTGCATATCTTATGTTTCAAAAAAATATTTAAGTATATATTTTTCAAATTTATTTTCTCTTTTATAACAATGAAAATAATTTAAGAGTTACAATAAAACCACTAAAATAAATTTGAATTTATTTTAAATTTTATTCCTTAGTAGCCTTACATGCACCTTTTGGTTATAAATTTCACATATATTAATTGAAAACTTTAAATTATTCAGGAAATAATGAATACTTATATATATATATATATTATAAAACTTTAAAAGAAAAGGAGTGCTATTTTTTAATAATAAGTAATTAAATGTTTTCAAAATTAAATTGGATTAAAACCTTTAATACGAAGTTTGTGAATAAAAAAAGATGCACAAATATTAATTTAATTTCTTTTGTTTACTTTAAAAAAACGTTTTAAATATAAATGATTTTAGTTAAATAGTTTAGGAAATATTTAATTCACGTATAGGAATAGTAATGAAGACATAATATATTGAGATTTTTCATCTAATAAATTTCCTTAGATAAAAATTATAATATCTATAAAATCTTTTAGATATTTTGAAAATTTAGATTAACGATCAAGATTTAATCTACAAATAAACGATTGCGATAAAATCTTAAATGCATATATATATATATACCATGTAATTTAGAGGAAAATTTTTTAAAAGGAATATTAACCATTTTATTTAACTTTTTTTACATATATGATGATAAGAAGTAGGACTAAATAACCTTCGAATGCATACCACGTTTTTTGGGTTTATTGGGGAGGATGTTGTTGATCTTCGTAGTTTTCCAAAAGAACTCAAAATCTCAAGCTACTACATCAAAAAAATAGATTACAATTAGTTGTTTTAAAGAAAATAAACACAAAAAGTAAAATATTATGAGTAAACATTGATTAAAAACGATATGAAAGCATGTGGTGTGAAAATTTGTATTAGTTCATGCTTTGTTTTGTGAGATATATATTTTGTCTCGCTTTTGAAATGAATATAAACTAAGAAAACATGGAATGGTTTATATAGGCTGTAAAAATGGGGTAGTTAATATTTTAGAATATTTGATTTGAGATTTAGTTTTGAAAAGAAATAACTTTATTCAATCTCAATCACTAAATTATCGTGATTTTATTGTTAAATATTAAATGATAATTATTTCATTTTGAAACTATAGTGTAAATTCATTGTGTACTTCAGCTTTAATAGTATAGATGCATATATAGACAAATTTGTAAAAATTTATCCTCTAATTCCAGTTATCCCTTTTTTTTTTTAAAGTTTTTAACTAAAACCGTATTCAAGTATTTTTTTTACTAATATAGAGTTTAATAGTTTGTAAATTCTTGTGTATCGTACTTTCCTACAAAAACCACATTATAATTTTATTTCGGATTACCAAGTGGTATTGTTCATTAAGTTTTCTTCGAATCCTCCATTGTTGGTACATAATAAAAAAGAGAAAGGCCACTGAATGTACTAATCACAATCACATGTAAGAACTACTTTTCTTTTGTTAAGTAATTTCCAATCAAAATCAACAGCTATCCTTTTTTTCTTAACTCCATTAACGTTCATGAAAGCATGCTTGGTGGCATCTCAAATCTTTTTCCATGGAAGTAGAAATGTTTAAACCAAACTTTCCTTTTATTTGTTTTAAAAAGTATCCCGAAATCATCCAAAGTTTTTCCTTAATTTCTCACCAAATCACTAAAGAACCAAACAATTCCACCAAATATCTTAAAAACTCAGTTAAATCTCTTAAAATCTGAAATTCCCAAAATTCCACAAAATGTTGAATCCAATACATCCTGTCAAGGTCAAGACAGTGAGTTACCGTTTTGAGGCCTACTTAAGAAAACCCGGTTCCATTTCATTCGACTACTACCGTAACCAACGTCACCAAATTCATAATCCAAGTGATAAGATACATAGCATCAAACACTAAACTCCATAAGTGTAACTCACAACTTTCCGCTTACATTCAGATAAACTAGAGAGCCTAATTTCAATATGTCTTCATCTTCACAAGCTCCCGCCTCAATTTATAAGGGTCTGCAATTTAGATAATACTCAAAATTAAATAAAACCATCTAGGCAATTCACTTTCTCTCGTCACATCATTTTTCCTCTCTTCAAATCACTTGCAGAAAATAAAGCAAATATAAATTACCTATGTAAGTTTAGATGTGGGGGTGGGACTTGGCCGGCAGAGTATGGGAAAGGGAGGTTTACGATGTGCAGCGTACCTCATCACCTTGGCTTGATACTCTACAAGAGGCCCATTCTCATACTCCCGAGCCATAAACGTTATATAAACCTTCAAATGAGGTCCCCCACTTATATTACCTCGCACAATACTCACCAATTCCACACACTTTCCCTATCAAACATTATATGTTATAGCAGTGGGATCCATATATACATATATATTTCGATTCAAAATCACATTACGCCCATCATTCAGACTCGTCACTGACCTTGTCCTCGTTGAGTTTCTTAACGCACACGGAAGCCAGCTCTGTCAGCTCCTCATTAATAGTCCTGTTTTTACCCGCTGGTTCGTCCAGATTACCAAAATTGTGGATTCCGTTTGCGAAATCTGGTATAAACCCCTGGGAAAAGCAACAGAAAGAATCATTTCATCATCTTCTTTTGTTGTAATCTGAGGCAAAATCGTTGTTGTAAAATGATACAAAGAAACAAAAAAAAAACAAACACATTTACCTTACTCTCCCATTTCTGGCGCTGGTCAAGACGGTATTCATTATACTCGTCTTCGTCTGAGAAATACTTACGATCTTCGGGATCTGATTGGTATTCGCGACCGTCGTAGCTGTCCACATCCCACTCCGGTTCCTCATCTGGCACGTCTTTCAACCTCATACCTCCCACATAGATTTTATAACCGTCGTCTTCCTGGTCTTCCTCTTCAAGTTTGGGTTTTGTCGTGACTGGAGGGGCAGATTCCTCCTCCGCCTTCGAATCTCGTTTCGCCGTCTGAACATCCATCGATTGGAGATCCATTATCGGAAATGCGAAACCCTAGTAAATAGATAATTTGGGAATTCCTGATTCCCAAAATTCATGGCTCGTGGTTAAATGCCATCACCTTATTACTTTTGGGCCTTGTTAATAAGACGGATGTTAACGAGTATTTGGGCTACGATGCGAATTCAAGTTTAAAAGAATAAGTCTCGTGACTTGTAAAATATGTATGTACAAGACAAATTTAAGGTTCGATGACAAAAAAAAAAAAAAAAAAAAAAAAAAAAAAAAAAAAAAAATATTAAGGTTCAGCAGATTTGTAATGAGTATTAATTACGGCAACAAAGTCTACCATTAACCAAATTCAATAAAGCGTGTAATGTATATAGTATCGCATAAAGACCCTTATGAAACACTCTTACCCTTCCATCCTAATATGTCGTTCCAAACACTCTTTAACATTTTTTGTGCGTGTACATATTGGCTTGGTACTCAACAAGAGGCCCATGACGATACTCCCCTTATTATTAGCTTCTCCCCTTTTAGTAAAGCTCTCACAACATTTACCATTTTCAGTGTTGTTCCCTGTGAAAAAAATATATGTATAAAATACCAAAAGAACCCAAACACGAAATTCATTTTCTTCTTTTTTACATATATATATTCATTTGTTGATTAAGTGTTCTTTATCTATGAAATATAACCTAGTTTGATATAGTTTCACTACATTATATTGCTTTGACTTAATCGAGATGATAATGAATTTGAAAATATTAGAAATTCAAAACAAGAGAATCTTCCAAAACTACATACGGTCTTCAGAAAATTAAAACAACTACAAAGTTGTTCCCACTGAGCAAAATGTATGTCTTAATTAATTAGTGATAGATAAGGGGTTTAGGAGATGGTCTGCAGAGAATGGGAAAGGGAGGTCGAGATCGTCCAGCGAAATCCATGGCCTTAGCCTGGTACTCAATGAGAGGCCCATTTGGATACTCCCGAGCCATAAATGTTATATACATCTTCCATCTAGATCCTGCAGTCAAAGTGGCTCTCACAATACTTACAAATTCCACAGTTATTCCCTGAGAAAGCAAGAAAGAGACATTGATCAGTCTAATTATTAGAGTTGAATATTCTGAAAACAAAGCTTTTCTTCTAATTGAAATAGTGAGTGCTGACCTTATAGTCGTTGAGTTTCTTAACGCACAAGGAAGCAAGATCCGTCAAGTACTCCCTATTGGTCATGTTTCTACAACCTGGTCCATCCAGATCGTGAACATTGCCGATGAAATTGAGTGGATCTGGTAAAAACCCCTAAACACACACACAAAAATAGACTTTTTAAATTAATAAAAATTGAAGGTGAAACAGAGAGTCAGAGACTTTGGTATATATCATATAGTTTTGTAAGGAAGAAAGAATGCAGTACCCGATTCTTCAAAGCCTGGATCGAGTATTCGCGGTAATCCATGTAAGCATTCTCGCTAGCAAAGCTGCCACGGATCTCAGGATCTGATTCGTATTCGCGGCCATCAAAGCTGTCCACATCCCACTCCGGTTCCGGTTCTACTGGGTCTTCTAGCCCTATGTATTTCCCATACGGCACTCTTCCATCGCCTACTTCGCCTTCAAATACCCCATCGTCTTCGCTCTCGGTTTCGCTTTCAATGTATTCGTCGTCTTCCTCGTCGAACTTCTGCTTTTTCATCGGCGAAACTTTAGGCTTGTTATCGTCCGACGCTGAAGCTCGTTTCGCCGTCACATCGCAGCTTATCATGGTAGTCATCGTCCTCGCAACAACGTACAAACCCTAGATATGGTCCCTTTGTGAGATTTGGGAATTGCCCCAACTAGACGACGATACGAGTACCAAGATTAATGATGCTCGTTTGCTGTGTATTTACAGATATGCCCATTCAGTAGCATTTTCGAAAGAAAATATGGGCCATGTATTATATGGTTCAAACCCATCTCGAAACGCAAATAACTTAACGACTATTCCGGCCCGTTTATTTACGGAGCGTATCAAACTCAAACTAACCAATGGTTTCTGATGGTCTAGCTTGAATATGGAAGGAAGCATTTTTTTATTTATTCAATAGACTTACTTTTTCTCTATTGAAATTTTTTTATTCACAAGTTTTTTACTGCTATTTAATAAATTTAATAACTCTGTTGATGGAGATATGGTCCAAAACTCACCGAGAGTCGGTTCGGTTACAGAGATTTAAGTTGGTAATGATGAACATGATAGAGAAAAAGATAGAAGATAATTTGTGTTCTTGTTTATTATTTGATTTCCCAATATATTCATAAGTTTTGATAAAATCATGTTTTGACATACCAACCCAAAATAGACTACATTTTTTTAAATATTATTCATAATTCGCTTTACTATATAACCGTGAATTTAACAAATTTAGACGTAAAATACCCGTAATTTACATAGTTTGATACATCATATGGTGTATCGAAATAAATTATTGATATTAAATTTGATTTAATCAATATTTGAATAGTATATTTTGTTAATAAGTTTTTGTATTAAAAAAAAATTGATTTAGTCATCTAATTTAGAACCCGTAATTCACTAAGGGGGTGGTATTGGTTTGTGACTTATAAAGAATTTAGATGACTTTAATAAAATCATAGATTGCATGTAAATGAAATCATCTAAAAGATTGTTATAGAGTTTTTTTAGTAATCTTGCTGACTTGATTTCTATAATCTTGTAAAGTCTTTCCAACAATCTCTCTATTTTGATAATACTTTCCATGACTTTAATTTATAAAGAAAAGGGTTTAAAATCATAAACCAATAACACAATAATTTAATTTATTAACAATCAAAGATTCTTTTGTTTTAATTGAATAACTCAAAATTTCTAATGACTTTATATAATTCTGAATCCAATAACCCCATATTTGTTAAGATTTGAAATGAGTTTTTAAAAATCAGTAACCAATAACACCAAACTTTAAAAGAGTTTAATAAAATCCTGATAGAATAACAACTGATTTTACATAACATTTGAAGTCTTTAAAACTCTCTATAAATCACTAACCAATAACACCCCCTAAAAGTGAATAACTTTTACATATAATTTGAAATCAAATTTTATGTAAGATTTGGTATTACAAAATATTTGGTTTAAAACTTAAATAGTGATGTGTCATATTTTGACCCGTTACAAAACTATCAATGATTTCAATATATGTTCTGATCCGTTGCAAAATTATCAATTATTGTATATATTTATAATATTTGAACATTTTAAAAGTTCTAATATTTATAATATATGAACCTTTTAAAAGTTTCAATATTTATTATATTTTATACATTTTAAAATTTTAACATTAATATTTTGAAACTTTTAAAAAGATTTAATTTGCTTGGATTATACCAAAAATCCGTTGGAGAAGTATTTAATTTACATACAAACTCAATTAAATATCCGATTTTAAAGTATCCAATTATGTTTTTTGGATTAAATTTTGAAAATTGACTCTATTCAAAACTCAAATGTACTTCTCTATCACTACGTGGAAGATTAATATATTATAAATTCTTGGGTATTAGACTTTCCTACAAAAAAAGCGCATTATCATATATATTTTTCTTTGGATTACCAAGTGGAATAGTTCATACGTTATCTTCGAATCCTCCATTGTTGGTACATAATGAAAAAAGAGAAAGGCCACTGAATGTACTAATCACCATCACATGTGAGCACTACTCTTCTTTTGTTAAGTTGTTTCCAATCAAAATCAACATCTATCTTCTTCTTCTTTTTTTAACTCCATTAACCTTCATGAAAGCATGATTGGTGGCATCTCACATCTTCTTCCATGGAAGGAGAAATGTTAAACCTAACATTCCTTTTATTTGTTTTTAAAAGTATCCCAAAATCATCCAAAGTTTCTCCTTTAAATCTCACCAAATCACAATGTAGTTTTTCCCTTTTAAAATATATAAAAAAAAACTAACAATTCCACCAAATATCTTAAAAACTCAATTAAATCTCTCAAAATATGAAATTCCCAAAATTCCACAAAATCATCCAAAATGTTGAATCCAATAAACACCCTCAAAGTCAAAACGGTGAGTTACCGTTTCTAGAGGCCTACTTAGAAAAAAAACCGGTTCCATTTCATTCGACTACTACTGTAACCAAAGTCACCAAATTCATAATCCAAATGATAAGATACATAGCATCAAACACTAAACTCTATAATTGTAACTCACAACTTTCCGCTTACATTCAGATAAACTAGATCGAGAGCCTAACTTGAATATGTCTTCATGCTTCACAAGCTCCCGCCTCAATTTATAAGGGTCTGTAAATAACAGATAACCATCTAGGGAATTCAATTTTCTCGCATCACATCATTTTTCCTCTCTTCAAATCACTTGCACAAAATAAAGCAAATAAATATTACCTATGTAAGTTTAGATGTGGGTTTAGGGCTTGGTCGGCAGAGTATGGGAGAGGGAGGTTTACGATGTGCAGCGTACCTCATCACCTTGGCTTGATACTCTACAAGAGGCCCATTCTCATACTCCCGAGCCATAAACGTTATATAAACCTTCAAATGAGGTCCCCCACTTATATTACCTCGCACAATACTCACCAATTCCACACACTTTCCCTATCAAACATTATATGTTATAGCAGTGGGATCCATATATACATATATATTTCGATTCAAAATCACATTACGACCATTATTCAGACTCGTCACTGACCTTTTCCTCGTTGAATTTCTTAACGCACACGGAAGCCAGCTCTGTCAGCTCATCATTAATAGTCCTGTTTTTACCCGCTGGTTCGTCCAGATTACCAAAATTGTGGATTCCGTTTGCGAAATCTGGTATAAACCCCTGGGAAAAGCAACACAAAGAATCATTTCATCATCTTCTTTTGTTGTAATCTAATGCAAAATCGTTGTTGTAAAATGATACAAAGAAACAAAAAAAAAACAAACACATTTACCTTACTCTCCAATTTCTCGCGCTTGTCAAGACGGTATTCATTGTACTCGTCTTCGTCTGAGAAATACTTACGATCTTCGGGATCTGATTGGTATTCGCGACCGTCGTAGCTGTCCACATCCCACTCCGGTTCCTCATCTGGCACGTCTTTCAACCTCATACCTCCCACATAGATTTTATAACCGTCGTCTTCCTCTTCAAGTTTGGGTTTTTTCGTGACTGGAGGGGCAGATTCCTCCTCCGCCTTCGAATCTCGTTTCGCCGTCTGAACATCCATTGATTGGGGATCCATTATCGGAATTCCTGATACCCAAACTTCATGGCTCGTGGTTAAATGCCATCACCTTTTTACTTTTGGGCCTTGTTAATAAGACGGATATTAACGAGTATTTGGGCTACGAATTCAAGTATAGAAGAAATAAGTCTCGTGACTTGTTAGATATATTTAAGGTTCAGCAGATTTGTAATGAGTATTAATTATGGCAACAAAGTCTACCATTAACCAAATTCAATATAGCGTGTATATATAGTATCGCATAAAGACCCTTACGAAACACTCTTTCTATGTTAATATATGTCGTTCCAATTTCCAAACACTCTTTAACATTTTTTGTGCATGTACATATTGGCTTGGTACTCAACAAGAGGCCCATTACGATACTCCTGAGGTTTCTCTTTCAGTTTCAGTTTCAGTTTCAGTTTCGGTTTCAATGTTTCCGTCGTCTTCCTTGTCCTCGTCCGACGCTGAAGCTCGTTTCGCCGTCACATCGCAGCTTATCATGGTAGTCATCGTCCTCGCAGAGCAACGAACAAAACCTAGAAATGTCCCTGAACGTGATTTTGGAGAATTCTCCAACTAGAAGATACGGATGCCAAAAACATTAATGATATGTGCCATTCAGTAGCAACTTGGAAAGTATATATGGGCCGTGGATTATATATAACCAAATGTTATTAGAAAAATGCTCATTTTATATGCGAAACACGTGAAGACGAGAAAGGTTATTAATTTATTTTGGGTAGGGTTTAGACGAATATTCGTTTTTTGGCCCTAGGTTTAGACTGCTCTTGTGAACTTTTTTTTTTTTTTAATTTCTTTGTGTGTTTAACAAGAACTAAAGTTGTGTGCAAACTAATAATTTCAAATTAATATTCTTTTTTTTTACAACACATCATAGTACAAACTACGTATTCTCTTCATTTTGTCTTAAACCATCGGTTCATTTGCTGACGAGAAAGACAAAAAAAAAAAAAAAAAAAAAGACCCATGGTTTCTCGCTGACCCTAAGAAAGTAAAATATAATTTCTCAGTCTCTGCTAGCTTGTCGTCAACATACCACACTGCAATTTAGTCAGAAACATTAATAGTTATAAATTTGAAATACATGTCTACCTTACAATTTTGGCAGAAACAGACAGACAACAAAAATTCCCCTATAGGCTATATCCCATGACGAAATAGACACAATGAACAAGAAGAAGACCAACAGAAGAACTAGATTTCTAGTTTAGGACTTGGTCTGCAGAGAATTGGGAAAGGAAGTAGCTCGGGTTCCGTTATAAAATGTAACACCTTGGCTTGGTACTCAACAAGAGGCCCATCAGGATACTCCCGAGCCATGAACGTGATGTACAGCTTCCATTTAGCTTGTCCACTTACAGTAACCCTCACAACATTCACCAATTCCAAAGTCTTTATCTGTGTACAAAATATATATATAAGATCCAAATGATCCAACACACGAAAGTCATATTCAACTTCTTCTTTTTTAAGTAATTAATCATTCTACATGTACTAACCTTTGAGTCGTTGAATTTCTTAATACACACATTAGCAAGATCTGCAATTAAATCCCTCTCACCGTTCTGCTTATCTATATGAAGGTTGTAGATTCCGCTTAGAGGATCAGGAAGAAAACCCTATATTACAAAATCATATTTTTGTTAAAACAAAGCAAATTAGTCTGAAAAAAATTCTATTGTTGCAAGTACCAAACTAAAAAAGGAACGAGAGCAGTACTAAGACAAGAAGAGGTTGACTTAAAACCAATGATTAAACAAGAAACAATATAATGATATATATATGTATACCTTACTCTCGAAAGCCTTAAGCCTGCTGTTGTAGTATTTGTCATAAAGTTCCTGGCTGGAACACATTTTACGAATCCTGGGGTTGATTTTGAATTCGCGACCATCAAAGCTATCGACATCCCACTCTGGTTCTCTTTCCGAAACGTAGCTGTACTGAGCCCACTCGCTGTCGCTGCCTACATCGCTATCGCCATCGCTATCGCTGCTATCGTCGTCTTCATCCTCCTCCTCCTCGACATTTTGCTTTTTGATGCGAGAACAAGAGTCAGCGTCCTCTTCTAACTCCCATAAATCCTTCGTTAAACCTCGTTTCGTCATCGATTCATCGCTAAGTACGGTAGCCATTTTTGAGAAACGAAGAAACCCTAGAACTAGAAGAGATCAATTCCGATTTGGGATTACAGATTCAACTAAACTGATATGTCATCACAACAAGTATTTGCAGTTATACCCTCACCTTACATTAAAATTGTTGTACTTGGGCTCCGGCCCATTAATAAAAGACCTTCTTTTATGCGTCCCACTATAGACCCAACAGTTTTGTAAGCATATCTTTAGCCGCAATGGAAATGCATTCCCATCTTTTGTTTCGACGAACATGTATGTGCAAAGCTTTGTTTTCTAACTTTTTATTCAGCCGCAATTCGTTAGGTTGTTGGAAAGTCTCGCCGACCAATATAAAATGGCGAAACGTGAAACAAAAGCAAAATAAATCGAATGAAAGGAAGATCATTAGTGGCAGATGTCGTAGATGATATGGCAAAGAGTTCATTATAATACTATGTGATAGACGCAGTGGGAGTTATACTAGCAAACGTTCAGCACAACTTCAACGGATGCATGCATCATATATGGTCTTTGCGAGCCAATCTTCAAGTCTTCAACTAAAGAGAGAAGAGGATATTAACCAAATTTATGTATAAACGTATCATCTCATCAAATTTGAGTATTGTGCCCCCCAACAAAATCAGCACAGTTTTTCACTTTGTAATAATATATAGACTTTACATGATACGTCACACACTTGACTCCACCAAATAGTAACTTGTAGCTTAATCCACCGAGACCACATGATACATAGACAAATCTATTGTTACGGTTTAAAAAACCAATGAAATTGAAGGATATATTCTTAGTCAAGTAAGTGATTTAACTTCAGCTGTACGTAGTTATTATATATACACAGACCAGGAATAAATAGTAGTTAGCTTACTCGTGAAAGCCTCGAGCCTGTCGCTGTAGTATTGGTCATAATTAAAGTTCCTGATTGGGGTACATCTTACGAACCCTGGCATTGATTTAAATTCGTGACCATCGCTATCGCCTATGGACATTCCACTCCGGAGCCCACTCACAAAATAAACGAAGAAACCCTAACTATAACAAAATTCAATTTGGGGATTCCTTATTCCAACAAACTCATAGCCACTTTTTTATTCGACTTATTGATGTAAACTTGTACCGTTTGGATTATTACAAAATTTAATCTTTTTCGACTCGATCAATAAGGATTTCATTGGGTTCAGTTTGTTTTCTCATCTCTAGTATCGTACTTTTTTACAATAAATAAATAAATAATAATAAGAATATACACTACAATGATTACTATTTTTTGAAGAAAAAAAATTACATGTTACGAAACAAGTTTTAGTTAATAATAATAATACCCTTTGCTGGCTTGGCTTGTCGTCAACCTAACACACTGCAATTTAGTTTACGTACGTACCTTACAATTTTGGCAGAAACATGGCTATGATCAGAAGAATAATATAATACCCTTGATACATATAGAACTAGATTTTTAGTTTAGGACTTGGTCTGCAGAGAATTGGGAAAGGAAGAAGCTCCGGTTCCGTTATAAAATGTAACACCTTGGCTTGGTACTCAACAAGAGGCCCATCAGGATACTCCCGAGCCATGAACGTTATGTACAACTTCCATTTAGCTAATCCACTTACATTAACCCTCACAACATTTACCAATTCCAAAGTCTTTTCCTGTGTATAAAAAAATTATAAAATCCAAATGACCCAAAATTCTTCTTCTGAAAAAAATAATAAGTAAATCTTTCAACAAACTAACCTTTGACTCGTTGAAATTCTTAATACACACATTAGCGAGATCTGCAATTAAATCCATCTCACCGTTCTGCTTCTCTATATGAAGGTTGTATATTCCGCTCAGAGGATCAGGAAGAAAACCCTATATTACAACATCATTTTTTTGTTAAATCAACGTAAAATTAGTCTGAACAAATCTATTGTTGCAAGAAAAAAAGAAAAAAAAAACGAGAGCAGTACTAAGCGAAGAGGTTGACTTGAATAGATAATACCACGCACCAATGATTAAACAAAAAACAATATAATGATATATATACCTTACTCTCGAAAGCCTTAAGCCTGTTGTTGTAGTATTTGTCATAAAGTTCCTGGTTGGGATACATCTTACGAATTCTGGGGTTGATTTTGAATTCGCGACCATCAAAGCTATCGACATCCCACTCTGGTTCTCTTTCCGAAACGTAGCTATACTGAGCCCACTCGCTGTCGCTGCCGACATCGCTATCGCTATCGCTCTCGCTGTCGCTGCTATCGTCGTCTTCCTCCTCTTCCTCGACATTTTGCTTTTTGATGCGAGAACAAGAGTCGCCGTCCTCTTCTAACGCCCATACATCCTTCTTCAAACCTCGTTTCGTCATCGATTCATCGCTAAGTACGGTAGTCATTTTTGAGAAACGAAGAAACCCTAGAAGACACAATTCCGAGATTCCACCAAACTGTAAAATAATAATTTCACAAGAAGTCACAAGTACATATGGTATTTGGCCAATTTAACAAAAGACCTTCTTTATTGTCCAAAAAAAAAAAAAACCTTCTTTTATGCGGCCCGCTAAGAGCAACTCAATCGGTTTGAGACCGTATGGGTTAGCTAACTATACTAATTTGTATCAACGATACGTCGATACCCAAAGTTTTGTTTTACAATTTTTTCCCCCTAAATTAATGAAAAGATGAGAACCATAGTAAGCAGAGTAATTAAGGCTCCGGTAAGAAAAGATGATTCAAGGTGGGTTAAAAGTGCACTCTTTGCAATAAAATAAGCCATATACTATATAGAATTGGCTAAACGTGAAACATACGCAAAATAAATCGAATACTGAAAGGAAGATCCTCTGCGTGGCAACTGGCAAGGTGGGTTAAAAGTGTGACTTCATGGTAATATATGACTACTCATGAGGAGTTTGAACAAGCTAACGTTCAGCACAACTTCAACCCATCATAGTCTTTGCGAGCCAATCTTCAACTAAAGAGACAAGAGAATTTAACCAAATTAATTTGATCAAGAATCAAGTATATATATAAACGTATATCATCTCAATCTTAGTACTGTGTGTCCCCCAAACAAAATCAGCACAGTGTTTCACTTTGTAAAAGATTGACTTATACATATCTAAGGTTTAGAAAAAAAGGATTAGTCCATGAAGGACCTCATGATACGTCAATACACACTTGATCCCACCAAACAGTGACTTGTAGATTAATTTACATATGAAAACTATACCGTGAATGCATCTTAGTATTCGTGTCAAGGGCTTTTCCCAGAAGATTAGTATATTATATACTAATCAATTTTACCTTTACCACGTACTGTTGCATGTAAGGTTAGGTGGTGGTTTAGGGCTTGGTCGGCAGAGTATGGGAGAGGGAGGTTTATAATGTCCAATATACCTCATCACCTTGGCTTGATACTCTACAAGAGGCCCATTCTCATACTCCCGAGCCATTAACGTTATATAAACCTTCCAATGAGCTCCCCCACTTACAGTAAGTCGCACAAAACTCACCAATTCCACAAAATTTCCTTCCAGACTTTTATGTTGTGAGAGTATCTGAACTATGTGGGTGCTCTTTACGTCTCTACTACTGTTACGTAAGTCCATAACTATGAACTATCTAAACAAAATATGAATATATTTCTTTGTCTCCTTGATCAAACAAATTAGATATATACTTTAGCCTGTGTTGAAGCGCATATTAGCATAACCTATATCACACCATCCCGTAGTGGCTATCTAGCATGCGGGTCAGTTTTATGGACGTTACTTCAAAAATCTCATTTTAAAGAAAAAGAAAAAAAAAACAACAACAAGTTTCTCATTTATTCATCCAAATCTTGTTATTATAGCAAGCTTTTTGAAAGTTTTTTGACTTAACAACAAAACTTTGCCTCTACAAGTTATTATTTTCTATCCAAGAAAACACAGCCAAATGAGACCTAGCTAGGTTACTAAAATTAGGAGAACCACCAAATTATATGCATCACACCAATGTATACTTATCTTCACTAGCCAAGCTGCAATTTGTAGAGAAAACAAATAACCAAATCGAAACAAAAATAAAGAGTAAAGAATCACGAGTAAAACAGAGATAACATCAAAATTTAATTTGTCAGTGGTTTAGGGGCTGGTCTGCAGAGAATGGGAAAGGGAGGTCGAGATTGTCCAGCGAAGTTCATGGCCTTAGCCTGATACTCAACGAGAGGACCATTCGGGTACTCTCTAGCCATAAACGTTATGTACAGATTCCAACGAGGTCCTCCACCATTTGTAGTGGCTCTCACAATACTAACAAATTCCACAGTGTTTCCCTAAAAAAGGGAGAAAAAAGACAATGATAAATCTTATTATTGGTGCTGAATATTCTGAAAACAAAGCTTTTTCTAATTGAAATGATGAGTGCTGACCTTATAGTCGTTAAGTTTCTTAACGCACAAGGAAGCAAGATCCGCCAAGTACTCCCTATAAGTCATGTTACTAAAAGCCGGTTCATCAAGATCCTGAATTGCGCCGATGAAATTGAACGGATCTGGTAAAAACCCCTACAAAAATTGAAGGTGAAACAGAGACTTGGTATATTTCATATAGTTTTTGTAAGGAAGAAAAAATGCAGTACCGGATTCTTCAAAGCCTGGATCCTGTATTCGCGGTATTCCAAGTAAGCATTCTCGTTAGCAAAGCTGCCACGAATCTCAGGATCTGATTCGTATTCGCGGCCATCAAAGCTGTCCACATCCCACTCAGGTTCCGGTTCTACTGTGTCATCTAACCCTATGTATTTCCCATATGGCACTCTTCCATCGCCTACTTCGCCTTCAAATACCCCATCATCTTCGCTCTCGGTTTCGCTTTCTGTTTCAATGTTTCTGTCGTCTCCCTCGTCAACCTTGTGTTTATTCATCGACCAATTAGAGTCAAACTTCTCCTCACCCGCTGTTAATAAGTCCGTCTCTGAAGCTTGTTTCACCGTCACACCGCTGCTTCGTGTGGTAGTAGTAGTCATCGACGTCGGAGAAATTAACAAACCCTAGAATTATTACAAACACATGTTGATATGTTAGTTGTTACGGTCTTAGTGCCATTAATTCCCCATGTCCTAACGTCAGCTTAAATAGACCCGATAACGAAAAGGCCCAATGTATCTTTACGACTTTCTTTTTAAGTGTGTAAACGGGAAAAATGATCAATCGGTTCTCATGGTTCAGCGTGTAGCTGGAGAGAGAGACCAACAAGTACTGATGGAAGTTTTTTTCATTCACAAGACCACTTTTCAACTATATATTGCTTCTCTATATATACTTTTATATATTAGCCTATACCGTTCAATTTTGCTGTCGAGATTATGTTAATCGAAATGCACAACCTTCTCGAATTCTGCAATTCAGGATCCATGTTCGGAAAAACATAGAAACCCTAAAATACGACAATTTTCGAAACTCATATCCCTTGACGTTATCAGTTTTTTACGGCTGTGCCATGCCATGCGATCACTTTTCGTATTTAGGACTTCTCGTAAAAAATGAAATAATGTTTTACGGCAGACAGCCCACCTAAACCAATTCTTATAGTCACTTAATGTTAACAATGTTTGCTTCATCTGTATGCATAGTGACGAAGTTGTCTCTATGTGAAAATGAAAAAAAATGATATTACATGAGAGTCTGAGATCTCATATATAGGTCACCAATATGTATATATTCACTTCCTAGGTCACACATACGCACATTAGGATCTATCATTATCAAACACTAACTTTAATTATATGTAGCTTTATAACATATGAAAACTATAACTTGAATGCATCTTAATTAGCCTTTGCTAGCTATGGTCAACAATGCACACCATCTACAATTCAGGCATAAAGATTAATTGTTTTTATTTTCTTAACTAGGATATTGACAAGATAAACAACAAGAAGACTAGACAGAATACTCATATACCTCCCACTAATATAAGTAGATATAAGATTCTGGTTTAGCACTTGGTCATGAAGAGAATTGGGAAAGGAGGCGTGGTTCCTCGAGGTCCCCTACAGAACGTATCACCGCGGTTACTCAAAAAGAGGCCCATCACAAAACTCTCTAGCCAAACGTGATGTACAACTTCCATTTAGCTGCTTCACTTGCAGTAACACTCACAATATTTACTAGGGGATTGGGTTTAGGGACTGGTCTGCAGAGACTCTCCAGCGAAATTCATGGCCTTAGTCTGATACTCCACGAGAGGCCCATTCGGATACCCCCAAGCTAGAAACGTTATATAATATAGCTTCCTGCTAGATCATCCACTTATAGTCTCTCTCTCTCACATTACTTACAAAATTCTACAACCTTTTATAAGTAAGCAAGTAAACACACAATGATTCAATCTTATTACTAGAGTTATAGATATTCTTCAAAAAATAAAGCTTTTTTCTCTAATTGAATTGCTGAGTACTGACCTTAATTATATCCTCCTTGAGTTTCTATAGAAGCTTTCTACTTCGATCCGCCAACCACTCCCTAGTCATGTTACTAGAAGGTGGTCCATCCAAAAAAATTAGGTTTGTGATATTTTGTACTTGATTTTAACGTGGCCAGTGGTAGGATCACGAGTACGTTCATCGTCTCGAGCATCTTCTCTTAATATAGCTCGTTCCAATTTTTCTTTTCTAAAACCACTCGAAATTATTAATTCATTTAAAACAAAACCCACCAAGATCTTTAATCAAGTACAACCCCCTTTCAAATAGTCATGGACCATCCACCATTTCCCGCCGATAGCTTTATATGTGGCGACAGAGAATTAAAAACACATAGGATGTGTCATTGTCTGTAGTTTTACATACATTCCACGAAATTAATTACACGAACCATAAAACCACCCGTCTCATGCAGTTACACGTCATTCATTTTTCGCATATATAATCATCATCGCATGAGTCATGACATCTCATAACATATAATATGGTGACCAAAGAAATGGTTTCATCACTTAATATCATCGAGGTAGCACGAGTCACCCCTTCGAACTCTGACTCGTCCGAGTCCCTCACTCTCCCACTCACCTTCTTCGACCTTCAATGGTACAAACTCCACACGGTTAAACGAGTCATCTTCTACAGACTCACCCACGCAACTCGCCCTTTCTTCGACTCAGTCATCGTCCCCAAGCTCAAAACCTCTCTCTCCTCATCCCTCTCTCACTATCTCCCACTGGCTGGCAAACTCGTTTGGGAACAAGTTGACCCCAAACCAAACATAGTCTACTCGCCAAATGACGCCGTTTCATTCACCGTCGCCGAGTCAAACGCTGATCTCTCTCGTCTATCCGGCAACACACCGTTCTTCTCCACAGAGCTATACCCGTTAGTCCCCGAGTTACGTGTCTCCGAAGACTCAGCCTCCGCCGTGTCGTTCCAAGTCACGTTATTTCCAAACCAAGGGTTTTGCATTGGCTTAAACGCACACCATGCCGTTTTGGATGGAAAAACGACAACCACGTTTCTCAAATCATGGGCTCACACATGTAAAGAAGAACACACTTCCCTACCACTGGATCTAACCCCAGTTTACGATCGTACGGTCATAAAAAGTCCAACGGATTTGGATAGAGAGGTCTTAAACGTTTGGCACTCGTTAGGCAAAAAATTCTCCGGCGGGAAAGAACCAGAAAATCCCAAAAGTTTAAAGCTTTTGCCGTCGCCGGAGATCGATCCTGACGTCGTTCGATACACTTTCAGTCTCACTCGAGAAGATATCCAGAACCTTAGAGAACGGCTCAAGAGAGAATCCTCTGTTTCCTCGTCATCCAAGCAGCTTCGCTTATCGACGTTTGTGATTGTTTTCTCCTACGCTTGGACGGCTTTAATCAAAGCCAGAGGCGGTGATCTGGATAGACCAGTCGGGTACGGATTTGCGGTGGATTGTCGAAGCCTCATGGATCCACCGGTTCCGTCGACTTATTTTGGCAATTGCATTTCCGCTTGTTTTAAAATACCCACAAAGGCAGAGACGTTTGTGAGGGAACAAGGGTTTTTGGCTGCTGCGAGATTGGTTAGTGACTCGGTCGAGGCATTGGACGAGAGTGTAGCATGGAAGATCCCAGAGCTTTTGGAAGCATTTGCGACTATTCCACCAGGCGCACAACTTCTCTCCGTTTCGGGTTCGACCCGGTTTGGAGTATACCGGTTGGATTTCGGGTGGGGCAGACCGGAGAAAGTGGTGGTTGTGTCAATTGATCAAAGCGACTCGATTTCCCTGGCCGAGAACAGAGATGGAAATGGAGGTGTGGAGGTTGGCTTCTCCCTCAAGAAACATGAAATGGATGCTCTCATTGATTTGCTTCATAACGGCCTAAATGTTTAAATCACTTTTCTTTCTTCACAAGCAAAAAAAAAAAGTAATATAAGAAAACTATATCGATCTTATGTGTGGATAATGGCTATAAGTATGAATAAGGGGAAATTGTAACTTTCAAGTTATTGAAGAAGAAGATGATAAAATGAGGTTTCAGTCCCCAAAACTTCAACCGTAGCAAACTCAGACGGGAGTCGCAACACATACACACCAGTTCACTTATTGGATAAGCTTCTCCGTCTATCTCTATTCTCTATCTTTTTTTGTTTTTTTCGTCAAAAAAAAAAAAAAAATCTCTATTCTCTATCTATCTTTTCTAATTATAATAAATTCTTACGTACGATTCTGTTATAACTCTTCTTCTTCATACAAGATTTGTCATCAACTCTCGAGTAGTGATGTTATGTTATGTTATGTCATTCAGATACTTAATTGGGTACTCAAAGGTTCAGGAAGAAAGCCCTAAAAATATTATTATTTTCAATTAAAAAAAAAACAAAAAAACAAAAACAAAAAAACAAAGAGTTTCCTTACTGGTCGTAGCTTGATCAGAAGAAACCCTCTAGAACAGCTCTAACAACGATTTGGGTATTTCAACAAACCGGGACTTAAAAGAGTAGTTGGAGATTATTACTTTAGCTTAGACACTTGGTTGCTTCTGTCCAATCACAACAACATGTAATGTAAAGAAAATATGAAACACAGATCTTTTTTCCAAATTGAGTTTTTTATTCAAACCAAAAGTGTCAACAAAGGAAACACTTTCGTTTATCTGTCTGATCGGACAACAAGAACAACAACAAGCACATTTTGAGTCAACTCTGCCTCTCTCTCTCTCTCTATTCTGCAGTCTGATTATTACCAGGCAATATCTGCAACGCAGTTCTCTTACTGTCCTTTATAGTAAGATTCTTCAGTATCTCCGTCAGTTGCCTAATGCTCTTATTTTTCAAGTTCTCTTCATCGATCCTGACCTTCTTCTTCTTCTTCTTAGCCTCTTCACCTTTCTTCTCTCCATTCTCATTATTGTTAACATCCACCCTCATCATTATCTCCATGTTGTTCTCTTTGTTCTCGCCATCGACCAGCTTCAGAGCCGAGTTCTTTGATGGAGTTGTTGATTTGCTTGGTCTTGGAAATTGAACTGAGATTGATTCTTCTGCAAATGGAGATAACGGAGTTGTTTTGACTTCAGCCTTTTCAAGAAGAGGAGGAGAATTTGGAGCACTGGCAACAGAGCCTTCTGATTCCGAAAGAGTCATCTCTTCATCGGCAATATCAGATCCCAATACGGCTTGGTTCGAATCAGCTTCAGAGATAGTGCCGTCTGAGTCAACACCACAATTATCTTCCGCCTCAGTTTCTGAATCACCAGCATTCACCATTGTGTCTTCTTCATCGAACTTGTTGATTTTCTCAGGTTCAGCGCCATTCTCCTGAATTGCCTGTTCTGTTTCTTGTGCGTCTACTGAACTGCCCAAAGCTAAAACGTTCTTGAACTCTGCGAAAGCAACACATTTTGATTAAGAAGTGTAAACAAGAAAATGGTAAAGGCCAGTTATTTTTATACTTGTTGCTATACCATTATCATCAGTGTTTGCATGTTCCAAGACAGGAATAGCACCAAAATCAACATCAAGCTCAAGATCTCCAATTCCCTGATCACTGTCATTCTTCTTCTTACACATAGCCTGCAAAGTTTCTTCTTGTTTGTCTACTTTGACTAAGCTATTCTCACATTCTGCGAAAGAGAGCTGCAACATTTAGAAATGCAAACAAGAAAACTAAAGATAAACATTGATTGTATATACATGCTTGCGTTACCTTTTTCATCAGCTCTAACTTCACTCATCTCTTCCTTGTTGACCTCAGTGTTTGCATCCATAGCAGCAATATCAACATATACCTCAAGATCTCCAACTACCTGGTCACTAACATTTTTCAAGTTCTCCCATACTTGTTCCATAGAAACACTTAAATCTCTACCTGGGATAACTTCAGCCTCTGAACCTGCATATTACCACAACATTCATCACATATCAACCAATTTATTTGATTAAGGCACAAGCATAGAAAAAGAGAAAATGCATAGTATCTAACCAGCTGGATTCTTCTCCTGCACAGATATTTTTTGTTCTGTAACTTCATTCTTGGCAGGCTTATCCAAAGTTTCTCCAGTCTTCAAACTCAGATCAGCCATACATTTTTCTAACAGCCTGGTTGATCTCCTAGTGCTATACACCGACTGGACCAAATCATCCTTCTTAGCACAAGAAGTTGGTACTGAAGCTTTCCTTGTGCTTCGTGCTGCAGGCGTTTTGGGCACATTGGCTTCAAACTTGACAGTGCTAGTCTTCGGTTCTTGAGCAACGTTCTTGTTAAGGTTTTCCTGGTCCATTTCTCCGGCAAGAGATTTGCTCGTCGAACGACAAGAACGGGACACCATCAGTGAAGTCGACTGAGGTTCAGCTTTCACTGTAGTCTTTCTTCGAGTTGCTCTAGTAGCAGTATTTGGCGGTTGCTTAGCTACACTAGTTGGAGACTGCACGGATTGACTCATGTATTCATCAAGACCTTCAACCTATTGATCCGACAGTAAAAGAAACAAAGCATTAGTGGTAGGAACTAAACCTCCAAATGCGTTATATGAAACCACAAGCATTGACCAAAATGACTCAAGACCAAACACATGACTCCCAAAATTGATTTCAGAGAAAAATGATATAAACAGCCGATGTAAACGCAATTATATAAACATTTATGAGGATCAATCGCATCCACCATTCTTAGAATAAGACTAAGCATCAACATAGGTTGAAGTTAATCGATGAGCAAGGCAGCCATAACTAGAGCAAAAAACATTGAGATCTAAAAGTCAAAAACATTTCTGGCTCTTGCCTGATGTGACAGATCAAGTCAGAGTAATGGTTGAGGTAAACGATACAATTAAGGCAGCGATCGAACAGAACAATTAAATCTCAAATCGAACAAAAATCATTTCTCGGTCTTGTTCGATCTTCGTCACTAAATGAAACCAAAGCAATCGCGCACGATTTCTATCCGAATGATAGAAATGAATCCCTAAACAACTACAGATTCAGGATCCAAAAACGAAATGGAAGCGAATAGAGGAAGAAGACTTACGATCTCAAGAGCATCGAGAGCATCGGCCATGGCAACATTGGTCATATTAGCTGGGATTTTGTTCCTCTTGCAGAGAAACTGAAGATCTCTTCTGAGAAGGCTGTGGAAATCCATCTCCGGCGCTGAAATCGAGAGAGTTTCTTTTGGGTGTTTTTGTTGGGAGAGGAAAATGAAAATGATAGAGAAAACAAGATGTTTTTTTTGCTATGAAGTGTTAAAGATGTGAGGCTATGGTGTACTTATACCTCACTTCCCATTGAATCGAATCCCCTAAGTGTGGCCGTTGGAGCGGATGTTTTGAATTTTGAAAATTTTAATACTTAATTTGGTTTTATTACAGACCCTCCGGCTTGCTTTGTCCCTTGTATTGTATCTGCCAAAGTAAGAAAGATATATCCTGGAAAAGGACACTGTAATAAGAAAATTACTGTATTTTTAGAGCATTTTAGGCATTTTTTTTTGGGGTCAGTATATGTAAAACATGATTTTTTCGCTCAACGCTTGGTCATCCGCCGTTTGGAGTAGGACACATATTCATGGGCTTCAATACTGTAAAGCCCAGATGAAAGCATAAAATGTGGTTAGGCCATGGACTAGTTTTGTACAAATCTAAAGAAAAGAAGTAATTTTCAAAACAAAAAACAAACAGAAAAAGCAAACCAAAAGCATTAACTCACACTTATACAACAACATGAACACCAGACTACCAGAGGTCCAGAAATTTGTTCTTTCGGACACATAATATAACACGAACAGTTGTACTTCAATCTATTTTAACATTTCGAATTTTTGTTTTTAACGCATATATAGGAAGAACCTCTTTTTCTTTTCTTTTCTTTTTTTTTGCTATGAATGGTGAGTCTTGTCTAAATCCTCGAGACTTGTTGGACGGAACCAAGCTTTCTCCATCATCACTGAGTCCTCTTTACTGCAGCTAGTCTCATCTGTCGTGGAGGACGGGGAAGGTCCAAAGACACCTGTTTGAGGATGAGGAGACCAATATTTGTGAGAGTCGGGATTTATCAAGTCATCAGGCACTTTACTCGATTGCAATTCTTCCTCTACGTTCTTATCATACGCCGATGTGTGATCTTTCCTGTTCAAGAGGAGAACAATTATTTGTTTTAGCGGCTAGATAATGTGATTAATAATATTGGTTTGTTCCACATATACTCAAAAGCAAAGTACTGTTTAAGATAAGTAGTAGGCTAGCTGGGAGCCACATGAACAAAACAAGAAACATGACTAGGTACGTAACCTCACCAGACAAATCTACATCTTCAATCCAGAAATTTAAAAGAGGATACTTATGAAATGAAGAACAATGGATTGAGAGTGAGTTGGAAGAAGAGACATACCGAGAAGCGAGGAGACCCCCAGGTGCCAAGGGGCCTGAACGAACACCGTTGAGCATGTGCTTCCCGATGGCCACAACGCTCTTTGATTTAGCTGCCATCCACTCTGTTCTAGAGAGAAAGAGAAGAGAGAGAGAATGGGAGCTAAACATTTAGTAGTTGTGAGGTTGAGTGTGTACATGTTTTATAATAATTAGCATGGAAGAGATGGGAGGAGACATTATATTAAGAGCACACCATACCATACGATTCATGTGTGCTCCGTTACTTTCTTCTTAAAATCCTCTCAATTACTCAAAAGTCAAATCTAACGTCACCGTTTGGTCTTTCGTTTGACGCCGTTAACTCGGTGAATGTGTCTCAGCCGAGGCATGGACCTCTAACGGGCTTTTCACAACAAATAGGCCCATCTTACAAATTCAAGGGATTATTATGATTACTAACGATTGCTCTTTCTTTGCTTTGAAGGAAGACATAACATGGCCAAGTCAGCAAAATTTGACATACATTTCAACAGTTAATAATAAGTAGAAGATGAATGAATTTCAAACAGTAATCAAAGGCTAGAATTCATGGACTAAAATTCTAGATATACAATTAAATTAAGAAATTTGATAATAATCAATATTTGTGATCCTTGAGGAAGATGAGAAAGAGTGTGTGGACAGAGTGGACCGTGTGCAACACACGAAAATGTTGCGACTACCACGAAAAGGTTATCTCTTGGAGCTTTTGACACATCACACTTAACCAAAAGCTTCTGTAGCATCATCCTTTTACAAAACGCAAACGCATGCAACAAGATCGAAATTAAGAATCAAACAAGCTTCGTCGTTCGATCACGTTAGAAAGAGAGAGAGAGAGATGGCAACTTCAGGTGCGATTTCAGGAGCAACTGTCTCTTCCTTCTTCACCAAAACTGCTTCAACTTCAAACCCATCTCCCAAACTCCATTCCTCTGCTTCTCTCTTTTCCCAGGTCTCTCTTCTTTTCGATCTCTTTAAAAACGAATTTGAAATTCTCAATAAGAAGTGTGTTTCCAATGGAGGGTCGAGTTTGGTTTCTCTTTCTTTCCTCTTGAATGTGATTTGGAGCTAGCTTCGTCTAAAAAGTATGAATCTTTTTGTTTGTTTTGTGTGTTAAGAAATCTGGGTTTCAGGGAGTTTCCTTGGAAGAATCGAAGAAGAGTGTATCAGAAATCTTTGCTGTCTCTGAGAGAAAGATTGGAGGGTTGAATGGGTTGAGAAGATTCGAAATCAAAGCAAGAACAGCAGCTTCCAAGACAATAGAGGTTGAAGTAGACAAGCCTTTGGGTCTGACTCTAGGACAGAAGCAAGGCGGTGGAGTTGTCATCACCGTGAGTTATATTTTATTAACTTATTCATTGGAATGAAGCGGCATTCTTGTAAACATGTTGTTTAATTAATTTCATGGGTTTTTCAGGGTGTGGAAGGAGGTGGGAATGCAGCAAAAGCTGGGCTTAAATCTGGAGATCAAGTTCTGTACACAAGTAGCTTCTTTGGAGATGAGCTTTGGCCTGCAGATAAGCTAGGCTTTACTAAAACCGCAATTCAGGCAAAACCTGATTCTGTCTACTTTGTTGTTAGCAGGTGAGTGTATGTGTTTTCCTCTCTTGGTTTCATTTTGGTGGTGATCTTGCTAGAAATGTGTCTTCTTCTCTTAGAAAAAGGCTAAGATTGAAATGATCAAATTCATAGCAGATAGCTTAAGTGTGTTCTGTTTCCTTTGATTCTTGGAACGAAAAAAACTCAGTGAAAACATAGTATTTATCACATATTTCCGTGGTCTAATGCAGTGGCTGATAAGTCTTCTTGATGTGCCAAGCGTTTCTAATTTTCTTGCTATCATCCTATGTTGTCACCTTAAATTTTCGCAACATTAAGCTTCGTAAATTAGTGCTTGAGGTTTTTTGTGTCATTGTGTTAAGAGGATATATGCTTTGTGTGCGTTTCTTGATTGGTTTCTGTATGATTTTTGATCATACACAGAGGTGCAGAAGTTGATGTCAAGAAACTAAATAAGCGTCCAGCTCCTCCGAGGTTTGGAAGGAAGTTAACTGAGACTCAGAAGGCTAGTAACAATCTATATTGTTCCTAAGTTTAAATTATTGCATCTTAAAACCTCTTATATAGCGTTTTAAAATCATTCTCTTTTGCAGGCTAGAGCTACTCACATTTGTCTTGATTGTGGATTCATATACACTCTATCCAAACCTTTTGATGAACAAGTGAGTGTGAATCTTCTAGTTTCAATTTATATGGTTTGGTTCAGTTGCATTAAGTTTCGTTTATCTCTAGAATTTTGTAAGTAAGTTTTTGACTCTTTCTTGGGGGGTTTTATTTCCAGCCGGATACATACGCATGTCCTCAATGTATAGCACCAAAGAAGAGGTTTGCAAAGTATGACGTGAACACAGGAAAGGCCATAGGAGGAGGATTGCCTCCGATTGGTGTCATTGTTGGCTTATTGGCCGGTCTTGGAGCTGTTGGAGCTTTGCTTGTGTATGGTCTTCAATGATTTTTTTTTGAAATTTTGTAATGTCAATCAAACAAGTCCCTCCTCCTCTTAATCGAGCTTTGTAAACCAAGAAAGAATGTTGATGACATCAACTTGGAAAATCAATCATCAATCATTGTAAAGCATTATCAGTTTTTCTCCAAGGTCACTTGATTTTAATTACATCAAAACTAATCAAATGGTAAATTTACAAAAAAAAAAAAGGGGGGAAAGAGAAGCAGGAGAACCAGAAGGGGAACGAAGCTCCGTTACCAAACCCGAAGACATAAGAAACTCCAGGAGGTTGCAGCGATCGTTCCGGTAACGCTGCAACAGAGAATTCATCTTCGCCTCCCTCCCGTACGAGTCTGGACCCAAAAAAATCGCCTCCGACCTATATCTTAAATCTTTATTTCGAAGAAGAAGAAGATGAAGAAGGGAGCTGCAGAAACATGTATTGAGATTAAGATTTCTCATACTAAATTGCTTCGTAGTTTTAGAGTCTAGTCATGAAGAGTAGTTTTCTTTCTTTGAAATTAATGTTTTAGTTTTCTTTCCTAATAAAATTATCTTTTACTTAGTTTCTTTCTACAGTACGAAAACAAAATTTATTATATTATTATTATTATTTATTTTGTATATAGATAATATAACGATTCTGATGATATTTATAAAACCATTAACGATTCTGATCCTAAACAGTATATATATATATATATATAACTGTCTTTGAAATCACATCAATAACACCATAAATCATCAGAAAGAGTTTTATAATAACCATGACCGATGTAAACAATTTGAGAGATTTCAAAGAAACTTTTCGAAGGTATGATCACTATGTAAACGGAGAAATTTCATGGAAGGAATTTGGTTTTTCAGGTTTACGCAAACGTTCCACTCCTATGATCAAGTCTGAAATCGACAAGATATTTGTAGAGCTTGGAATTCGTGGTGAAGATAGAGTGTTCGGAGCTTCCATGTTTTCTGGTAACCATCCAATTCGTCCATCTATCTTAGTTACACCTAAACTTAAAGATGTAGTTAATGTGAAGCTCCTGCAAAGGGAGGCTGTTGAAAATGTTCGAGATAAAAGTGAAAAGAAAACTCATGAGGATCAACCTCAAATTCCAAAGAAGCCTCTTGAAAACATAGAGATCAATGAAGATTGGGTTGTGATACAAGATGACGATGACAAAGAGTTTGAGTTGTGTTAGGTTTTTGGTTATTGGATTTGTTGGTTTTGACTTTTGATGTTTGATTTTATTTTATTTAGGACTTTTGCATTTTTCTTTTGTTAACCACTTTTGATCATGGAATTTTGTTGTTCATTTTGTTTCTATTAATATTCTTATGATAACAACAGTAAAATTCTGTATTATCTACTAAATGATATAATTAAATAAATTACGAAAATTTTACAAGTTAATATTCTTATGATAATAAAGGTAAAGTTCTATAATTAATTGATGATGATTCGAATACGAAGTTTCGAAAACCAAATTATTGGGCTGAGATTAGGCCCATTAAAACACAGAGGTGTTGTGATACACCACACAAGCGCCACGTGCTTCATCCTCCTTCATCCTCCGTACATGGTTTTCCTCTTTTTGTCCAAAAAATCAACAAAAGCGAAGAAGAGGACCTAGACTTGCTCACTAAGAAAAATAATCAAAATCAAAGCACCAGAAGAACCGATTCAGATCTAAAAGCTCTTGTTCGATCCGTCGATTCTTAGATCCAAATGGCTCTCGAATGGGTTGTGTTAGGGTACGCAGCAGCGGCGGAAGCGATCATGGTGATCCTCTTGACGATGCCTGGACTCGACGCTCTCCGTAAAGGATTGGTTGCTGTGACTCGTAATCTTCTCAAACCGTTTCTCTCGATTATCCCGTTCTGTCTCTTCCTTCTTATGGATATCTACTGGAAGTACGAGACCAGACCTTCCTGCGACGGCGATTCGTGTACCCCGTCGGAGCATCTTCGTCACCAGAAATCAATCATGAAGTCTCAGCGTAACGCGCTTTTGATTGCCTCGGCTCTTGTTTTCTACTGGATTCTCTACTCCGTCACCAATTTGGTTGTCAGGATTGAGCAGCTTAACCAGAGGGTAGAGAGGCTCAAGAACAAGGATTAAGACCCGCTTCTTCGTTTTCAGCTCGTTTACTGTTTGCTGTTATTTTGAGTTCTGTCGATGAGAAGAGTCTTTTTTTTTTTTTACATGTGTCGTTTTTTAGGATTTTGGTGTTATTCAATGTTTGCTATGGAGTTTTAAGGATCTTAATATATCTATCAATCCGTGTTTGATCTCTGTTTTGGTACTCGTTTGGATTTTAATCAGCTCCTAGTCTTCCAAAATGTATGGTGATGATGCGTTGCAATGAAATTTTGATCTTGAAGGTCATTGTTAAGTTGTGTTATGGAATGTAGCTATTAAAAATAAGCTGCTCCATGAATAACTTTGCCAGTTTAAGAATGTTTGAATTGGTTAATCATAATCTCATAATTTGCAGAGGTTATATAATCATAACTTTCATTTTGATCTCTATCAAGTAGCCTTTTTGGGAGTTTTTGTGTTTGTGGACACAAAAGTTGCAGTCTTTATTAGATGAACCCAAATACCCACTTTTTACTGCATAATTTATTGCAAAATTAACACATAACATCAAACATTTATTCAGCCAATAATTCGAGCCACTTTAAAACTACTCGGTGGAAGAAAAAGGAAAAACTCTGATTAAACGGTTCTCTTCTAACAAAAATGAGAAGAAGCCATTTTCTTTTTGGTTCTTCCAAGGGGATATCACAAGAATCAACCTTTTAGACAACTCACTTTGGAAGCATAAAAAGACCCCTGAGCATTTTTGCATGAAGCAAACACCTTGTGTCCTGATGTTGATGAGATCATATTCACATGGTCCATCACAATACCCGCACATCCCAAGTCAGCATCACAGTTCAATGTGATAGCTTGATCGCTCGCAGATGACCCGTGTATTCTAGTGTAGCGCACATCGCTCACTTTCACGCCTTTGCTATTACCGTGCTGAGACCTTGGTTTTGCCAAATGACAGTTTTGATAGCTATTAGATGACTTCCTCTTTCCTCCATTCGTGCCCTTATTGTGATAACTCTGGTCGATGATAATAGGGTTTTCAGAAGCAACCATGTTTATATAATCGAATGAGATTTTCCGAGCATATCCTGATCCGTTCTACCAAAACACTCGCACAAGAAACCATATTTAATTGAGGAACATACTGAAAGAAGACTTTTAAGTATCAGTGATAAACAAAAGAGAGATCAAATGGTCAACCTGGTATGTCTTAATTCTGACACCGTTCTGAGTGTTTGTAAAAGTGCAATTCTTTACTCTAACTTCTTCAACGGTTGCAAAATCTCCATATAGTCCAAGGCTTCCTACGCTATAATATCAATCCGTACTCTATATGGTTTAGTTTTTTTTTACCTTTGTGTGTATATTATATGATGATTGTCTGTGAATCGTAAATATGGAAATCACCTGATGCCATGACCGGGGCCACAGAAAATGCCGGTTATGTTGATACGAGAGGAACCACTATTAATGGCAATGCAGTCATCTCCAGTGGCAATCACTGAGGCATGTATGTTGACTTCTTGACAGTTCGATATGTCAATACCATCGGTGTTGGGACTATTGCCGGGCGCAGTCATCCTTAGACCCGAGACCTCAATGTTCTTTGAACAACTTAGACCTACATGACTCCGAGGACTGTTTAAGTGTCGGAGATTAGAAATCCTAAGACCATTACAGTTGTTGAAGTGCATTGCCTATGAAAACAACAATAACTGATAAACGATGTGATAAATGTTCATATATTTGAGTGTGAGCTAGGTTCTTGAAAATGGACTTACAGAGGGGCGATTATCAACTTTGCCCCACCATAAAGAACCACGACCATCGATAGTGCCACCTCCGGTGAGAACTAGGCCGTTGATACTGTCAAAATTAATCCATGTTGGATACCGTCCCGCATACCAAGTGTAACCCGGTGCCACAAGATTACCTCTTATCTATTATAAATAAAATCACCAAATTAATTAAACATTTGGTTCAAGTTAAGATCAGATAAGCTAAATATCAATTTCTATATTAAAATCATTTTCCACATGAAGCTTGGACTTTCTAAAAATTTGAAACTAAAGAAAGAGTAAAGAAGTTATATATATACCATAAAGGAGATAGAGGAAGACTTGCATGGACCGACGAAGGCAAGAGGCTTCAGCATGAACGTTTTCCCTTGAGGCACAAGAATCTTTGTATTGCCTCTACTTCTTCCTTTACATACAGCTTCCCATGCCTTAAGAAAAGCCTGAATTATACATAACACAAACACTTAATTAGGCAAAGATTAAATATATATACCAATTTGATAGTGTGATAGTTCTGTATATAACCTTAGTATCATCGGTCTTTCCATCGCCAATAGCTCCGAAACTAGTGACAGTTATGAATCCATTGCTTCCAACTCCATTTTTAGCCTTTTGAGCTTCTTCTTCTAAGCAGAAACCTAATTTGTTTATTTGAAACAAACATAGCAAGACGAAGAACAACGAAGTTTTCATCTTTGGACGACTTCCTTGATGATGAGAATACATTTGAAGGAAGGATAGATAATACGTTTCTATATTTATCTAAATGTAATATAGGTTTATATAAAGAAAGGTGGTTAATTGATAGATATTGCGTTTTTTCAATATGGTAAGAGATTATCGCTAATCACTAATTTTGTGTGCTATAAAATGGGAGTTAATCTTGAATTATAATTGAGATATTGGAAATCATTATATCATTATATACGACTAAGGAATACTCTAAATGTTATTGACTTATTTAAAAGATCGTAAACGATATAGTTTACCGATTTGTTTACGATTAAAGTAATAGTTTACTTATATGCTTGATTCTTTCTGTTTTATCTATAACTAATTAACTACCACATGTTTGATTCAGGGAATAAATGAATTATAGATATATAGATTCATCACATAACTCATTAAGAGATACCTTTGATTGATTGAATCATTTATACGACGAATCCGGGGCACCACTAATCTTTGATTTTACAAGAATCTTTAATTATATCATAGATTTAGCCTATCACTAGATTGATTAAACCGAAATGAAAATATCAAAATAAGTAAACCCCAGAATAAAAATTATTTAACATTCGCTCATATATTTATTTTTCTTTCTTTAATTAGATAAATAAATATGAAATGAATATATAAGTCATGGATGGATAATAAAATACGAATGATATCATATACATAAGTCATTCTAATATTTCTTGCTTTTTTTTTTTTGTGTGGACAAGAATATCGCAATTCTACAACCTTTTTGTAATATTGTGCGAAAAATGTGATCCTCTTTCAAATTTAGATTTTTAATTTTCAGCAGAGTAAATGAAGATTACTGTAAAGAAAAACTTAAATGTAGCAACAATTTAATTAATTTGCTCCAAAATACTTAAATAGCATACCTCATTTAGTAGCAAACCGGTCCAGTCCAGTCCGATTTTAACCGAGGTAGTTGATCCAAAAACCAAACCGAGGTAGTTGATTCAGAAACCAAACCGGAAGCAAGTTAAACTTTAAATAAGGAGACAATCCATAATAAAACAAGGAAGTACTGTTGAAAGTAACAACACGCGTGGATCTATTAGCCATTTAGGAGAGTAAAAAACAAAGAGAGGTACTTTGGCCGACTAAAAAAAGTAAGTGCGGTGTTTTTAATGGGTTTGTCACTAACTTTACGTTTTCTTACAAACAAGGAGGAACCCCGAAAAAAAAAACAGGAAACAATAAAATTGGAAAGAAAGATAATTTAAGGGGAAAAAAAAAGGAAGCATCTTTGGAGCTGGAGTGAGAGAATATGGAGAGGAGAAAGGTTGTGATGTGTGGTGTGTTATCTCTACTCGGTTTATTATCAGCTGTTACTGCCTTCGCTGCTGAAATTACTCGAATCAAGGTTTCTTCTTCTTCTTCTTCCCTTTTGGAAACATCACTTGTAGGGTTCTTGTTCTGTTTTGTAGTGAAATCTGTGATGAATTGTCTCATGGTTTTGAGTGGTTTCAATTTCTCTATGGTTGCTGAAACTCTCTAAAGAAGTTGTATTTATTGTGGGTTCTGTCTTCTTTTCTTTGTATCTGCCGATTTTGAAATTCATTTTGCCTGAAATGCGTTTGAGATGAATGCTTCAATCTTTGAGATATGAGTTGAATAATAATTGGTGGGAAACTCGTTGGTTATGGAATTTTTTACTTGTCAATGAAACAGCAATGCCACCCCTTATTGAACTTGTTGATGATTAGCCCAATAGTTTTATTAATGTAAACTGTAAAGACTCTTTGGTATAGATTTGTTTTTTTTTGGGTGTGTCTTGCTGATTGATATATTTTGGTAATTGCATATGTATTCATATAACAAGTCTTATCAATTAGTATTTCTCGTGATACATTTATGGGTTTTGGATTAATATCATTTGTAGAACAAAAGTTATAGCCTTTCTTGATTGAGGTTTTATGTATTGGTCGATTAAGTTTAAAAGTCTTTGATAGAATCAATAAGGAGTTTGTAGGGTGTGTAAGTGAATGTCTGCGCATTACACAAACTAATTAATCAATCATATTCTCTTGAACTAAGGTGTTCGTTAATAATTTCTTGGATATATTTTTTTTGTGTACAATCACTTTTTCCCACCCCCATGGTTTTGTTTTGTACAACGTTTCAGACTTGTCTGATGGTTTTGTTTTTTTCTTACTTTTCTCTTACATTGACGCAGAGATCTCAAGTCAAGGTTACCATTGGAACAGATTCATTAAAAAAATGCACTTATCCAAGAAGTCCAGCTTTCGATCTTGGCTTCACTTCAGCTCTCTTTCTATTGATGGCTCAGATAATAGTCAGTGTCTCAAGCGGTTGTTTCTGTTGTAGAAAAGGTCCTGCTCCTTCGAGGTCTCATTGGATTATCGCCTTAATCTGCTTTGTTGTTTCCTGGTAAGTCTCATCATTTGCTATTTCTTTTTCTTTTTTTTTTTGCAATAAGTTTCCTGCTAACAACTAATGATTTTATAATTACTCTAGGTTCACTTTTGTAATAGCTTTCCTTGTGCTGCTTAGTGGAGCTGCACTCAACGATGAACACACCGAGGAATCAGTGGAAGGTAGTCTTTACTTTTGCTACATTGCCAAACCGGGCGTTTTCTCCATTGGTGCTATACTTTCGCTTGTTACGATTTCCCTTGGGATTGTCTACTATCTATGTTTGAGTTCAAGTAAGCAAGATGTTACTACCACAATGACCCCGGTGAACCAAGGAGCAGGTATAGCAATGGGGCAGCCTCAGATTCCAGAGAGAGTAGAAGATCCTGTCTTTGTTCATGAGGATACTTACATGAGAAGACAGTTCACTTAAAAACAGGCAAGGCGTTGCTTGCGAACCACGTTAGGTTTAGGAGGGCATATAGATAAAAGGATTTGTGTTTGTGATTCTTGTATGATTAAAGACTATGAAAACTTTGTAATGATGATTGGCAAACGTCGGTTGGAAGTGAAAATCCTTGGGGACCCTAAAAAAGACGTCACTTATTGTGAATTGCGTAATCTTTTGTTTTTTCTTCTTCTTCGTTTCTTTCTTATTCATGTGAGTCAACAAAAATAAAAAATGGTTATTGAGAAGTGTTCTTCTGAAACAATCTTACCCTAAATAAGAGATTGTATGGTAAGGTAACATTGTCATATTTTGGAAACCATCTTTCTTATAAATTTTACCCACCGGTCCGACCAAACACGGTTTGGCACGTGCTTTTTGCATAAAATAACAATTTTTATTCGTTTTCAAAATTTATTTTATCCGAATGAACCACAAAAATTGCAAATTTAGAATAGAACTAAAACTATAGTTTTCTTCAAAACCTAGGTTGCATGGAAACTCTTTTCGAAGTGCGTTTCCCGTTTCCGAAACGTTTCGGAAACAGAAACTTTTGGAAACTCGGAAATTCTAACGGAAACACGATTCCAAATTTTTTTTATTTAGAAACACGATAGAAACTCGCGTTTCCATTTTGGAAAGGGAATTTTATGTATTATGCCATTTTGGAAACTCAAACTTGTGGAAGTGCCATTATCAATAATGTCTTTCAAAACATGCCACAAGGAGGGAAATTTGGACGATTTTGCCCTCAACATTGTTGAGTGAGTGTTGAGTGAGTTTTACAAAAATAGGAAGGAAGGAAGACAAAAGAAGCTGACTTTTACGGACATTAATCAATAGACAAGTTTTTTTTGTCGACATTCTTTGATTTTTGTCCACACTCGATTATAGACAATTTATTTTCTATTCATCTAACGTATGTATTATGGACAAGTTCGTTTATGAAAAACTAGATTTACTTTACTCTATACAAGTGTACATCTAGATAGATCTTTGATGGATATCTTCCATAGATGCATCACTTGTTTCATCTTCTACTCAATTATTTGTGGTTTCAAGAGAACTGTAGGATAGACAAGTTTAGTCTACCGATTCGGGTCTATCAGATCTGGTCCATCGGATCTCGTCTGGCGGAACTGGTTTACCGGATCTGGTCCCCATGAATTTGTCCGCTGGACTGTGGTATGCCGGAGTGTGGTCTGGCGGAACTGATTGTGGTCTGCCGGAACTCGTCTGCTGGAGTTATGGTCTGTCGAAACTGGTCCGTCGAATCTGGTCTGCCGAAACTGGTCTACGGAACTGGTTATAGTTCACCGGAATTGGTTATGGTCCGCCGGATCTGGTCCGTCGAAGTTCGTCCGTCGGATCTGGTCCGTCGGTACTGTGTGTTATTGGAATAAGAAAAAAAAAGATGAAGATGAAGAAGAAGAGAGAAGTAATGGGGTAAGTTGGTCTTTTTACAAAGTTCTTGTGGCAGGCGGGAGAAGAGATTTCTTTAAATGGCAATACTTAGAAGTTTTGTTACTGTTCAGGGCATAGCCCACAATTTTCTCTTTTGGAAACCCGATGAAATCTTAAACTTTTAATTTAGGAACTCAATAAACAAAAATTTTGATTTATAATATATAGAGTGATTACTTTTATAACTTTAAAACCTGATTAATTCAATTTAAATACACATATACAATAATATATGATATATTAATATATAAATTTTGGATTTCAATGTTTTAATATTTATCTTTTAGTTAAATTATTTAGTATATATATTTTGATTAACGTGTTATTTCAAATATTTAAAATTAATATAGTTTGGATGTTTGATGTTAATATTATATATATTCCAACACGTTTCCATATCCTAATTTCATAAAAAACTTGTTTCTCGTTTCCGAAACGTTTCGTTTCCGCGTATCCGTTTCCGTTTCCATGCAACATAGTTCAAAACTAATCAAATATATTATACTAAGATTGTAACTTTTAATCGAAATCTTGACACCATATCCATCAAATTAGCCTAATGTGAATTGGTTTGTTATTAATACTATAAAGTTTGTAGAGAAATGTGAATGATATATATATATATATATATCCACCGTTAGTGGAACAACCACCACATGTTCTACCCAACCCGCACAACAACCAGTTCTTACTATCATGAGTCTACTAAAATGCCAACACATCTATATCCCCACTTCTCATTTATAAATAAGATCAACTTACAAGTTCTTTTTATAAAAAAAAACATATCTGTTTTGTTGTCATAGCAATAACAAAGTTATATTGTAAAATGGTTGTGAAACTATACGGGCAGGTAACGGCAGTTTGCCCACAAAGAGTCTTGCTTTGTTTCCTCGAAAAGGGAATCGAATTTGAGATCTTTCATATTGATCTTGATACTTTAGAGCAGAAAAAACCAGAACATCTTCTTCGTCAGGTAAAATGCAAAAAACAGATTGTCCCAAATTAAATAAATTATGTGTTTTTTTTATAACTATAATTGTTTTCTTGTAGCCATTTGGTCAAGTTCCAGCCATAGAAGATGGAGATTTCAAGCTTTTTGGTAACATCCTTATCACTAAACAAAATACAAACATTTAATTTCAAGCTATTTATTCACATTGTGTTTTGAAATTTGGCAAAGAATCACGAGCCATTGCGAGATACTACGCGACCAAGTACGCAGACCAAGGCACGAACCTTTTGGGCAAGTCTCTAGAGCACCGAGCCATCGTGGACCAGTGGGCAGACGTGGAGAACCAATCCTTCAACGCTCTTGCCCACCCCATTGTGCTTAACCTAATCATCAAGCCGAAGTTAGGTGAAAAATGTGACACCGTCTTGGTCGAGGAGCTCAAAGTGAAGCTTGGAGTGGTCTTGGACATATACGAGAACCGCCTTGCTTCGAACCGGTTTCTGGCTGGTGAAGAATTCACTATGGCTGATTTGACGCACATGCCGGCTATGGCGTACTTGATGAGTATAACCGATATCAACCAGATGGTTAAGGCTCGGGAGAGTATCAACCGATGGTGGGAAGAGATTACGGCTAGGCCGGCTTGGAAGAAGCTTATGGAGTTGGCTGGTCGTCACTGAAATATATATAGCTCGAATATATATGCTGGTTGAAACCAAGACCAAATAAGCTTGATATTTTCTGCGTGTCTATTCTGTACGTTTCAATAATAAACTCAATCTACATCGATCTGAAGATTTTAATTCGTCAATTTGATTGTGTTTAGTAGCAAAATTGATGAATCTTAATCATGCATGCATGCATTACTAGACAAATGTCGCATGAGTTTGGTTTGGTTATTCCATAGCTGTATAAAAAATATGATCAATTGAGTCTTGTGAGATCAAGAAGTCATAGGTTTGTAGTCTTTAACTACTGATACTAAGTGACAAGAGTTTAAAATCATGTATTTAAGACACGTAGTATAATAATCTGTTTTAGTGTCGTTGTTCCGTCACACCGAACGCATTTAAACCATATCATCCAAGTTTTGGATAAAGTATATAGAGAACTATAGCACAGTATTACAAGAATTTTATTTTTCAATCATTTTATTTTTTAATGGATTCGTATATTATGTCAATGGTTTAATATGTTATCGTACCATGACACTTTAGACAATTTATTTATAGTATGCTCATGAATCTCTAAGACAAGTTGTCGACTTTTATATATCACATAAAACTATTTCTTCAGCCAAAATCTTTCTATTCACCCAACAGTAAAAGAGAATTAGATAACTAAAATAAAATTTTAAAAAACTACTTTTTTTTACATACAGAAAAAATAATGTAACAATATAAGAATTTGATTCCCGGATTAATATGTATGATATTAGTTAACATGATAAATTCGACCCTAAGTTTTTTCTTAATCACAAAAAGCGCTCTTAGGTTTGTTTCCACTTTAGCTCTCGCCTCTCGCTCATATGGACAGTCTTGAACTTGAAGTCTGTAGTATTGACTTAGCATAAGCCAATGGCAATGCTGCAATTTTCTTGGCTTTCCCCACGTAAGCTCTCTTTGTGAAATTGTTGTAATCATTGGCTTCAATCTCGTCCAATATTCTCCTGTACAACAGCAGCGATGCCCATACCTGAAACATTTTGAAGCCAAGTTTTCAGTGTTAAAACACCAATTGAAAACAAAGTTCTGTGGCAAAAACGGAAACGGTAAACTTGCGGCAGTAAAGACACTTACCGGCCATCTGCTAGCAGCACTGAGCTCGGTGACGCCTTTCTCAGCTTCGTCAAAGAACATTCTTGCTCGCTTAAGCTGCATTTTCATAAAGTTTCTCCATTTGTCAGTGACTTTCCCGGCGAATATGTCTTCATCTGAGAGACCAGCCTGAGCCAATTCGTCTTGAGGTAGATAAACCCTTCCTCTTCTCGCACTGATAGAGACAAAACAAGTTTAGGAGAGAGGTGTGAATCAAGAAACCGGTTTATGTGAAATCAAGAAACCGGTTTATGAGAGATATGTGGATCAAGAAACCGATATGCGAAACCAAAGCTTGAGAATCTAGGAGTGTAGGAAAAAGGACTCACTCTTCGCCTACGTCTCTGAGTATGTTAGTAAGCTGATTGGCTATCCCAAGGGCCAAGGCAGCGTTGTAAACACTTTCCGTAGTCGCTTTCGACTTAGGATCGATCCCCATAACTGGAACACTCATCAAACCAACGGTTCCCGCAACATAGTAGCAGTAAAGGTAGAGATCATCGAAGTTCTTGTACCTCGATTTCTTCAAGTCCATTCTCATTCCTTCGATCATGTCTCTAAATGGCTGTAAGACAAAGAAACATTAGATCAAGATTTTATACGGTTTACCGCAATGGATTGGATGCAATTTCACCTCTGAAATGAAACAGCAAAGTTAGATAAGACAGAGTCGGGCTGACCTGAATGTCAACCGGGTATCTAGCAACGGTATCAGCAAGAGCAGCATCAAGCATATCAAAAGGTTGGCCACGGAAAAGATCTTCTAACCTTGCTTCCCATCTATCTAACGCCATTGGAGTTATATGTGAAGCATTAGGCCCGTCAACGAGTTCATCAGTTCTTCTACACCAAACTGCACAAAGAAAACAGAGTAAAACCATCAAGATTAGACCAATCAAACGTTAAAAATAACAAATTAGTTAATATAGTATCTCAAACTCAAAGGCATGAGCTAACATTGTTCTGCATAGGTAGATTTCTCCAGAGTTTATGCCTATTGGGCCTAGAAAGCCCATTAAAAGCCATATTACTTGGGTCTTAATCCTAAAAGGTTATATGCTAGGTGCTTCAAGGACCTTATCTTAGACAAAGTCTCTCTAACACACAAACTAACTAGAGAAGTTTATGTTTCTACATGTGTGTATGTTTCAGCTTCTTAAAACTTCTTGCAAACCATTGAGATGCAAAAGATTTAGAGTAGGTGATCGAAACTAATATATCGATATGTTTTGGGATTCCAAATAAACTTAATCTCCAGTCAAGTATAAGCATCATTTTGTCCTACAATCAAATTCAATGATGACACAGCAGTAAGTAACTCACCATAGATAGCCCAAATCGCCTTTCTCCTTTCGGGTGTCATAAGCAAAGTCCCTGCAACAGAAGCATTATAACTCAGAAACCAAACAATATATAATTCTCCATCGCACAGAAGCAAAAGAAGAGAGAATAGATCCTAACCGAGATAAAAAGTTTTAGCATATTCAGCGCAAACTTCACCGCATCGATCATAAGCCTCACCAAGCAAACTCAAACTCCCGGGGAGAACAACATCTTGAGGCTTCTTGACATCAAGATCATAAGAAGAAGATCTAAGCTGTTTGTTCACCAAAGCAGCTTGTTTCAAGACAACATTGTAAACCTTCTCTTCAGATGAGAGGGCTATCTCTCCTGAAGGACTTGCAACTAAGCTTGAAGACACAGCACCACTTCTTCTTCTTTGGTTCGTTACAAATGAAGAAGAGGTCCAAGTTGTTGTTGTCTGCTTCCTCCTACCTTTGTCTAGTCTCTGATTCTGACAACGAGAGAAGAGTCTAGAAGATTCTAGAACCCTTACCAACCCACAATTGTTCAGTGGGTCTGGATTTGGAGAAGCCGCAACCCATAACACTGCTACAGAAGAAGACATACTCAAAGTTCCTGAGAGAGTGAGAGAAAGATCTCAACTTTTATTTCTTGACTTCTTGTGTTTTGTTTACTCTGTTTCTTCACTTAGAACTTAGATGAATCAGAATCCCAGCTTTTCAGTGAAACCCAGTATCTGGTTTGGATGGAAACTGGTAAATTTTAAAGCTTTCCTGCAAGCAAACAAAAGGAGTTGATTAGGAATCGAGATCTCTATACAAAGCGGTAGAAAGAAACTCAAATTTCTTCAAGCAAATAATCGATTTTTCAATAACAACGAATAAAGAGAAGATCTTCAACACCAAATGAACAACATATAAAAGAGAAATAAACAAGCAAATCCCCAATTGTTTTGGCTAAATACTCAACTGGGTGGTTCATCTGTAATTTCCACTGGAAAAATCAAAGGAAAAAAACCATAGATTGACGTATCGTTGTGGATTAACAACAGTGTTGAAAGGTATAAGAAATGAGGAAGCAAAAAAAGAGCCCAAAAGTGTCAAAACAGTGAAATCACATGACAGAGTAAGCTTAACCAAACGGGAGAAAACGAGTGATGGAAACAAAAGCCTAACCTTTTCTCTCTCTCTCTCTCTCTAAGAAGAACAGAAGATACTGTGATGATGAGAACGTTTAAAGAAGGAAGAAGATGAGGAGATTATTCAAAACACTAAATAAATCAAAAAGGCGAGAAAAAGGTTTGACCCATTAATGTCAGAAAATTCTCAAAGTAAGTTATATTGCAAGGCTTACTGTAATATAGAACAAGTAGACACACAACACACAACACACAAGACACAACACAAGTAGAGAGATGTCTCTTCCTCTATCGTAATAAAATCTCATCCACTCAAATTTTTCTCTCTTTTTTTTCCCTGGGATTTAGTGAGAAGCCAGAATAAATACAAAAGTCGTTATATTTTTTTCTTTTTGGGCTTATACATATATTTTAATTTAATTTTTGACTAGAGGGGATGGAGAGAGATGCACTCTCGCCTCTCTCGGGTGACTCGTGTCATGTATGAAAACCTTAGGGAATAGTTTTTTTTCTTTTTTTTTTTTTTGCATAATAAAATAGGTAAAAGATCTCATTTAAAAAAAAAAAAACCATATACCTAATTAACCCGTTTTCTTCTTTTAGGCCAAATTCGTATTTAATTTATTAAACAGAAAGAAATCTAAAATGTTAAAGAAACATTTATCTCATTCCATATAAATATGATATATTTTCACCATTTGAGTGACAGGTTGGATATACAGTAGTAATTGTAAATTAAGAGCTATAAATTAATATTTATATATTTCTATCACAAAGATAGTTTAAGCTTGTATTTTAATATAGGTGACTTAAAAGTGGTTTTGGACCATTTAAAATACACAATTTTGAGAAAGAGAAAAAAATAAGTATTCGAAGTTTATGATCTTTCAATACAAAAACAGAAAACTACATCATCAATTTTAACATATATATTAAAAATAGTGATATAGAAATGAGTGACGAAACATACATGTCGTCTAATTAATAAATCGTATTTTGATATACATATTTTATCGGTACTTGGTGAAATATAATATGGTATCCATTTCACATAAGAAAAACAAAACAAAAAAAGTATTTTGGTTTATCCATAAGTGATGGTAGTAGTATTGTGTTAGGAAACGTAAACTATAACAATCTTTTTTAAGTTCACCACTAAAAAAGAAATTGCGTAGGAAACTTGATTGATATCACTGTATTTTATATGGAATTCACATTACCATTGAAAATGTGTTACAACAATAAAAAATTATACTAAAAGTAAGTAATAATTTTGTAATTCTTGTGTTGGTAGAAAGGGACAAATGGGGTTTATGGTAGGGCTATAATGCCAGTTTTGGCAAACCAAAAAAAAAAAAAGAGAGATCAGAGAGATGCCACGTGGAAAACGCAGCCAATGAGAGAGCGATAAGCTTATCATGAAAAGATCCAAAGTGCGGAGGGTAAAGTGGGTCGTAGACGTTGCTTTTCCACGTGTCGTTCTTTTATTGGTACAAAATGTTTAAAGTTAGATTTCCTCTTAGTCGGTATTTGGGTCCCACTTTCTCTCTCTCGTCGCAACTTGGCCTTCTCTCTCTCTCTCTAGTAGAGAAGACTAGAACACCTCTACTGCCTTCAGAGGGTTTGTTTTCTTTATTCTTTTCTTATGAATTTGTTTTTCTGTATTTTTCTTAATTTTGGTATTTTCTTCTGTCCTCTTCTTCTTATTTGTAGACTCGTCTGTATTTTCTCTGTATCTTGTTTTAAATACATTCTCTTGTATCATACATATTTTGTGATAATTTCGGTAAAACTAGCTAGTGTTTTCATACGATTTTTTATTTTACGTTATCAACCACCCTAGTGGTGATACCATGGGATAAGTCTAAGCTTCGAGGTGGATGTTCCAATTTATCAATATGACGATTAAGTAAACTCAAAAGTTCAATGGAGATATAATGAATACAAGTTTCAAATAGCATTTATAGGTTTTTTTATAAGTTGTTTTTAAATTTTAGTAGTTAAAGAAAAAAAGACCAAGACGTTTTTGCTTGAGTAAGTGACTCACTCTCTCACTTTTTGTTATTCACTCAACTTAATTTCGTCGATTTATAAAAGTACATTTTTAATTAGGTTAATCAGCCTCAACAAATGGGTGGATGTAATCATATCTTGGTACTAATTAACGTGTACAATCTAGAAAATCCTAAAAGAGTTAGAGAAAGCAAGTTCTAACTCTGGCTACGTCCTTTAATTTGTCAGCTGTTGCGTTTTTTTGTTCGAGAATAGAAAATGAATGCGGACATCCTTCTTACGTACTTTAAGGCTGCTGCTATGGCTTGATAGAATGGTTGGAGAAGAGCACCCCCGTACATACGTGCTTATGGATTTGGAAAAGAGAGGTAGCTAGAATCACATTTTGAGCATCTGATTCAAGTATGTCATGCTCCAACCTAAGTACCTAACCATAAATATACCTATTTATTTTTCTTTTCAAGATTTCAATCTGTGAACCGCACAAGAAACTTATCTCCTCAATACATAGGCGCGTAGCAAGCATTAGTTTATAAACAATTTATATGTCTAAGTGGCTGAATTTTTATTTTCTTTTAGTGTAGAATTACAAATAATATCATTGTCGCTGGAAATTCACGATAAACATCACTAAGATTCGACACAATTCGTCAAACATCTCACGTACTAAGATTGTTTGGCGAGTGATGGAGACATTGTTGTAAATGGGAAACGTGTACTCGTAAATTGTGTTATCATCTTTCGTGGCCTATAAACTTTTAGTCCGATATTGGACTTTTAGTCGTTTTATATAACAATAAATCATATTATTAAACTAGGTTTTATTATAAAAAGTACCAAGGAAATGGACCGTAGTCACCATTTACATGGCTACATGGCTCGACACGTAGTGTTACTTCATGCTGCAAGTTTTTTTTTCTTGTTCTTTCTCTCTTTATTGCTCCCTCAATAATATTTTAGATTTTAGTTGATATATATATACGAGTTTATAGTTACTAGTTTCTAAAATGGTCTAGAGAAAAGTTGTAATATATAAATATAATAACTCGGTAATGACTACTACGTATATAGTCAGCCACGTAACACTAAATGGGTGTGTCATGGACCCATAGTACACTTGCACTATACACGAATCACATTGTGTGTACATTCTATAATTAAACATAATTTTTTTTTTGTATATCAAATTCTGAAAGATGTAGCTAATTCCCACTAACATATTTACTCGAAAAATAATTGTATTTAACGTAATGATTCGGGGACAAGAACAATAACTATGATTTTGTGAAGTGGTTCGGAAACAAGTCAAAGTAGTAATTTATAATCAATTAGAATTACTATAACTTTTATATAAAAAAATGAAATTAACATAATGATGTTATCTTCTATGAAATGACTTTGCATTATTCCAATTGCTAAACTTCATTATCTTTTTTTTCGAATAGAATGCCATAAACTTCTAAAAAACTTAAAACTATTCGACCATATGCATGTTTTGAACGGCACTCCACTCATCAACCATACGGGTGGTTTGGTATTTAGTGTAATAAATTCCAACACACCACATGTCACATGATACGGTTTGCTAAAGCTACCACGTACGAGTTTCTTTCTAGCCGCGAGAAAATTGAAGATCCTTTCCTCTTATTCTGCATATTCCTTGTACTTTGTTTTAGTCTTCTTTGTCGCGTACTTACTTCTTCTGTCTATCCTACGGTACACACACACACACTCACGTTGGTTTAATGTAACCGGTTCTTGTCCACCCAAAATCATATTAATTACAAAATATTTTGGTGATAAAAAGTGTAATTTTAGAGTATTTTTGTCTCGTTAATCTCTACACGTCAAGTTATTTTTAATCACAATGATCAATATAAACTAAACTCGCATTCGATATATTTATTAAAATTCGTCGAAAAAAAATGTTTATTTAGTGAATAAAAGTATCAATTAGAGGGCGGGCTATGAATTTGTTTCAACATCCTCCACAACTGTCGACATCAAAAATTTGTTTGTGCTTCTTTGGGCCAAATCCATAATGGATCTGAAAAAAGTGATAAACCAGAATATCCCCACTAAGAAGGATCTACCTAATTTGTACCAAACCGGATTTAACCAAATTGACAAGTCCACGGCACGTGAAGAAAACGCGCCACGTTTCAAATGGCTGACTCGGGGTGTTTCCGTAATTTTCGGAATCAGGGTTTTAGGATAGTCGGGAAAACCCAGGAAGAAGACGATCGACATTGGAACTATTGAAGTATGGAGTTAGAACACCAAACCATGGAAACGTTCCTGCGTTGGGCAGCAGATATTGGCATTTCAGACTCCATTGATTCTTCTCGATGTAGCGATTCATGTCTCGGTCATTCCCTCTCCGTCGCCGACTTCCCTCTCGCCGGCGGGTGCGTGGAAATAAAATCGATCTGGTTTCTCTTTATCCGTAAACTTTGGTTTCTCATTGCTTGAATTGATGGAATTAGGAGAGGTTTAAGAGCAGTTCGTGAGCTCAGGAAAGGAGAATTGGTTTTGAAAGTCCCGAGAAACGCGTTGATGACTACAGAATCCATGGTCGCTAATGATCAGAAATTGAACGATGCTGTTAATCTCCATGGATCGCTTTCTTCGACCCAGGTTCTCGTTTTTTTCTCTGACTATTTGAATCTGTTCTGTTTTCGTCTCTGAGAATATCTCAAAACCCACAATGGTTGAAATGTGCAGATACTAAGTGTGTGCCTGTTATATGAAATGAGCAAGGGGAAGAAGTCTTTTTGGTACCCTTACTTGGTGCATTTACCTCGTGACTATGACCTCTTGGCTACATTTGGGGAATTCGAGAAGCAAGCTTTACAAGTTCTGTGTCTACTACACTCTTTTGTGTTTTATTCTGATTTTTGAATAGGTTAGATTTCATGTTTCTAGATTGAGATCTTGCTTTGTTCCTGGTGAATTCATCTCTAAAAGTAGGATTTTCTGATCATGTCCTTAGGTGGAAGATGCTGTTTGGGTTACAGAGAAAGCCACAGCCAAGTGTCAGTCTGAGTGGAAGGAAGCTGGTACGCTGATGAAGGAGTTGGATCTCAAGCCAAAGTTTCAGAGTTTCCAAGCATGGCTCTGGGCTTCTGCAACAGTAAGAATATTTCATCTGTCACATGAAAGTTGTTCAAGAAAACGATGCTAGTTGATTAGAAAGTTTTGTGTAAACTTACAGCTACAATCTCCTCTCGTGTTATAAGATATCTTCAAGGACGCTGCATATACCATGGGATAGTGCTGGTTGTTTGTGTCCTGCGGGGGACTTGTTTAACTACGATGCTCCTGGGGATGATTTGAATTACTCAGAAGGTCCTGAGAGTGCGATTCAGACGTCATCCCCTCAACCTGCTTCAATTACTAATCTCGAGTGTCGGAATAATGAGGAGGAAGCAGGACTCAATGTTGAGATACAGTCTGAAAGGCTCACAGATGGTGGATTCGAGGAAGATGCCAATGCTTATTGTCTATATGCAAGAAGGAATTATCAGCTAGGAGAACAGGTACAAGTTCTTAACTAGCTTTGTTATAGCTAAGAAACTAATGAACCTGAAGCATAAGTAGAGAAGATACTAAAGTCTAAAGGGCGAGGATTGTATTTGTTGGTGTAGGTTCTTCTATGTTATGGGACTTACACAAATCTTGAGCTTCTTGAGCACTATGGGTTTATGTTAGAAGAGAACTCAAATGACAAGGTCTTCATACCTCTAGAAACCAGCCTTTATTCTCTAGCTTCTTCATGGCCTAAAGATTCTTTATACATTCATCAAGACGGTAAGCCATCGTTTGCGCTTGTATCAACGTTGAGACTGTGGCTGGTCCCACAGAGCCAGCGTGACAAGTCGGTAATGCGTCTTGTTTATGCTGGATCTCAGATATCTGTGAAGAATGAGATTCTAGTCATGAAGTGGATGTCAGAGAAATGTGGAAGTGTTTTAAGGAATCTGCCAACTTCTGTCTCAGAGGACAATCTGCTTCTTCATAACATTGACAAGCTCCAAGATCCCAAAATACGTCTGGAGCAGAAAGAAACTGAGGCTTTTGGCAGTGAAATGCGCGCCTTTCTCGATGTGAATCGTTTGTGGGATGTTATTGGATTTAGTGGGAAAGATGTAGAATTCCCCAGGAGAACTAACAGGATGATGAGCAAATGGAGATTATCCGTGCAATGGAGGCTAAGCTACAAGAGAACTCTGGCAGATTGCATCTATTATTGTAATGAAAAAATGAACAACCTCTTAGGTACGCTGAGGTAGGACTAAAGATTTGTAACGTGAATCGAAAATTGATCTTTTCTAAGATATCAATGCTAAAAAAGCGATTTTCTGAGTTATGATCATTGCTTTTACATTCATACAGAAACAGAAAAAAAGAATCACTTGCTAAAATCTACTGTTCTATCTTTCATCAATTGCAAGTATGCATCAAAAATAGTAAGCTGAAGCCAAACAGATGAGGAGATCAGTAAGAATCAGACCAACAACGTCAAATACAAACTTTGGAGCAAACAAACCCCACACCTGCAAAGACCATGAGAGCAATGTTTTAGTCACAGAAACAACACAAGAACCTTTGGCTTGAGTGAATGTTGCTGTGTTTACCATCAGATGTCTTCTCTGGATGGTAACGCAGAGAATTGTAGCTGTGACAGTAGTGGCCGATATAACTCCAAAGAGCATATACATCTGATGAGGATTCAAAATATTATGATTTTTATCACATTGTCACTGAATCTACTAAAATAAACGAAAAATGGATCAGTATGGAGAGATGTCTTACTTGAAACAACTGGTAGCGTTTTTGGCCAAGAGCCTGAGGAGTTTGAGAGCCGATAGGTACGAGGAGAGGAAGTCCAAATACAGAAAGGATGATCGAGAATCCAAATGTTTCGATTGTCAAAAGGATGGCTTGTCGTATAAGTACAAACTCGTCAAACCTGTAAGAAAGATGTAAGCAAAACCATCATAAAGTAAGAAGACTCCATTGTAGTATGAATTTATGGAACATCGACGTACCCGACAAATGCAGCTCCATAACGGAGGCCATCAAAGGCGCACCAATGCCCGCTGGCGAAAAACATGCATATAGAAAGTAGACTCCATTGCATCACACACAAAGGATTTAGTTTTGAGAAGTTGTTCTGTTTATCTGATTGGCTTACTCTCTCTACACCTTCTAGCCTCATTATACAATAGCCTACATAGAAATATAAGCAGAGTTAAACCTTAATGACCTAAATGGCTATCTTTGTTATGAAGCTTTTTGCTTTGAGAATCGTCAAGTGAGAAAAAACAGTACCAGCCAGCAAATATACTAATGCTAGCAGGGATCCTTGCTTCCCCGACAAAAGAATTACTGGCGAGCTACAAGCAGATACAAGAGCGACAGTTCTGGTAGTCCAATTCTTCCCTTCTTCTGCAAAAAACATACGGGCAGAAGCTAAAAGGACGAGCTGCACCAATCCAATTGCATAAACCAATTGAGGGATGCGGTTTCTTCCTCCAGTCGCTTGCAGAAAATCATCCAAACCAAATATCTTGCTCTCTGAAGCCCAGAGCAATGCTATCAAAAAGTAGCTTATCATACTACCAACAGTAACATATTTCCACACCCCCTCATTGGGTGTTTTAGCAATCGCTATGTAGAGCACGCAAATGAGTATAACCACTGATAGAATTGGTGCAATTTCAATCGCATATGTCAGTGCTGGATGGTCTGGAGCTATACCGAGCATCCACGATGGTGAACTACTCATAAACTGAGAAGTTGCAGCTTGTTTTGTTAGCCCAATATCTATAGAAACTCTGAGAACAGAAACCATAGCAAGAAATATAACAGCCTGCAGAAAGGATAATACAAAATCTTATTACCTAGTAACTTTTAAAGTAATAACTAGAAGTAAAAATGACATGTAAGATAATACTGACTTCTTTCCGCATTGTTTTTCTAATAACAGAGTGCCGTAGTTTGATAAGTCCAGTTGTTGCCAGGAGAAAATTTGCAACTTTTCCTTCTTCCACTGTTGACACAATTATTCTCTGTTAGCACAAATAAAAAGAGAGAGAAAAGCTCAGCCTTGAAATAACTTGAAACTTACAAATATAGCTGTTTGAAAGAAAGCTGCAAGCACGAATCGTTATTATAAAGAGAGTGATAGCTGCACTAGTGGATATCCAAGAACCCACTGCATAAGATTTGCCGTCATGGAAAACAACAAGAAACTGAAGGATGAGTGATATAACCAATATCCCAAACCCAGTAATCATTAGATTCAGATTGAACTCTGTCCACTTAGACCGGGCAAGTTCAACAACGCTTGAGAAGAAATTCAGGTATGCTGCAATTTGCTCTTTAAAGGCAGATATATTTGTACTGTCGTCATCTCCATTTCTATCAATCAATATGGGTTTCACAGAATTAGACCAATTCTGTTCCGCTGAAGAATATAGATCTGATATCCTCACCATATCATCAGAAGAGAAACCAACAACAGATGAATTAGAATAAACATCTATATATCTTTTCACCTGCATATAAATGGAATTGGTGTGAGAGTCCAAACACACAAAATCCTTGCTAGATGTCATCTTAAGTTTTCCATCAGAAAGACATGTTACCTGCCAAGCATTCATGCAAAGAACATTGACGTAAGTTTTCATCCACTCTTTAACAGCCGATTGGGTGCCAAAATTGCCCAACTCAGACTTATCCAAGTCCCAGTTGCTGGAACCAAGAGCATAGAGCTCAGGGTTTACATGCCCAATGCTGAAATTTGAAATATGTAATGAAATATTAGAAGGCGTAATAAGCGTGGATGGACATTTCCTGAACAGAATCAGGACACAAAACTTGACAATGATCCTTACAAGGCACCTTCCGAAAGGAGAGGATATCCCAAGCAATGCGGAGAGTGTTGCCGCAAAATCAAGCTGAAATAGCCCAAAACAATTAAATGTGGGAAAGAGGTTTGCATAAAGCAAAAGGAAAGGCATCAAATCAAATTTGATACTGACCTGCTCAATGAAGCTGATGCAAATCTGCTTCCCGTCCTACAATAAGATGAACACAATAGAATCTCAGTAATAAGATATCTCAAAATCAAATTTTAATGATCATCAAGGAAAATGTTTCACAAGTCACAATTACCGAGTCGTGTTTACATGATGAGGTATCAAACTCAGGAGGAACCGAAGTTGTATGCTTCTTTGTACTCATAGCAAACATGGATGTTTCTACCTGTAAAGGGAATTAGATGTAATGGTGGATGAACAATCTTGAAGTAGAGTGGTATAAGAAGAAAACCTATTTCTTACTTCTTCAGCAGTCCCTCCCCCATGATCCCCATTTAATGTCTGCCCATGGTCACCCATTACGATAAGCATAGTATTCTCATGCAAACCACCTGGTCCCGCCTGGCTCTCCAATATACTGATGACTTTCTAGATGAAGCAAGTAGAGGGAAAATGAACCAAGATTACATATAGCATACTAATAACTTTTGCAGCTAAAGACAAACAAGAAATACACAAGTGAAAGTTAATAATATGATGGTTTATTTTTGTTGCCGCCTTTAATAGGGGATTAGAAAGGTATTTAACAGAAGTATACCTCTAAAACTGAATTATATTGCTCCAACTTTTGAATCATTGGGCTGGAATCCACTCCATATATGTGCCCTGCATGGTCCTGCAAATATTAAAATTCACTGAATCAAGATATAAATGCAGGATGACAAAACTAAAAAGACAATAGGTAAGTGACCGCATACCACTCCGAGAAAATGCGCAATAAGAACATCCCAATCATCTTTGTAAAGGGTTGGGAATAGGTGCTCAATGCATCCATTGTCAACCTATAAACCACAGCTAATATCATACATAAAAGGCTATATCTACTAGGTCAAGCTACCTCGGGAACAATATGTATTATAAGAGAACAAAATATTCATGGCTTACAGTATCCAGGTCTTTAACATTGAAAGAGGGGAAAGGATATGACTTTTGAAATTGATTTGGGAACAACTGTGTCCAAGTATCATCACCCATCATCACCAACCGTTTCCCATTTAGCACTAACTGACCATGGAGAGAACCAATTCAAGTTACAATCTCGCAACCAAATAAAAGTGACATTAGAAACAAAACTTAAATTTAGATAAAGCCTAAACCTGATTGATGAAATTATCCTCAACAATAGCAGGTGCACCAAAACTATTCCCAACATCGATAAAAGTAGGCAATCCTCCAGTAGTTAATCCCTGATTTTACATAGCTAAAGAAATCAAAAAGAGTTGAAGCAATCAAATGCAGTCATCAATCAGTGTCTAGAATTAGGACCTTGAGACGTTGCAGACTCGTAGTAGGAGGATCAGCAAAAGCCTTAAAGATCTTAGCAGACGAATCATTAGCAAATGCAAGCTTCTGCAAGATTGTCAATTTATCCATCCATGGCTTTGGTTCTGTCAATTACAGAATAAGTTAACGTTTCATTACTCAAATCAGTAACAAGGGCAATACTTACAGGCACAAAGATCATTCCAACTCACCTGGGAAAAAAGCACTCGGAGCAACAAAATCGATTCTGAAAACAAATTCAAAATTACGAATATGCTTATGGAATCGTAAAATTGAAAAACAAAAACGAATATCATTTTTTGAAAATCTGGAGACCTGAGAGCATCTAAGACGATGATGATGACGCGATCGACAACAGGTGTGGTCCAACATTTGGGGTGAGTATGATTAGAGTGGGTCGAGGCTGAATTGGGGTTGGAATCATGAATTGGGAGTTGGGGAGAAGTAAGGCAAGGAGAGAGAGAAACATCGGAGCAAGCACTATGAAAAGGAAGCTCTGTTCGAGTGAGAAGAAACCCACGCGTGAAGATAAGAATGGCGATGGTATGGATCAGGAGAAAACCAATAGCAATCAACTTCTTGTTTTTCAAACATGTCTCCATCTTCTTCCCCCCCAGGATCAAAAATTCTCCAGTCGTAAATTTCGAGAAGTAGATTTCGCCGTGCAGGCGGCAAAATCAGCTCGTCAAGGTGATTGGGATGTAACCGAAGAAACGACGTCGTTTTGTTTTCACCGAATGGTAAAATGTTAAATTGACGGCTTTTGAGTTCTTTCTTCCTGGTCAGTCTAATGAGTTCGGTTTGGTCTTCTTCTGGCCTCTATGGATTCTAGTTTGAAGTCTGGTCTAAGACTGTTTTTGATTCTTATAAGATTATAGTGAAAGTGAGAAACTGTCCTAGCTGTTTAGTTTATGAATATTTACTATTTAAGGTCATTAAATTAATTAATTTGAGAGTTCAGACAAGTTCGATTCCTCAGTAAGTTGAAATATGCAAGTAACCAATAATTTAGGTCTCCTCAAAATGGTCCAAGTTCATGTCTCAGTTCAAGTATTATACAATAAATCCAGTTCAAATCGACCCCAATCAAATGATTCCAACAATCGAGTAAATCAAAGGTTAAAGAAAAAACGGATCGGATTAGGAGAAAGGATCAGAACATTGGCTTGATTTCCTTCTGTTGAAAAGGAAATTAAAATCGCTCAGTATAATCAGATTCGATCATTTGGGGAAATTGTCATCACCTCCCTTTCTCCATGTTTACAAAAAACACACATAAACTAATCTAGTGTAAACCTATTTATTGTCACTTAATAGCTAAACAAAAAACAAAGTAAAGAGAGAGAAGGATCAGAACATTGGCTTGATTTCCTTGTTGAAGGGAAATTAAATTCGCTTCGTATAATCAGATTCGATCATTTGGGGAAATTGTCATCACTTCCATATCTCTCTTTCACTAATAAGACATCTCAAAAACTTTTTATTCTACTTGTAAAACTATAGTAACCTACAAATAAACAAAAAAAAAGTTAAAGAAGAAGAAAAAGGGATCAGACTATTTGGCTTGACTTTCCTTCTGTTGAAAGGAAATTCTAATCGCTTAGTATAATCAGATTCGATCATTTGGGGAAATTGTCATCACCTCCCTTTCTATCTTCTTCTATTCTTAAAAAACCAATCCATACTCCAAATTTTAGTGAAAAAAAAGACACATTAATGAGCTCAGTGTTGTGTATGAACTAAAACCCTTAAACTAAACAAAGTGAAAACAGATCTTGACTTGTCTAAATATAAGAGAATATAGACAAAATAAGATTTACCCTATTCTGAAGATTCGAGCTGATTTGTATATGAAAACCCCAGAAACAAGGCTTTTATATACAAAGCAAAATCAAAACGAATAACAGAAATAGGGAAAAAGATTTGGCGTCAGCTCATACACAACGAACATTGGGACTTAGAACGGTGGTAATCAGTAATATTGACGCACGACTATAACATTATAAACCACTATAGAGAAGAAACCTAGCACTATAAAAAAAACCCTTTCGAAGAACACAGAAAGACAATATAATAGATAGATCTAAGAGGCGGATGAGAGAGAAGTCGACGGCTTTGTGTTTTTTGGGGTTGTAAGAGGGTTTTAGTCAAAGGTTTATTTATAGCTGCGCTGAGGCTTATGTCGAGAAGCCCTAATGCGGTCTAATATATTTTCTATTGGGTCCTTTTATTTTTGGTGGGCTTTGGTTTACTTAGCAATTGTTTTTTTGACTCATCAGTTTCTTTCTTTATTTTTTCTTAAGAATAATCGATTCTTATAAAAAATAATTAATTGAGAAAATATCACTATCATCAATGTGTAATAACTAATAATTAATCTGTTTGCTAATAATTATATTTATGAAAAAATATTCTTTTAAGCAAAATTTATGAAATAATTTTTAACATCATACAGTGTAGTATATTATTTTCAAAATGAGTTTATAATAAAGATTGATGTCAACAACAACAAAAACAACAAAAATATTTTACAAGAGCATAATGATTGTGAAAGAATGGAGTATAACTAAACAATATATAAGATTGTAAATAAATATCTCCTCCCCAATTATATATAACAATGACAAATGAAATCAACCTATGTAGTATACATGTGTAAAGTATATATAGTATTTTCTCCTCTCTTCTTTTCGAGTATGCAAAAGCAAGAAGTAATTTAAATATAAATAACTCAGAAAATAATGGTAAGACATTTGTAGTAACGTTTTGCAACTAAACTAATCTGCTTCAGTTTCATCTTCGCCACATTTTCAGCCTTCTGGAACCAAGAATCATTGCCTTCATCCATTAACATTGCTCTCTCTTCAGTTCCTTGAACCGGGCTTATGTGAATTTTCAATAACTGTGACGGCACCACTTGATAATACAAAGTCTCCGCCGTCTGTCGCGTGCAAATAAGCATTTTGTGATTCACTACAATCTCTTCTTCAATCATGTCGACTCCTGAAGAATTTAGGGTTATGTTTGAGTTGTCGTGGTCTTCTACGTCGTTCTCGAACGAGAAAAAATCGTCAATCTCTATGTTGTTAATTGTATTGGTCCGAGATCCGCCTATAATAATTATAATTATTTAACGATTAGAGGATATAAGGATAATATACATACGCAACATCTTTATATGGTTTCTATTCTAAAATTATATTTTTAAATATCATACCCACCATAATAATGATCAAGATCTTGATCATTACGTTCGAAACTTGGTAAAATCTCTTCTTCTTCTATAAAACTCTGCGACAATTAAAATAGTTGAGTTTAGAGCACAGCATATACAGATCATAACTAGAGCTAGAAGTCATATAAGTGATTATGATATATGATATTAGTTACCTGATTTAGATTCTCGTTAGACATTGTCATCCATGACGAATTATTTCCAGCATTAAGCAATTGGTCATCGAGATTTCCAATGTGTATTAAATGATCAGCAACGTTGCTGAACTGGTTGGAGTTACTTGGCGCAAAAGTGAAGTCGTCGAAACCGCCGTTTTGGTGCAGTCTATTGGACAAATCGATGGCTTGAACCGGCGAGTTTTCTACTCGTAATGGTGGCAATGACATTTGATGTTGCAACATCTCGCATTCCAGTTCTGTATTCACCTGTAATAGCTACAACATTTTAAGATACATATACAGTTTAATTTGATTCCGTATAATATCTAGAAACGATATATAGAATTAGTTTTTTTTTGGGAAAATCTAGAATTTACTTTAGATCTATTGACTAATTACCTTTGATTGAGTGAGATATGGTCCATAACCTGAAAAGCTTGAAGGCATGTCTTGTGACAAATACTGAGACCAATCATCATGAACACTAATCGAGTTTGCGTTTCCCATTCGCGGTTGGGTATCGGTAACGTTACTATAAGGCAGAACTTGCTGTGTATTTGAACTTATTTCAAGATCTGAAGAAACGTCAAAACTCGAGTTACCACTTAGATTCGAGCTCGTGTGGACGTAAGGTTGCTGCTGCTGATGTTGATCCCTTGGTTTCGCTTCAATCACTATTTTCTTAAACACGCGACAAAGTGCATACGCGTCCTAATAATATAACAAAATCTTATCAGCAAATAGCTAATACTATTACTTTGAAGTAGATGACTAATGATATCGGTATGGTTAGCAAGTAAACCTGCATGCCGAATGCATCAGGCTCGCATTCTGTTTCGTCGAGGCGATATTCATGCATGACCCAACCGGTTCTAATACCGTGAGGGGCGCGTCCACGGTAATAAACTAATGTTTTCTTGGTTCCAATGGCTCGATCTCTCCAGCTCACCCGTCGGTCTTTGCCTGTGGCTTTCCAATAACCGCCTTTTGTTGCCCGGTTCGTTCTTGAACCATTGGGGTACTTTCTGTCCCGTGGGCTGAAGAAGTACCATTCTTGGTCTTTGCTAGGAAGCAATGACTTCCCTGCCAATTATCCACGGGTGAGTTAGTTTGAGACAACAATATTGAATTATACATTATTAGAATTAAAAAAAATATTTTTGGCTAGTCTAAGCCATTGTAAAATAATGAATAACTTTGTTTCTATGATTCATTTGTTTTGTCTATCCTTTTTTAAAATATGTTTATAAACCCTAAAGTATAAAAAGTGGAAACTATAACATAAAAAGCGCGGTGGTCCATTGATAGGTTTGCGAAAAGTATTTGCGGATTTGACCAAAAGGAATCATACGATTGCGTCTGCTCAAATCAATACTACTATAGTACTAAGGCTATCATGTTATACATTAGGCTTTTCTGCATCCACATGTAATTCCAAATTTGCAATCCAAACTGAGCTGCGAAAACAAATATGTTTTTATTGATTTCAAAAATCTTACGTTGCTTTCCAAATCCATTAAAATATTCAAACGAATATATAGATGTACTGGTTTTTTTGGTCAAGGTTAACGTATATTATAGTTATCTTGTCCTTGTGATATTCTTATACTTTTCTTCATTATATCTTTCGAACCTATGTTCAAAATTACCTATTCAGCTCTTAGACCAAAAAGGGTCTCGTACAAATTTTCTTATATATTGAGATTGATTATATTGTAGTTAACGGCAAGTGTATTGATAATTATTACCTGGCAAGTCCCATGGTTCGCACTTGTAGAGGTCTACTTCAGAAATGATCTCTAGCTCGATCTCTCGACCGTTGATCTTTCTCTTGAGATAATAAGTGATTAGTTCTTCGTCTGTTGGATGGAACCTAAAACCTGGAGGCAGTGAGACCGGAGCCATGTATATAATCTTCTTTGTGTTTTGAACGAAATGTATATGGCCTTCAATGTACGATACTATTGAAACCTCTTGATACTTTCAATATGAGATTATAAAAACAACAAACAAACGATCAGTCTTGTTTACGAGATAAACTCTAACAAGACCGATCGTTTTTTCGTTTGTAGAAGAAATAGGTAATTATGATGAGTAACAGAGAAAATGGGAATTATGGTAATGCAAAGATGGCTAGAGAGAAAGAAGAAACTAGAGAAGACAAATGTATTGTATTATTAAGGGTTCCAAGGGTATATATAGGGTCATAAATAAAGAGGAGAAAGACAAAAATTGATATATAAATAATGGCAGGAAAATAAAGTGAAAAGTTGTAACATAAAATTACAAAACAAAAAAATATACCCAATTTGTCTCTGTCTTTTCTCTTCTCTTTTTGTTTTTTTTTTTCTTACACATATTCTGATTCGTAGTGTCGTCTTCTTCAAGATCAACAGATATATAGGTTGTAAGAAGAACTCAAGAAGTTTTTTTTTTTAATTGATTCACAATCGATTGGTACATAGTATATAATTTACAGATAAGCAAATTAATTAGTTTGGTATATGATAATATACAATCTTATTTTTCTAATGTTTTCATGGTGTTGGGATATCAAAAAGTTTGTATAGTTTTTTTTATTTGTTTTTTTATAACAGTGAAGATCTTTAAAGGAAAAAAAAAAAGACATGAGTGAAGAATAATAATTGCATAAACATGTCTTAATCAAAACCGGCCTCAATATATAATCAAAATTGTTTATGTATCAAAAATTTTAAAATTAAAACTAAAATTAGTACCATAATACAAAAAAACAAAACAGTGTTTCTTCATCCAAGTGGTCTCCTCAAATAAAATCTCATTCTTCTCCAAGTATGGTCGGTTTGGAATGTATCGACGTGGCAGAAGATTATTGGCTTCACTGGGGAACGAATCTTGGGTAAACCAATAGAAACTGGTTTAAAATCTTTATATGTTTTTATGTTTTTTTGCGGCGCTTCTAACTGAAATAAAACTGTCTCTTTTGTATCCATCCATCCCCACTTGCGAGAATCCTTTAGTTTCCTTCGCGATTGCTGCCGATCAATATACCATCTCATAACTAATCTTCGAGAATCCTTTCTTTCTTTTTCTTTCCGATAATTTAATAACTAATCTTAAACATATACTAAAAATAATCATGCATGTCTCTTAGATATGTAAAATTCAACTGAATTTTCATGCACGTCTCATATAGAACAATTTGCCTCTTTTCCCACATACAGCCCAGGCGCAATTTGCTTTTTTTTTCATGCAATATAATTATCTCTTTCCAACTTACTTAATCTAGCTCTAACTCGGCATAGGTTCAGGTTGTGTGGTCTTTACATGATAACATAAGTTGACGTATATGGTATTATTGGTTATTAGTTTCAAGGTTGAGTCAGTTATAAAAGTTTGCCGTTTCCATTACGTCGCCAAGATCATCGTCCGTTCCTATGATATTTTCCTTACTATTAGATAACAAGTTACAGCCTAGAAACTATAAGAAACATGCCCAACATGAATGAGAGACAAAAGCTCTCCCGTTCGTGAGCATGTTAACTTGTAGAGACTCGATGAGAGTTATACACATGCATATCGATTGATCATACGTATATGTAATAATTCTGATATTGATATATACATGGATATTTTACACACCATGTATAGAGATGTGATTATGTGAATAAGGTAATTAAAAGGTGAACGAGCTGATCATCATGTGGGTCTGCTTGTAAGCATGTGAAAAAATCCTTGGAGGCATAGATGGGCCAACCCCCCCAAGCATCACTTCGCAGCTTTTCTCATCATCATCATACACTTTTTATGTCATATTATGCAAAAATTCCATATTCTCTAGATCTATCTATCTCTAATTTATATTTGTTTATACGTACGAATATTATTATAAGCATTAGCTAAGCATATAACACATGTATATAACAAATTGTACATACCCTTCTTTACACTTTTCCCTCACATGAATCCTTCTTTTTGTTCTTTGCTTTTTTTTTTTTTTTTTAAATTTCTCTTTCACACAGACACACACATATATATACATGTGTGTATTAGTGTATATATAAAAATCAATGTACTCATCACATACCTAACCTATCTTTTACAAAGAAATGTAACTTGAATTCTCCAAGTTGAGAACATGGATTATTTGAAACTATGTGTTGACCAGAAAAAAGGATTATTTGAAAATATGTAGTTTCAAATAAATCATTTAGGAATTTTGTTTATGCTATAGCTAACTTGGATATTTAAAAGTGATATTGACTCTCTCTAGTGGTCTAGTGCATCTTTTAATTCCTCCCTAAGAAAATGAGCAAACAAAAATACAAAAAGAGAAAGGTACATCTGTAAAATTGATAAAGCTGCGTTAACAAGGAAAAATAACAGAGAATTAAAAATAATAATCTCAATATCATACACTAAATATACAGCTTAGCTATAAAAATACATTAGTGAAGAAGTAACGGGAGTTTACCGGAGACGATGTTTAAACTTGGTTTAACTGGTTCGTATTTTAGCCTCTCTTTTTTTGCCGGTAATCAAACCGGTTAAGACATTCGAGCATTGGTCTCTTTCTACCCGGCGCCGTTGTCACTCGACACTAGTCAAAATCACAAAACCCTCACAAAACCTCGTCCGTTCCCGTCTCCTCCAGAACCAGTACAAACCATGGTCGACGGCGAGGTTGAAATCATTCGCGGTTACGAGCTCCGTCTTCTCCGGTGCACAGTCTCCGTACCACAGTCAGATCTTCCTCCCGAATCCCAATCCGGAACCCATCCACACGACTCTCTTATAAGCTCCCTTCTGTCTTCAATCGAGGCTGGAGACTATCTTGGAGTTCTAGCCTCCGACGCTACTAAGCTAATACTCGGTGATTCCGAGTTCGAACAAGTTGATTCCGCCGAGCTAGTTTACTCCGAGCTTCTCGACAAGGTGGAATCGTTCGTGGTGAATGATTCTTCAGATGAAATCGATAAGGCTCGCCGTGCTGTTCTGGTTATGTGTTTAGCAATTGCATCTGCTTTTTGGTTTACCCAATGCAATTTGACCGGGTAAGTAACCGAGTTTAATTCTTCATAAGATTTCATGAACATGAACTTCCGAGTGTTATTCAAATTTCGGAATTATAGAGAGAGGATTTTTGAACTCTGTTATTTGCAAATTCTCATTGAGACTTTTGTTTTGTTTGTTTTCTTTGAGCTGTCAGGTCGACGGAAGGATCAGCAAAGTGTTCGTTACCGTTTAGAGTATCAGAAAGTAAGGAATTGGGTGAATGGGAGAACTGGGCTAAGATTCAGCTCATGTCTGCAGGTTCTGACTTGCTCGGGAAGTTTTCTAATCTCCAGGTACTGGGTTATTCAAGTTTGTTGCCTTATAAAATTCTTTTTGATTCATCGAGCTGCTTTGTTGTCCCAGTCTTTATATGAGTTTCTGAGAGAGTGTCGTTTTGATGTTTATTAGACATTAATGTTTGAGAGGAATGATCATTTTTATTTTCTTTGCTTGTCTTATAGTAAAATGATCTTGATCTTTCTTGCTCTTTATTCTGCATTATATATGAGTAATCCTGGAAGGGGCTAACCTGTGTATTGTAGGCTTTGCAGCATTCATTTCTGTTTGCTAGTACATGGATTGACTTTTATGTGTGAACATTATATATCTGCAGCTCTCTGAAGTCTGAAGTAGTCATGATCTTTCTTTGTTTTTACTAACTAGTGAACTCTATGTAACCCAAACTACTTTCTTTTCCTGCAGCATTTAGTTTTTGCTAAAATGCTGCTGTTAAAGTTGAAAGATTTGTTGTTTGCGACAACTGCAACTGAAACTTTTGAAGTTCGGAGTATTTCATGGTGGCTTGTTAGAGTTTTACTTATTCATCAAAGAGTTCTACACGAGCTATCTTCATCTTTGTTTGAGTTGTTGCAAGTTTACATGGCCGAAGCTCTAGACCATTTTGGTGCACTGGAAAAAGTTAAAAGCTATTGGACTACCAAGTTGCTAGAAGATGAAGCTTCATCCATCACGTCAACCATCCATCTGGAAGCATGTGTACTGCAATATATATATGGAAGAATTGATCCTTCTCGGTAAGTTACCATTGAGATAATATTGTATTTGCCTACATCTAAGATGTTTATAGTTATTTGTTCTAGGATAGTGGCCAAATTACTTTGGTATCACCTTGTATAGCACATATATATTGCTGTTTCCATTTCTAATAGCCATTACATACCATTTCATGACTTTTTATGTACTCTCCTGCTTTATTATATTGGTCTTGATTCAGAGTAAAATTGTTAGTTTGCAGCTTGAAGCTGCTAAATCAGCAGCAGGGATCGAGTTCTCTGTTTCTGGGGCTCTTGGATTCCGTACTATTCACCAAGTAAGCTATGGGATATATTTTGTTCTGTTATATACACTGGCTTTGGTATTCTAAATTCCTGATCTTGCTATAGGTAGATCCAAAGGCACAGATGGTATTGATAGCCAACACTAGCTCATCAAATGGAGACGTGAGGTTGGCCTCTGAGAAAGCTGATGTTGGGCCTTATGAAGCTTGGGGAGGTGACGCACCTGAAGTATATATGACTCCCAAACTAGTGAACAACGAGAGTGAAGCTGGCAAAGAGTCTGTGCCCTTGAAACCAGTTGAACAGGCATTGATTTTGGCTCAGTGCCTTCTAATTGAAAGGGGTAGTCGGCACGATGAGATGCAAAGTAAGTGAACTCAAATTTAAATGTATTTGCAATGTTTATTTCTTAGTTTTTTTTTTGCTCCATGGAGAGCTTAGGTGGTGGAAAGATAGAGAAGATAAATAGCGATTCTGCCTACAATTAAGTTACTAGGCATCAGTTGTTACTGCAATTCAAAAAGCTTAAAAAAAGCCTTGTTACCGATGTGAAATAACCACAAAGATCGTGAAGGAGAAGATGCATTTATCCGCCCTTACTTCTGTGTCAACTAGTTATGTTGAAATGGAAAACCATGTCCGTTATTTTTATTATATAATTTAATACTTTTTATTTTCTGCAGGATGGGATATGGCTCCATATATTGAGGCAATTGATTTTCAAAAGTCAACATATTTTGTTGTAAGTTTCAGTCTTTCTAGTTAATCTTTCTACATAGTGACTGGTGCTAAATGTTATGTATGGAACTGACTGAATTTTTGCTTCGGACATGGGATTAGCTACGGTGTTTCTGTGACTTATTACGTGTTCGATGGGAATCAACTCGAGGTCGTACAAAGGGACGCGCCCTGGAAATGATGGATAAATTGGTATGTATGGATTTTGTTTTCTTTTTGGATTGTATATCTCTCTGGCTCATACACTCATTTTGTACCGTTATTTCACTCCGTCCTCTATTGTAGCTCTGATAGTTTTCCTTTATCAGGTTGAAGCTATTAACAAGAGCGATCCTGGAATATCAAATCGGATCCCTTTATGCTATGCAGTCCATCTTCCTACTATTCCTGCGTTGAGAAAGTATGATATTCTATTTATGTGCCTTTATAGATACTCGTCAGGTTTTTCTGCGCTCTTATTCATCGTTCCATTTTGATTTTACCTATAGGGAATACGGTGAGCTTCTGGTGAGTTGCGGTTTAGTTGGGGAAGCAATCACAATATTTGAGAGCCTGGAATTGTGGGATAATCTAATACACTGCTACTGGTATACCTAATATGAAAGCTGCGTTTATGATGAATTCAGCTTCCCTTGTTTTGTTTCCTTTCCTCTATGGCTTTCATGTTCTGTTGCAAAACTTATCATGTGATGTGAAACTTCAGCCTCCTAGGAAAGAAATCAGCAGCTGTAGATCTCATCAATGCACGGCTTCTGGAACGGCCAAATGACCCAAGATTATGGTAATCTCTTTGATAGTACCCTTTGTGTGTTCATTTCCTATTGTTTATATATATTAGTTATTAAATGGATGTGAAGTGCCATAATTATCTGCTTTGAGTGTACGCTTAATCATTTTATATCTTTGTTTAAACTAGAAAGTTATTATCGTGTTGGATCATAAATTAAATTTGATGATAAACATTGGTTTCAGGTGTTCACTAGGTGATGTTACGATTAATGATTCCTGTTATGAAAAAGCCCTGGAAGTTTCAAATGATAAATCAGTTCGTGCTAAGGTAATTTGAGACACAAAACAAAAAATCTTGTATGTCCTTCTCCCTTAGTCCATGCTCTAATTATCTTCATGTTGTAGCGGGGTCTTGCTCGCAGCGCATACAATCGGGGTGATTTTGAGAAGTCGAAGATGCTGTGGTATGTTGAACTATTTGGTTCTGTTCTTTTTTTTTTCTTTACGAAAATGGATTTGTGAACTTGGCCCTTCAGGCTAATTTACTTGTGAGGCGTCTCATTTTTCTCGTACTTTAGGGAGTCTGCAATGGCCTTAAATTCTCTGTACCCTGATGGTTGGTTTGCTCTTGGTGCTGCTGCTTTGAAGGTATCTTACTTCATCTTCTCCGATAGTTCAGTAGCAATAGTTTCCACTCCAAATGCCATTAGATAAACAGCATTGAAATTATTTTCATACTAACTGAGACGGATACTAATTTAATATCTCCTACATGATACCATAGGCCAGGGATGTTCAGAAAGCACTGGATGCATTCACTTTTGCTGTTCAACTTGATCCCGACAATGGGGAGGCTTGGAACAACATTGCTTGTCTGTAAGCATTTCAGTTTCACTATTCTGCTATATCTGTGCTGAAATTGCTGAAAAGTTAATTGCTTTTTTCATACATACCTTACTATCTAACTTCATTACTCATTGCTCACCTACCGTATGTTTCACATCTATAATGGATGATGCTGAATGTGTAATAATCTGTGACCGCAGGCATATGATAAAGAAAAGGAGCAAAGAATCATTCATTGCGTTCAAAGAAGCACTTAAATTCAAGTATCCCTCTATCCTTTACGGTTTGTTACTTGAGCTAAGAAAATCAGAGTAAGTAACTGAAAAATATTGTGTATCAACAGGCGAGATAGCTGGCAGATGTGGGAGAATTTCAGTCATGTAGCTATGGATGTGGGAAATATTGATCAGGTAAATGCAGCTATTAACTAAAGATAATTATTCTAACCTTTTATAAAAACCTTAACGATTAGTTCCCCATATATTTGTTTAATTTTAGCTTAGGAGTTAAACAAATTGGTTTCATCTTTGTGCTTTTCCTCTTCCAGGCCTTTGAAGCTATACAACAGATACTGAAAATGAGCAATAACAAGAGGATCGATGTTGTTTTACTGGACCGTATAATGACAGAGTTAGAAAATAGGAATTCAGCATGTAAGTCATCACCATCTTCATCTATTGAAATCGAAGGTTCTTCATATGAATCGACGGAAACAAAACCATGTGCTGCAACACCAGCTGGAACTCAACGCCACCTAGAGTTACTTGGGAAAATTATTCAGCAGGTTAGCAAAACATTTCAACAACTATATGAATCTCTGTATTGTCTCATTCCCTGAGTGATAAACTCTTAGCAGATGCATTTGATATAGTCCTGCTTGTGACATTGTAGATTGCCAGAACAGAAAGTACATCTGAAGTCTGGGGATTGTATGCGAGATGGAGTAGAATCAAAGGAGATCTTATGGTATGCAGCGAGGCACTGTTAAAACAAGTGCGATCATATCAGGTATGTAATGACCGATGATTAACCGAAGCCCCATATTGATATATGAGAAACATTTGATGATATATTGATATCTCTCTGACAGGGATCAGAAGTGTGGAAGGACAAAGAGCGTTTCAAGAAGTTTGCAAGAGCGTCATTGGAACTTTGTAGAGTGTACATGGAGATCTCAGTGTCCACAGGAAGCAAACGAGAACTGTTTAGTGCTGAGATGCATTTGAAGACCACAATCAAACAAGTATAGACCTAATTTATCATTAATTAATCCCCACGATACTTACTAGGATTTTTTATCAGAATGGATAAATGGGTGACATATGTATGTGTGTAGGCTACAGTGAGCTTCTTGGACACTGAAGAATTGAAGGAACTTGAAAGTTGCCTCGAGGAGGTGAGAACTGTAATGCAGAAGAGTGAAGAAGAGACTGGAACTACAAAAGACTAGTCACTGTCAGCATAGGTTAGCATCTTTTTTGTTATCTTTTTTGTTGTTTGTGTTAAAAGACAGTCATATGTTTCTGAAATTCCTTTGGGGATGCAGAGATGGTAATGTAATGTTGTGTAAAACAGATGTTGAGAAGAATCTCGAAATCCATAGAAATATGACATTTTAGAATTTGGTAGCTGATTGGTGTATTTCCTTTTTAAGATTAAGAAATAATTTTTTTTGACACGAAATCTTTTGATTAGTGCGTATGTGTGTCTGTGTCTTCATCGTCGAATCTCGATCGTTACCGAATCATGATCTGATTTGTGCAATCATCTTTAATGCAGTACTCTTTTGTTGAACAGCATTTTGGGACACCTCTCTATGAACTTGACCTGATGATTTACTTGTGATTTGTGAATATGACCCAACTTGTAGAAAACTTTGGCTAAGAGCCTAAGAGATTTCTTAAAGCTTAATTATCTTGCTCTTGGCCCAGTAAGACGATTAAATGTCAATATATTTTACCTTGCACTATGTTGTATGGTAACGGAAACCAACGAAAACGGGCAAGTCATCATCGCCTTCATCGAAGCTTTTTCTTATGAAATGACGGAAAAAAAAACAGTGTACTGCAACACCAGCTGAAACTCAACGGCACCTAGAGTTGCTTGGGAATAGTATGACTAGTATGGTTAGCAAAAACATTTCAACAACTAGTATGGATCTCTGTAATGTGTGACTAATATCTCAATCTCTGAGTGAAAACTCCTGACAGATGCATATGGTTGTGTATTGTCCTTTGATGTGATTGTTGCTTGTTTTTATAGATTGTCAAAACAGAAGTGTGGAAAGACACAGAGCGTTTCAAAGAGTTTGCATTGAAATTCAATTCTTGTGTTCAACGAAGATGTCGTGCCGTTTTGACGTTTAGAAGAGTAAAACAAACAATGCGCGCCGTTTTATTTGTGGCGCTGATTGATTGGCGTCTTTACTTTAACTGTAGCTACATTACTGGTCATTAAGAAATCAATTCTGACACGAAATGGGAAAATAGAAAAACTGAGAGAAGAGAGGACCCAAAAAAAAATACATATATCTTTTTTGATCAGTGCCTGGGCGTATGATTGTTGCGTCTCTTCATCGTCTCCATCCTCGAATCTCGATCGCCACATCACCGGGTTCTATCCTTCACGATGTGTCTTCGAGCATGAGATTTGGATTGACGCGACATCTCCCTTTGAAACGATCTTTCGCCAATTATTCAATCACTTCCCGATCGCCAGAATTACTGCCAAAATCGCCGGTGACCATGGCGACCACCGAGAGCGCAAGTCATGTAAAAACTTCGACGGAGGAGACAGATAAGAAGAAGACGGAGGAGGGAGTTGATAGCAAGGAGGAGGAGAAGGAGGTTTCGCTTCCTCCGCCGCCGGAGAAACCAGAACCTGGCGATTGTTGCGGTAGCGGCTGTGTCCGATGCGTTTGGGATGTCTATTACGAAGAGCTCGAAGATTACAACAACTCGATTTCTGGACTTACTAAATCAAACTGAGTGAATTTGCTTCTGATTATTTTTTTCTCACAATGATATTTGTCTATGTTGATCTGTTTCATTGCTTTGTCGAAGCAACATTTTGGATCTCTCTATGAACTTTTGAGAGCTGATGAGCATATAATTATATCAAGGCAACGACCATAATTAAATGATTTCAATCAAATTGGCAAACCTTTTAAGTAACCAATGTAGAAGAGCTAACAAGTCAATCAAATATTTCTAATTTTTCTACCTTTTTTTTCTTTCTGTATTCTGAGTTCTGCTTCCATCTGAAGAAAGTAGCTGGTATATAACAAATCATTGATTCTTTATGGCTTTTGCAAGAAAGCAATTTGATCAATTCACAGATCGATTGTAACTGGCATTTAGAACCTCCTAACTTCACCTTTGGGGAGCTTTCACAAGAACTGAGATATGGAGATAGAATTCTGGGTTCATCAAGTTATTTACCACCCACGAAAAAGGGATCTCTAGTTTCATTTCTATTCCTTGGATCCTTGCCAATTTTATTTCCCCCATCTCCGGCAACCCTTCTGCTTCTGCTTCTTCTGTACCACCATCCTTGCTTCTTTCTTCTCCACTCGTTTGAGCTCTGTCTCCAATGAACTCTGGGAGGAGACTTTCAATGGCATTGCGTAAGGTAAAGCATTTCCCTGTTAGTAGTGGAACTGATATCAGTTATCTCACAAAGGAGAGATTCAGGAACAGTTGGATACACTCTACATGGAAGCTATTGACTGAAACTTTTGGTCCATAGCATAATTACACCTATATGCCAGAATAGCCAATCTCTTCTCCATGAAGATAATATGAAGAATGTCGATCTTAAAGGTAAAAATGTTACCTTCTTCTCTGAGGAACTCAACAGGGCGATTTAGGTAGGAGATATCATCCCATGTATCCATCTCAGGTACATCTTCAAGATTCTCGAAATTTTGATTTATACTCCGAACATACAACCGAACAGGAATTCTTGCTGAGGAAAAGGATTATTAATAGTCAGGGAAATGGTTGTTGCACAAGAACAATGAGGACACTATTACTTTGTATCATGTTAGCCAACAATGAAATAGATCCAGCAATTTATGAGGGGGTCACTATTCTTTTCCTATTAAGTTGTTTCTGTTTAGAGGGTTCATCGGAAGACGGAAAACTACTATTGACTGTTTCTAACTAAGTTTAATATGCCATTCCCAATTGAATTTAAACATCTCGTGAATACACTTTTCCAAATATGGGAAAATTTGATAAGGTAAATATGGCAAACCTGTCTTATTTTGTCCAGCACCATCCGTCTCAGTCACACCTTGTCGAGATTGTGGAGATGACAAGCTTGCTTTTCTTGAAAACTCATCTTCTATAGTTGCCATTTTAAGCTTGGGTGATAATCTTGTGTAGGCATCAAGATCACCTGCCAAACCATCAGTTTTCAGACTCAATACTAACTCAATAATATGCCTAAATCTAAAGGTTATACCACTATTGATGCAAATGTTGATATTGACAATGCTGAACGCAAAAGTAGTTTGTAACATAATAATGGATTGTGACTGCTACTATTTTATATGCCTAACATCAACCACTCTTACCATTCATGACAGAGGTCCATAGATCCTCTTGATCACTCTGAGACATATTCATAACATTCTTGCAATTTCCATTGATGATATACTGTGCCTGCAGGATAAGTGGATAATTTCAATATGTCAAAACTTCTTATCATTTACCGTTTGCCTTACTTAGGACAGGAGTAAAGCATTGTTATCATATAACATAAGAGGATCCTATGGCTACAACAATAAGTAACGACAAAACGCTTGCAGCATACTTAACAAACTGGCTACGAAACTATTCGTGGTCATTTCAGCTAGACCAACACAATCTATCAAATTTTATAACCCTCAGAACTTATCATAGACACATTGCATTTATGGTGGCTGCAGACGTCTAGGTGTTGTCTAACGTTGACAGTACATCATCAAGATGTGGAAGAAAATCACACACTTATAGAGAGACAAATATTTCGCTATTTAACGATGAGAAATCCAATGGAACAGTGTACAGAGTCCAAATGGAATTAATATTTCAGTCAAGATGAGAAGAAAGTCATAAATTTATAAGAAATCTTCACTAACCTCTTTTAAAGAATTAACAAAGTTCCATTTCACAGAATCTTCTCCTTCACAGGGTATCAGTATGTTGGTAGGATATCCCCTAAAGTGTATCTGCAAACAAAAAATTCTGAAAAGCTCAAGAACTGTAAACAAAAAAGAGAGTAGTTTTTGTGCATCATACTAGTCAAGACTCAAGAGAGACTGATGAAAGATTCCACTAACAACATACTGTGACTATTATATATACTGGTGAACAAAAAATGGGCTTTAGTTGTAGGCTTGTAGCAAGAAAACAAAAGTTGTGCCTCTCTATGGTTAAGTAATGGAAATGCAGACTAAGAGAATGACATAGTATATCACCGATTTTTTCCTCCTACATTTAGATTACAAGCATAGTGGGCCCTCAAGCTCACTCAAAATGCTTAACAGTTACACTTAGCTCATCTCTCAAATAGAAGCTGATGAACTTGAGAGGAGAGAAAAATCACCGTGAGATTCCAAGGTCGTTCTGGTTCCGCGCATAGGAGATCGAAAAGAACGCCTGTTGGTATATACCTGCAACCAAAAGAAGATTCTCACACTCTCACATAAACATATCAAAAAAAAAAAAAAAAGTTAAGTCACATCATACAGACAAATGAACAATGACGTACCATTTCAAAGGAACTCCTTTGTAATCGAACCAGATTGAATCTTCACCAGGAGGAAGTGAATCCTTGAAATAAGGCTTTATAAGAGGAATCAACAGAGGCAAATATCCTATCCTTGGTGCTAGGACCTGATAATGTGATCGCAAGAAATACGAGGGAAGAAACTCATAAGCGTGCTCTTATCTCAATCTTAACATTGCAATTACACGATTCAACTGCTAAATTCGTCCTCGTTTCAAGCACACAAACAATTTGATTATCGAAATCGTTGATCCAAGATGAAAACAATACAAAACCCTAAACCCAGAATTCAATCATGATCCAATATTAAACACCAGAGATTTGCACCATCGATTTGAAAACTAGACCATAAAAAAAAAAAGCTTGAGGAAGGAAAAGAAGAGAAGTGATTACAAGAGCAGGAGGAGGAGCAGGGTGAGAAGCAACTTCGGATTTGTGGAGATTAATCTGCAGAGGAATTGCTCCTTCCCATACATACTTGACCGCTTCATTCGCCATTCTCTTCCCCGTCACAGCTTCACGCTGGGTTTTGAAGTTTGAAGAATCAAAAACGACGCTGTTTCTTGTGACGTCATCTGCTCTTGCGTGTACACTGCTTTTATGTGCCCAGTTTGTGCGTCAAAGGGTGTTAACCGGTCTAGTTCGGTTTTGGTAAGTTGGTTTAATGAATTTTGGTCAAATTCTATCAATTATTCGGGTTAGAGTTGGTCTCTGAATCGGTTCGATAATTTGCTTCAACACACACCACTGTTGTTCTATTTCATTCAGATGCTGGTAACCACCTCACCAGTTTCATATTTGATGTCTTCAGTTGGAAGCAAACTCTTCACCAAACCAATTAGATCCCCTACTTTAATCAGAGATATTAAAAAAGAAACCTGATGTTGAACCAACAATAAAGATCTCATAATCACTACATTTAATTTTAACTATGAAAAAATTGTACAAGAGTTTTACAGTTACAAATTTTGCTGAGATTTTAGCCTAAAGAACAACAAACAGCTCGAACAAAACAATGAAACAACAACAACAAAAGACTTTCGATGAAAATTTAGAAAAAGTGAATGAATATTGAATTTAGAGTCTCTTCTTTTAGGATATCTGAGAAAATGTGTTATAAGTGGAGATGAATCTCTTGTTCTTGTTCTTCTTCTTCTTCTATCATCATCTTTCTCTTCTTGTACGGACCAAATCCTCTTGCATTTGACTCTGAGTTTGTTCTTCTGAGCTCAGAAAATGCAGACCTCTCGCTAGGTTTAAACTCCCATTGGCATACCATTGTTTCGGGTTCTGAGGTCTTATCCGTGTGTCCTGTATCATCCACTGAACCAGAGTTTGATCCAGTCGATGATCCTTCGTTTTGGACAGCCTTTCCTGAATCTAAACATCTATTTTCCACGTCTTCTTGCTTAAGAGGTACTTGTATCCAGCAGCTCAAGAGATCTTCTTGTCCGTTTCTTATTATGGGTAATGTTTTGGATGATGAGAGTTTCCGTGGTAATGGCTGAATTGGGGATTTACAGTAAGTTGAAGTTGTCAGAGAAGAGGACATGCCTGAATCAGATACCAAAACTGTCTTCCCAAAGAGTTTAAGGCTTTGCTTCGTTGGTTCCTTGACTGAGCTCTCAGTGTTTAAGAGACTCTCTTTAGGAAACAACTCCAGCTTCTGTCAAATTAATCAAACCAAGGATATTAAGAATTAGGCATCTACCAGTGGGTAAAGTTGTTAAATCGAGTGAGTATAAATTTGCAGATGGGTTTTCGTTTCTGTCAAGTACCAGAGTCTCATGCTCTTCAGGTGCATTTGCAGTAGTTGTAAGAGCAGCTGGTGGTGATGCAGAAGAAACTGGGGACAAGCTTCGATTGGGTGAACTTGAATCAAGGGAACCCAAGGCTTCTGATCCAACATTGGACAGCACAGAGGTTGGAGATCGGTTTTCTCGTTCTGACGGAGAAACTGATCTACTTGTTCGATCTGCCTCGTTCCCAAACTTACGAGGGTAAGGATGCGCTGGTTTTCTCTTGGGACGAGGAGGTGGTATCACAATTGGCTCCACTGAGCTCCCATCACCTCCAGTTGCTTCTCGAGCAACCTGTGTGAATACAACATAATAGAGCAGAGTCAGAACACAAGTCTCCAAACGATGTATGTACAATAATCCCTTTTTTAAGCAGTACTTAAGTTTGTTATTGAGGTTATACCAATACTTTCTGTGAACAAGGGTAAAAATATTATAGCAAATAAGTGTATAAACCTTAGAGAAAAACTTCTGAGCATGACTTCGAATCTGAACTGCAGTCTTTGTGCCCACATGTTCTGTTAGTGAAACAAACATATATATTTGAGGGTTCAAGTTTTGTATAGGTCCATAACTCAGTAGCAAGTGATATAACAAGATTATTAATTTACCTTCTATTCGTCTCCATGCTCGCCCGTATAATTTCAAGGCTTCAACAAACTTCTTGTGCTCATCATCTGTCCATCTCTCTCTTTCCTTTGTTATCGTGTATGGTTTCCGTACCTAAGTATGAAAAATGAATTTAGCCAAAGATCTTCACTTTACATAACAATATCTGACACTGGATGTTCAAGAAACGAACCTTGGGTGCATAGTCATTTCCCCCAAAACATTTGTCCTTGCATTGATTCTGCTTGTCTGCACTTTCCTCAACTCTATTCTTCGAAGGAGCTTTGGCACCCTGAAACCATCAACAAGCAAAAGTACTTTAGGAGACATCATCTTACCGGTCCTTTTAAAACAAAAGTGGCATTGGATCATCTACATTCTTCTTCAGTTTCTCAATGTACTACATTCTAATTAACAGAATCCCAATATTTTAAATTGTATCTACAGATCCTAATTACGTTAACAGAAAAAGAAATTGGCTTTGTATACCCATGAATCTTTCTATAACAATCCAACCCTGCAAACTTGTTAACACAGTCGATTCCATCTTAAGAGTCTGCAAATGAATTGCACTGAACAGGCTAAACTCAAATAAGAAGCTTTCTTAGATGTTCGTTCGTATACACACTATTCTAGATTCATTACCTAAATCTGAATAAGCAGAAAACGAAAAATAGAGAACATTAAGACTCAGCAAAAGATAAAAAGTACAGACCTGAACATTCGCAGTCAACGGAGACGACGCCATAGCTTCCCGGATTAAGATCTCGCCGGAGGAAGGAAAAAAAAAAACTCGAAGGTATGGATCGAGAAAACAAAAATCACGAATCTGGACTTCAAAATCAGCTTAATTTCCTCTGTTCACCGTATGTTTCTATAGATCCCATAAAATTTAATAAGATAAATTTCAGCTCAAGATAAGACAACAACAAACAGATTTGCTTCTGAAATCAGAACCAAACCCAAAAGCTTCCACCTTCTCCGGAAAAAAAAAAAGAAAAATCCAGTAAACCGGAGATATTTAGGGTGGGTTAAAAGAAAAAGGAAACCAGAACAACTCCTTGGTGCAGATGAAGAAGAAGAAGCTCAGAAATGGAACTATCAGAGAACTAAAGCTCGCCGGAGTTGAAAAAAGAAGAAGGCTTTTGATGGTTCTGATACACCGGAAGAAGAAAACAGAGAGAAAGAGAGAAGAGGAGCTTTGGCCTTTGGGAGGGGTCTGTGGAGGAGGGAAGAAGAAGAAGGGTGTGAGAAAATAGAAAGACAAAAAGGGAAGAGAGGATGCCACGTCAGCTTCTGGTATGTGCGCTTTAATTTTTGTTTTTAAAAATAAATAAATATATAATGTTTTTATTTTATTGGTATTTCCATGGAACGCTCGAGAAACAGATGAAATCTTGTGGCTCACGTTCAATGACCTTCATTGCCACGTGTCGCTCGTGCCTAGCTTCTTCTTTATTTTTTTTCTTTTTAACAAAATTTGTAGATTTTATTATTATCTTTGGTTGTCTCTCTCATATTATTATTATTTTAAAAAATGAATCTACTTGTTTTTAAAACAGATAAATTTGGTGCAGGAAACAAAAGCTAGATTTTCAATTCTCATATTTTTTTCTTGCTTTTTTAAAATTATGTCTGTTGTATATCTTCAAATTCAAATTATGTAAAAAAAAGAATATCAGGAAATATAATATTTTATGTAAAAGAAAAAAAGAAAAAGGATTTTGCTGGACGGAGAAATGTGAGCCACCAGAAGATACTTAAAAGGCAAAATAAAAGAAGCCTACTCGCGCGAGTGTATGATTTTTTGTTTCTTACTCGCTTTTATCTCTCTCTCTCTCTCTTTTTATTTTTAATAGATAGTTTTTTATTTTTATTTTTGTGGATAAATAAAGACTTTAGTTTCTTTATCCCCGAGATTTTTCCTAATAGCTACATTTACATATTACATACATCTCTCTTGTGGACCAAATTACTTTGATACGATTATTGGATCCGCATCCCTCCCTCCTATTTGTTTTGTTGATCTATCCATATTTTTATTTTTTTTGCTAAATAGATCTATCCATATCCTTAACAAATTATAAAAATAAATTTAACAACATAAGATCTTACTTTTAATAAAAAGAAACAAAAATTTATGTAGTCTTGGAGTTTGACAGATGAGAAACGTAAATTTAACAGAAAGTTAGCCCTATTAACGGAAATTTAACGTCATGTCTAAAATGGTCAGGTCAATGAAACTTTACCATTTTATCAAAATGTCATTTAAATCAAAATGTCAAAACAAAATTTCAGAATTTAAATGACATTTCTAAAGTTCATGTTTTTTTATCCACAATTTGAAAGTTGGAGATTTTTGACATTTTTCCCGTCTTCTATTCACTATAGATAGTCTTATTCATGTATTTTTAAAGTTATATATGAAGTATATCTTAATCGGATATTCCTATTAGAATTAAATTTATTCGAATCCGAATCTAAATCCAAAAACTCTTTTTGCTTTAGTTTAAATGAGATGAGATCGGATTCCAGATATTTTTTCTAATAGCAACAAACACACTCAATCCAATTCAGATTTTGTGGGGGTTCTAATCTTCTTTCTCCATTCTTCTCTTCTTGAACAAAACCTTTATATAGATATATGTAATGATTCATAAATCAAAACAATCGCAATATTAAAATTCAGATAATTTATTTGTCTAAACACATTTTTAACCAGGCCCTAAAATATTTTCTTTTAAAAAATGATATCCGAAACAAATGAGCTATCCAAAATCTTAAGGTACAAAAATTTCTTTTAAGTTTTCCAATATTCTTATGTTTAAATATTTTTTTCTTTTTAAGATTAAGAAGTTGAAACGATTTTTTGAATCCCAGTCTCCTATAGAGTTTTTAGTTTTTTTTTTTGTAAAAAGTCTCTTATAGAGTTCCAAACTTTAAAAATATATATTAATAAGAGAAAGTCCAAAATCAAGTGAAAATTAAAACGAGATATCTATAATTTTGTCGAACATGTTTATCATTATCTTTGTATATGTTACGAAAAAAACGAAAATGTTTAAATATCTTCTGCTTCTAAATAAAAATGCCTAGTAGGGTTCAGTATAGTACGTAAGCCTAGAGATATATATACACATAAATATAATATGATATATACAGATACGTATCTACGATATTTATAATTAGTTTCAACTTTTTTTTCTAATTAACAATATATGTTTAATCATCATCTAGGTCGTCATCATAAATGTGTAGATAAGCTAATTAAATCATTGCTAAGAACATTGCAAAGTCATCTTTGGGTGGAAGTGAAAAGTTAATTATACTTTGAAAAAATATAAAAATATGAATTAGAGTGCACTTTTGTCCATGTCACTGATTCTTATTTTAAGCCGTCTGTTCTACAGAAACTGGACATGTGGAAGGAAAGCAAGAAAAGATTCAAGCCACTCAATTTATTTTTTTACGTTCATCGGTTTTATACAAAAAAATTCTGAGCCACATGTTTTGCTTCTCGTTTTTGCCTTAGGGTTTGAAAGATCTCAAAAAGTGGTTGGTGTGTGGCTGTTGTCTACTTAAAGCATTTGTTATTTCTTTTTCTTTTGCCGTCTCAGATAAACTAAGATAAAGAAGTCTAATATGACAATCTTGTAATCTAATATGACAATCTTGTAATCTAATATGACAATCATCAGTTAGAAGAACGAGAAGATGTGATAAGCTTCTCAAAATGTTAAGCTATTATTAGGAGGCGTAATAAAAATAAGATAAAAAATTTATTTAGAGCAGATAGTAGAATGTGTCATGGGTCGACAAGTTAAAAAAAAACTGAGTCGTTTTGTTGTGGCTTTGGCAAAGAAGGTTAGGCTTGAAAGCTTGATGATGGTGCTGGATGTTAGGTAGTGGTCTACTGGATAGTGTGAAGTGACACGTGACAGCCATTTGTGATATTTTTCTTTTTCTTCACGGCCACACACTTGTATTTTCCGGCCAAGTATGTACATTTTTTTAGACGACCAAGAAAGCATATTTTGATTTTTTTAATGTTTTAAAACATGTTATTCAATTTTATTCTCAAAATAATTAAATGTGAATATGCAAATTCTAATTTGTAAAACATTTACAAGACATGTTGTAATCATTTATTGCAAATATATTTATATTAAGATGTAATATATATATATATATCAATGTCGGTGTAACATATTTGTTTGGACTATATAATAAACATTTAAACGATTGTGATTCTAAAAAAAGTCTTGATCATTCGTAATATAATCACAAATTAAATACTAGTACATTACAATTTTTTTCCATGACTAGAGTTTGGTGGTCAATTGAAGTTATCACAGGTGTACAAGTAAATTGGAAAAAGTAACTTTAGTAAATAGGAAATGCATAAAGATTTTTACGAATCAATGATAGAAAAAGAAATGGTGGGTGGGTACAAATATAATAGTTTTTGTGGATGGATAGTCCATTTATGTAAAAGCTTTCTTCTACGTGTGGTTCATATTCTTGCCAACATCATTTTTGGCCGAACGAGATAAAAGGGGAGAGTAGAGATAGCAGATATTCTTTTGAAATAAAGGCCTCTGACTTTTGTGTGACAATGATGAGATGTTTTTTTCTATCTTTGATGATCTAACAAAGATAAAAAGAGAGATTTGTGGTGTGTATACAAAAGCCAGACCGGTGAAACTATTCATGGCCAACCGTATTAATTATGTCTCATGACCACTTTTGTTTTTGTATTTTCTTCCTTTTTGTATTTTTATTAGCTGTACAAAAGTGGTCAAAATGTATACAAGTAACGATTTGCGGGACAATTGGCGCAATGTGGTTCAATCAAATAAGTTGTTGGAATGATTTATATTTATTTTTTGTCAGAAGATATATGATGGAATGATGATATACTTGGCATCAATTTATGAAAGATAAAAAAGAAAAAAATAAACTCAATGCATAGGAAATTGTAAAATTAGAAATCGTACTTTGTGAGGGACTAAACTGCACAAAAGATAGAAAACAAAAAAGTAATTAGTTTAGATTTTGAAAATATACATACATCGAACTTCAAACAACACTTGTCAAAAAGATAATGATGGGTCAAAGTCTTAAAAGAAAGCATCAAAAGTCTTTCAAACTTCTTCACAGATCCTCTGGACCATTGATGTCCTGTAAGAATAAAAACCAGAAGATGAGTTTAGTGAATATATTTATTACCATCACAGTGACATAATAAAAAAATTAAGGTTACCTTATTCTCGAGCACGGCATTGTCAGGGATTTCAAGTTTAGTCCCGGAGTTTGCCTTCACTGACACTTTTCCCTTCAGAACAACGCCGGAGCCAAACGAGACATCTCCCGAGACCTTAAGGCTATCAAGCTCAACTATACTTGGGATGGACTTGAACCGGCTAAGGAAACTTGCGACCTGTTATTAACCAAAATACAAAAACAAAAACAAAATCACAGTTTTAATTAGGATGCTATAACCATTTTGTCTTTGTATATTTTTCAAGTTAACTGTAAGTTACTGGTTCGAGGTTCAGAAGCAGCATCCAGACCGTGATAGCAACCTTACAATTAGAGTGAGATACTTTATTTCAGATATTTAACGTTCGTTACCTTTTTGAATTCGGGTCCCAATTCGATAGCTGGATTCGTGGGATTTGTTCTAGCTTTGTTTCTTGTGACGAAGCCATCGACGAGTGTGTACAGATCCGACTGTGAAAAGTGACTAAGAATTGTTAACTCTTTATTTTTTGTTCAAAAAAGAATTGTTAACTCTATGTTGCTCGTTTAATGCATTTTTGGGAATTTGAGAAGGGAAGGAGTGGTTTGGTTTACCTGAACAAGAAGCAAGTCTGAAGTTGCCTTCACTGGCAAGAACCGTGAGCGAGGTACATTCACACCAATTGCATTATCAAAAAACTGTTTCAAAACGGCCAAATAATGCAGAAAATTAACACTTCTGTTTATTTAAAATTGTGTTAGTTTAATATAGAGCGTAATGCATACCCTTATCGCAGCACCAGCAGCAGTTTCCAGTTGAAGAACTTTGACGCCATCAACTTCCTGCAGAGAGTTAAGACAAGTTATGCAAAACTGTAATAGATTAACTACGTTACATGGTGTGATTGGAAATCTAGTACCTTTGGGTTTGGGATGATCTCCATTTTAAGCGCATCAGCTTCCACAAGCTTTTTGATGGCTTTCAAGTTAACCCAACTGTAATAGTTAACAGTTATGAGTCCATATATATACCGGTTATTCTGAAGGTTTCAGGGACAAGAGAGCTATTACTTACAGATTGTTTGTGTTGAAAATCTTGAACTTCTCAATTGACTTGAATTCATTTACCTATACGTAATACGAGCAAATGTCATTCTGGTCCACACACAAGAAGCCAGGGATAAGCAATTTCGTTTCACTCTCAGAGAAACAAAATTTTATGCCATCTCAGAGAAAAAGGTAAGGAACAAAGGAAGCTAGAGAAAGCGAGCAAAGAGTGACGAACTGCTACAAGACTTGCAAACAAGTACTAGTAAACATGAAATCTGTACAAGGAGCTAGAGACATCTAAATAGACTAGAATGAAAACAAAGAAGTGGTGTGGACTTACGTGTTCATCAGGAACCTGAGCAATCTCCAAAAGCTGAGACACAGAACAGAAGAAGTAAACTTTAGAGGTCAATATGACTACTTATATTCTCTAGTAGCATAAGAAAGATGAAACAGTGAGAATCATGAGTTGCAAAAAGATAGATAAAATATATGTCTAGCCTGGATAATCTATGATTCTAAGGTGCCACATATAATAAGAAGAGACATCTCAGATTCAACGGACAGTTTTTATTAGGTTTAGTTACAAACTTTCTAATAATTATTCAGCAGAAAAGCTACATCCAAACATGAAAAGAACTTTACCTGAACTTTTCCTTCATAAGAGATGAGAGTTCCTCCCTTCACATCAGCTAGGGTTTTGGGTGTAACCTCCATACAGTACTCATTTTTGTTCTGGATCAGGTGCTTCAAGATTTCTGAATCAGCATTGAGTCAAGGACAACCAAAAATTAGTCTCTGATGGAATGTTATTATCCTGTATGGAACTACTAAAGAAAATGCCATAACAGAGAAGGAGATATACTTAAGTCAACAATGGCGCCCAAGTTGTCTGAGTTGGCAACGAACACATACTCCTTACCCTGAATAGTGAGAAACTCAGAATCAGAGATGAAAGACAAAAACATCAAGGGTACATTATGGAGACAAAAATAACAATAGACTACATCAAAGAAAGAACCTGTGATAAGAAAGCATCAAGCTTGCCACTGTTCATGAGGGATGGGAATACATCACCATGACCGGGAGGATACCTTCCAAAAGACATATTTTAGTAGTGGTTGAATATGATAGCAACAGAGAAGGATGTCCAAATGCAAATGGAGTCTCAAATGTAAATGCAAGATTGACTGGAAACCGTACCATCCATCCTTGTCAGTCTTTCCTTTGCTAGGCCACGGCACAAACTCATCAGCAACAACACGAGGATACTTGCTCTACATAGTTTAAGTCAATATAATTAGTTCCATAGTTCAAATAAACATAATTTTAGTTTCAACTTGTAATAGCATTGACATGGTATACCTGATTAAAAGTGTGAATATCAACATTTGAGTTGGTGTATTTCTCGACAATCTGAAAAGACATAATTCAGTCAGCCTACAAGTATATAAGATTAATGTAGAACTAAAAAGATATGATCCTCGGTGAAATAGAAGTACCTTTTGTGTGTCATCATGTGTATTGAATGAGTTCATAAGAACCAAAGGAACCTTGCAGCCATACTTGTTGTTGAGATTCTGTTGGAAAGTGACATGTGAGGTTATGTAAAAGTACTAAGATTTTTTAAAAAGTAAAATAAAAAATGACGAACCTCAATCTGGATGACAATCAAGTCAAGAAATGTCAAACCATCTCGAACTTCGATAACCGATCTGCAGAGAAAGATGAAAAGAAAATAAAACCTATTGTTTGAAGAAAATGTTGCATAACGCATCAGGGGAGGACCTGATACAGAAACCTCAAGAAAATTTTACATGAAATCGAAGATCGCGTACACACTAACCCAATCTATAAACACGGAATCTAAGTTCTTATCCCTGAAGAGGGAACTACTATCACATCCCTGTTATTTTCGAAGCTGACAGATAATTGTTTACTAGCTACGCCAGGACATCAAGACTACTACCAATGGCAATAAATTTTACAGACCAAGCGATATGGATTATGGAGCCTAGATCTTCAGGCTTGGAAAGGTACACAGAATCCAAATATCAACTTTTCCATCTCAAAGACACTAGAAAAACTAAGTCCAAGCAAGGACTAAGCGTAAATAGAACTGAATACTGATAGGACACAAGATCAGAGAGCTTACTTTGGACCTGTGCATCCCATTGTCGTTCCCAAACCTCCATTAAGCTTTAACACAACCAGCTTGTCCAACAAATATTTGGTCTCAGAAGCATCTCCATTACGTTAAAACATAACAAACAAACAAAAATCAATGCTATGAAGAAAATGACTAGTCCACAGAACAACCACCATACAGAAAGCAAACTTCAGTAACCGATTCGTGTCATTCAAAAAGAAAAGAAAAAGAGCAATACCTTCAGAGACGTTAGCCATTTTATCATAAGGAACAACAATCTCATCAGTAGGTGTCTGGATCTTGCTCCATTCAATGTGCTGAGCCTCACCGCTTCAAATTCAAATGAAAAATACAGAGCATTTAAGAATCCATTGGTCATCTAAATGTAAAGCAATCTGCGTTTCTAGATCTGACTCCAGTCTCCAGATCCAATACGATTTTCAGATAATAAGTCATCGTTTCAAAATCAAAACTACGTCCAATAACAGAGGAAACAAAACACTAATTGAGTAGTGAGAGAAAGGAGAAGTGAGAAATTCAAACTCATTTTCACAAAATCTCTGAAAAATAAGAGAGCATAAAATGTTTGATCTTCACCGATTTGAAGATAACAGCAATAAAAATTCAATCAACACAACAACATACGAAGATACAAAATTCGGAAGCAGAACAGTCAAGGACGAACCTGAGGTAACGTGAAACGAGGTTGATGAATCCGCTCTTCTCATTCGCACTGAAACAAAAGGAAACAGATCACACAGACTCTAAACGATGAAGAAGATACCCAGATCCAGAATCTGAAGGAACCGACAAGATAATCGACAGCGCAAACCTCATCTCAGCAAGTCCATCAACGGCGGATTTGAGCTGAGGGAGCTTCTCAGTTGCGGCGGCCATGGCTAAATTTTCCGATAAACGATTCCGATTCGAGAAGAAATTAAAACGCACAAGAGATTTGAGAATTGAGATTCGAGGAATGAAGAAGAGTGTTCTAGAATTAAAGCGGATGTGTATTTATATTACGGGAGAGAGTTAGTGAGTGACAAATGGATGGTTACCAAATTTATATATGTCCGTTGTCTTCTCTTTACCAATTGAAAAATCTGATATCTGTCGCACACACCGTTCGGTTAAGTGTTTAAACCAAGCGAATTTAAACTAAACCGAACAACAATATACTGTACATGAGATTTTTTAAATTGGTTGACAGGCAAACCGATGTAAACCAGTTTTCGATTTAACTCCAATTTTAACAGACCGGAATACATCCTAGTCCAAGGTTGTTATCATCAGTATTATTACAAAATTATATATATTATGAAGGTGGAAAAACAAGTACCACGTCTTGCAGGTAAGCTTAGCTATCCAATTCCGATGGTGCAGTTTTCACGTACGATAAAAGATATTTTGATTGATTCTTAACAAACGTGAAAGCTACACTTAATTGTTTGTGTGTAAAATAAAAACCAGGAAAATTCAAAAATAACAAAAACAAAAACAGAAATAACATCTTTTAAATCCAATAACAAATGATTGACAAACAAAGATGCCATGCAAAAGGCAACAACACAAATATTGTTGTAAAATAATTGTAAAATAAGAAAATTGTAAAATAATTGTAAAATAAGAAAATTGTAAAATAAGTTTATAACCAACGAAAAAAAACCATGAAAAAGTTTTGACTTCTCACATTTATTTGCAAAGGAAAAGAAAACTAAAGAGTTGAGATTTGGGAACTGGTCAAAGACCATCATGATTCGCAGTTAAGCATGGACTTGATCCTTTGAACGGTGGAGCTGATCAAGGTATTGACTGTGGTGGCAGATTCTTCAATGTTGATATTAGTACTGTAACGGGGATCGGAGACAAGGATCTGGAAAGCCACGGTGAGGAGTGTTGAGCTACTACCACCGTCCTGCTCGTCCGCAGAAAGAGGACGGCCGTCGCAAGAGATGATGAACCCCGAAGGAAGGATTGGAATGGTGGAAGAATCGATTTGGCCTGAAATGGCGGATGCTGCTGTCTCTAGATCCATTGGAGCGTAGACCACCATACCTCCTAGAGCATCTATGAAGCTATCTTGAAGTATCATCAGTTCATTCTTTTTCTCCCCTCCACTTGAAGGCTACATATGAATACTCAGAGTTTAGTGCAATGCCAAAGATATTGAAATTGTAAGTAATAGACTTCCGTGAAAAATAATATTGATGCATACGAATAACTTTCCTGATTATTCATGATTTATGATCAATTCTAGTGATGAAGAAAGTTGACCCGTTCCATGTATGATTATGATATATTGTAAAAATATCATAAGGTTTTAGTAGGATTAGTAATGTACGTACCTCTAGAAAATTAACATTGTTTTTTGTGTCTGTTCCGGTGATAAAACGAGCAACCTCGGTCACTGGGTTCCCCTGGCAGAGAACGTCCCACTGTTTTTTTACATACAAGCATTATATTAATTTCTTGTTAGTTACCAAAAGAATCAAAAAGAATGTGGAATATAATGTGACATATGTACAATAATCAAGCCAACATCTATATATTCTTACCTGGTGACGAACCTCCAGATTTCTAAGGAAATCGTAGACTTGGAGAGGAGGGAGAGGGAGAGATAAAGATGAACCGGCGCAGACGATGAGACCGGGCGGTTCACCGGCCGCATCGTTTGTCCGCACCGAAATCCTAACCCCGCTGTTATTGGTTTCAGACTGTTGCGAGAAATCCAATTTCTGAACCATATTTATCATCCATGCAAAGTTCTTCGACATTCTTTCTCCCAAACTCATTACGCTCCTTCTGCCTTCCATTGTTTGCACAACTACACAAGAATGAAGACATTTTTCAACTTAATTTAAACAGTTTTAAAATACCAAAATTCTTGAAACTAGCTACCTAGCACTCGTTTGTCGTTTGTGTTACGAATAATCAACTTAGTTTTGTAGTTGGAAGTACCTCCGGCGTAGTCATCGTTGGAAAGGTCAGATACGGAGGAGAGATAGAGCCTCTCACACATCCTCTCAAGAATAACGGTCCAACGTCTAGCTCCGTAACCCAAACCACCGTATAAGAAGAGGTCTCTGTAAAGCCGATGTGGTCTCATTTTATCAGTTACTTCCACATGCTCTACCCACGTCACCTGTCCATTTTCTTTGTTATTTTTATTTGCTTTCAATCACACATATATGAAAGTCATTGTGTAGCTACACACACTAATGATTTCTGTAGAGATGTCTAGATCAATATGTTCATCAATATGGATTAATTGAGAAATATGTGAAAAAGGCTATATCAAAAAAGAGAGAGAGAGAGAGAGACCTTAGAGAAACCATCGGGCAATGCTTGGATGAGTACACCAGAGGGACGTTTGTTGCAAAGGGGAACCGTAGACTCGAACTCAACGTTCGGGATATTACAGGACACGTCAGCTATCATCCAGACATTTTCTTCCATTTGTTGGCAACTTCTTAGGATTATAAACTCTCTCGCTGGCACCAATGGAGACAGTATGTGCATTTGCTCATATATCTATATGTTTTTTTTTCATGTCCAATTTGTTTTCACCAAATGTTAATTTATGTAATCCTTAATAACAGTTAAAGAAAATATATGTATGAAATATTATAAGATTCATATATGTACCACTCTGGAGAAGATTTTTCTTCCTTGGTCCACTGAATCCAACACATAAATCGTTTTCGATTCGTTCACAATTGTTGGGAAAAGCCTTGCCCATTTCTCCTGCAATATATTGAGTGAAATCAACACCGTTATAAAAGGTTGTGTTTTGTATAATACATAGTACTGTATATTTTCTTTTAAAGTAGAATCTTTGAGTTTATTGATTTTTGTGGTATTGCAAGAAATTCTAAATTTTCATTAGCAAAATAGAACAAATAAGAATATTGTAGTTTTTGAATATATAAGAAAAGTATTAAGAGAAATGATAATTCATTTGTTGATGTTAATAATGAAATATAATGGCTCAAGTACGTACCGTATCTAAGAACATGTCAACCAAGATTCTTGCATCCATTTGGACCACCACGACTTCCTTAGAAGACTCAGGACGACCACTTGGGACCTTAAAGTGGTTAATCTTGGCAAAACATTTCTCATAGTTGGATGGATCAATGACGAGCCTACCATCAATAGACGACTTCTTCCACATTGACTCTTCGATTTGAATGAGAGTCATAACCTCTGCCACCGCTTTTTCCGCCATTTCAAACATCACCATTCTATCCATTTGAGATAGCGGTGGGAAATGGTGCAGTGGTAGCTGTTTTGGCGACTGGGGCGGTGCGGTCATGCTGATGTTTTCACGAGAGTATGGTCCTCTTAATGATGAGGATGAAGGCTGGTGGAGATGGTTAGAGGAGGATCCATACGAGGCACGACGATTAGTTGAGGTCGATCCATAGGTTGATGGACCATGGAGAGAGGTGAAGGCATCGACGCTAGGCAATGGGTGGCCTCCGTGCTGGGCTATGTAGCTCGAAAGTCTTTCATACTGATCATATACATATTTTGATCAACAAAACATATTAGTGAGAATTAATATTTCCAATGTAGACACAATTTGTAGTAAAATATAATCTCATATAGTCATTTTTTTTTCTCTCTCTTTCAAATAGTCAATCATTTAGCAACATATACATGAACTCGTGAAAGTTAATATACATTTTTCGTTAAGTATTTGTATGAATACACACCTCTTTCTTGAGAAGAGTGTTCTCTGCACGCAATTTTTGGATATGACGTAATTTCTCTGCACTCCCAAAACCACGACCACTACATGGAGGGCAAACCGCATTATTTAGTGCCTCTTCCATTGCTTCATTCTCACGTCTTATCTTCATGTTATCTGCTCTAAGTGCTGCGTTGTCTGCTTTTTCGCTGTGCGACTAGAAAGAAAAAAAGTTAATCTTAGCTGAAGAATTTAGGTGAACCTATGCAACTGATCTATACAATATTTATTGGGGTGATGATTATGAAGAATGACAATGACTAATAAATCATAATAAATTGGTAAACTTAAATTAAATCCCTTTGTATCTTAAAGTAAACTACAGTATAAAACAAACAATATATCAGACCCCCAAAAAAAACTCACCTTAGCTTGGGTTCTTTTGTTTTGAAACCAGAATTTGATTTGTTTTGGTTTCAGATTCAACTCTTCACTCAATTGACGTCGCTGCAAATCGTCTGGATGAGGGCATTCTTTGAAATACCTTCAATCGATAAATAAAAACATAATGAATTAAGAAGCCTTTAAAAAAAAGTATCACAAGTCGATTGAATTAGATAAAGAACTCACGCTTCGAGCCTTTGAATTTGATGACTAGTGTGGCGGTGGTAATTCCTCTTATCATGATTGTTGTTGGTGTCCGGAGAAGTTCCCCTTTCATCGCTTGAACTGTCGTCGCGACTAGAATCCATTGTTGTTTATCCAAAAGATAGAAAAGTGTATGCACAAGATATGAACAACTAAAAAGGTTATTTATATAAAATACAATAGAAACCTATATTAGGTAAACAATGTATAAAAGATTTTTTTTTTTTGGGTCATCAGATAAAAGTTTCATTATATTGTCTTCAACATTAATTGAAAAATGGAACTAATAGGGGGAGCCTAAGAATAAAACAAAACCATTAATGAAAGAAATCTCAATTACAGATTTTTTTACTTTTGGGGAGCGTTACTGCAATAGGTAATTTGTGATTTAGATTTTATTTTATTTTTTTCAATAAAAAGAGAATTTCTTTATGTGATATTTGGATTTACATCCATCGATGTTTTATCTCGCGTGCAATATGAATGAATGTAAATCTGAAATATTATTAAAAATATAGTAAAAAATAACTACGGATACTACATTTTGACATTCAGTAATTCTGTTGAATTTTAAAATTTTTTAATTAGTATTAACTTATTTAGGTGTCATTTTATTAGCCTCACAGTTCATATACAAGGCCAAAAAATTCTCTTTATAAAATAGTTACATATGTCATTAAATCAAATTTTACTTTAAACTAAAGAAAATTATTAAAATAAAATTTTATCCATATTGTTGTTCTCATCTTTTATGATCCTGTACTTAATCAAGGAAAGAAAAAGAAAGCTGAATTATCTCATCATTTATACTGAATTAATAGTGTCATTTTGTATCTATAATTTGAGTTTGTAAAACACCCAACTTGGGTGACCCAAGATTGAAGATACCATTAAGTTGATGGATGTTGAAGGGGAGAATTCTGAATACACTAGAATTGATCTTAAAAAGATGAAGACGTAATGTTTTCACAAGCTCTTTCTCATAAATATATATGTGATTTTAAAATTTGGTCAATATATATAAATTAATTAATTTTTATAAATTAGGAGTGTTAATTTTTTTAAGATTTGTTATCAAAAATACTTCAAGAAGAAAAAGAAACATATAATTTCCACATATATATGGAAGAAAAAATAAAATAAAAATTGAAATTTATTTACTAAAAGGTGTAGCAAAAATTTGGTATCATTTGTTTTAATATGATCTTCTTTAGGTCCTACAGATAAGAGTGCGACATGGTTTTGTCACGTATGAAATGCATGGTACCAGAGAGTTAACAGCGTTATGGAATAATAGTCACACTATACACAGCTATTCTCAATGGATACGTTCCCTATAACAAATTGCTCAGAAAGTTGTAGAACGAGGTCACGACCGTCTTTAGGTTATTCCCGGTTACATACACACTTTCTTTACTACATTTTGTTATTCTTTCAGATATACAAAAAAAAAATGAAGAAGGACTATCATGATCTATTAAAGAGTACGATTTACGTAATAAAAGATAGAACGAATCATCCATTAACTAAATTATAATTTAATCAAGTAGAGAATCATTAAGGAAGTCCAGAAACCACAAAAAAGACTTTGTACATATTATTGGTTCTTTTTTTTTTTTTTTTTTACTTTTCTTTAAATGAAAAATATATGTTATGCAGCACATTAATATACGAAACTCAATGCAATATTATCTTTAGGGCGATCGAATTTGACGATCTCGTTTCAGGAAGCGATGATAGTAAATAGTAGAGGACTAGAGGGAGATGGTGATGATGTGGTCGGTCCGTAATTTGGTTTATATACCTAGGAAGTGAATAGTCACTATACGTTTAGTCTTGCGTGGATATATATATATATATATTTTTTTCTTCTCGCGCTTTGCGTACGTTGTCAGTGTTTTTGTCGTATATATTTGTTTGTGATCAGTGAAATAAACTTTTTATTTTTTTCTTTTCTTTTCCTTTACGTACTAAAAGTAATGTGCTATACCAATAAATTGAACACGCAATAATCTCCTCCGATCATTATTTAAAAAACAACAGAAACTTAAAAATGAAAATCAACTGAACTAATTGGAAACTTAAATTTATTCTCTTGTGAGAGAAATACAATCTCCACAATGATTATTAGAAAAGAAAAACAACTGAACTTATTGGAAAGTAGAAAGTAAATTCTTATTTCGATCCATGAAAAAAACTAAAAAGGCAACACCGATCTAACCTCAAACCTCAATAACACCATCGCGTCTCGTTGTCGTTGTCTCTTCAGGGTCAACGTCTTTCTTTTTATGTCCATAAGGAATGTTTGCAAACCTAAAAAACACAAGGACTATGGCGGAGAGATAGCAAATAGCTGATCGGCCATAATCTATCTCATGGTCCAGCTTGAAAGAGATGGTGATGCCAATCGCTAACAAACTGTCTGACAAGGCAATGAGATCTTTCATCGTGAAGAGCTTAGTGAGGGACACCACGTGGAGATGAGAGCAGAAAAAGAACCCCACCGAATATCCATCTAACCCTTTTTTTGCGACCAGCAAATCTGATATGTAGGCGAACAAGGTCAGCAGCCCTACAACTCCCAGAGAACGTGCAACTTGGTATAAACACCAAAGCTTTTTCTGATCCTTACGTAGAGTCTTGAATCGAGCTCTCACACTTTCCCTCCTCTCGAAGATGTAGAGTAAAAGAACCACATAGGCGACTGACGCAAAGATGCAAGTGAACAATGCCACCAGGAACTCAACCGTCGTCTTCTTCGTCAGCTTTAGACCTCTCGCCTTCCAACCATAAAACTCAGCGACACCCAGAGCTGCAACTACCTGAAGAGACAGCATCTCGGGACGCTTGTAAATTTCGGTACAGCATCCATTACAACAATCTCCAAAGGCCCGAGCATTGAATTCTTCGGCAGCTTGTTTGGAAAAAGGGAAAAGAAAAGCCATCGATCGTTTACGAGAGAGACAAGGAAAAGATATGAACTTTGATTATTAGGTCGGATGATTTTTCTACAAGTGGGGTGTGTGCTTTTATACTACATTGGAACAATCTAGAACTCTCTCATACACCACGACAGCTGTAAATATGCTTAGTCACTACCTAGAGAAGGGAATCAAATCGGATTTTGAATGGGGAGCGTCTCTCGTCTTCAACCTCTCTCGACTTTTGCAGGTACAGAAGCTTTGTCTTCTTCTGCGGTTCTGTGGAGGACTACTTAGTTGGGCCTGACTTCTTCAATTGGACTTGATGTTGTGATGGGCTGCATTGCTCAGAGTTTAGTTTTAGGAGAAGAATAAAGGAAAACAGACAACTGCGAGTCTGGGATGGTCTAACGGCTTGATTTGTGACGTGTGATATTTTCACAGCCGTACGAGTGGGTTTTAAAAAACTGTTGTCGCTTATACATACATAATTTACACATACAGTGCAGTGCATGCAGATATTACGTTTTCGTATACTAAAGGAATCTTTGTCGTAACCAAAAGAAAAGACTGATTGGTATGGTAATAAAAAAAAAAAAAAGACTGATTGATATTGTCGTAAACATATATATATATATATATTGGCATTTGTGATATAATGTTTGGTTTACTCAAAAAAAGGGGATTGTAAAGCAGGCTGAACAAGCCCAATATAAGAAAGGCCCATCAAGTACAAAACTGAGTAGCAACGGTCATATTTGACCAAAAGCAGCTCGTACAGATTTGTCTCAATCCAGCTCAGTCAAAGATTCAAAGCTGGATCAATGAGCTGTCAATACCACCTGTCTAAAATCTAGATGGTTCTCTTTTGTTCTATATAATACATAGATAAGAAGAGCGATCATAACTTTTCCAGATCAAGGAATAAAATAAGTTGCAGTCTTGATATTTCGAATAAGCCAACTTGTGTTTCGGCTCAGTTTTAGACTTGATGGGCTTCGTCTTCTATTGGGCCTATCCAGCCTGCAAACCAAAAGCTATGGAATTCAGAAGATATATCAGAAAATATCCCACCATGATCAGTGAATAATTGAGTCGACAAAAAAAATTGATCAGTGAATAATTGCTTATGAAAGCATTTGCTTAAACAAAAAATACTTCTCAAAAGATATTTGACGCTATTTCCTACGCCCATACGTACACCATATATTATACGCGAATCTTTTTAGTTAAGCAAAATGTTCAACATAAATTAATTTAACATGTGTTAATTATTTCTTGTTTATTACGATTTGATCGAAAAAAAAGTTGTTAGATTAATTGTCCTTAATAATTACTATTGCGAAATTCCAAAATAATTTGGTAATGATTAAAAAACGAAGTTAACATATAGAGAGAGCTAAATGAACTTCAACGTAAAAATAAAAACGAGCTATTAAGTAATTAATTTCGAAAAAAGTGAACGGTGACATGGAGAAGTATAGAAGAAACTCACACACACTAAGTTTTTAAGTAATCTTTATTACATGGTGAGCACACAAGCTTTTCCTCTTTGAACAAATGATTAAGAAGGAAGAGGGGAAGATGAGTAAGTATCACTCTTCTCGAGGACGTGAAAATTATGCTCAATGATCCACCAGTGAAGGAACCAAGAAACGCACATAAGAATCGCTATCACTAACAAATTTTGGCCTGTAGAGATATAAAGTCCAATAAGAGAGGCAAACAAAGTAAAGAAAAGCGTGAAATAAGCATGTCTCATCTCCATCCTAAACTTCTCCGATAGCTGAATCAGACCTATCCCTCCGGTGAACAAGGATACGGTGAATAATGAAAATTTCAGCACAATCGAAAAATCATCCACCACAATACGTGATAGCAGCGGTGATACAACAATGGCCAGTATGGCGAATTCCGCAAAGATAACCTGAGGAATCTTCTCTCCTCTAGTAGTGAAGTCTCTGTAGAAACTAGCAGTAGTGGAGGTGGGAAGATCGGTGAAGAAGAGAAATCTGAGTAGCGTCACTCCGTAGAATGTTGTGGCACTCACCGCACCGTCCCTGCTGAACCGAGACCTTGACGATGGCTTTCCTCCTGCTGGCCAGAGAAGGTTGAGTGATATGGAGAGGCCAAGGAGCGATAGCACAACCATCACATACCATACTCCTCTGCATACAATCACATCTCTTTTACTCATCACCATCTCTTTTAAGTTGCCCATTTTCTTATCCATTCTACTGTATTTGAAGCCCGATCGATCTCCTCGTGTGTGTCTATAAATATATATATATAGGGCGTAGGGTAAGGAGTAAGGATTGTGTTAGGGTTCTTGACTTACTAAGATCTTCAGTAATCAGTACTATGATCACAACTAACAAACAAAATATAAACAACTCATGCTTTTGTTCAAAAAAAAAAAACAACTCATGCAATAGGTTATAGGCTTATCAATCACGTAAATATTATATACTCTCCTTTTATTTTGGTGAATTAAGATTTTTAAGAAGATCTTTATAACAAATTCATTGAAAGAATTTTTTTTTAAAAAAAAATTCCATGAGTAACAATTAAAATCAAACTGAAAGGTATTTTAGTCATTTATTTACACGATAAAGTTTGGTAATTTTAATTCAAATTAACCGGTACGGTTCTCATGATATATTGATATATATTCACACGTACCTTAAGTAAACATTCTTCTAATTAAGAAAAATATATGCTTATTACGTGTACATGGATCGGAGAACAATTTTAGTTCTAGAATCTCTATTTGATTACATATAAATGATATATCATGATAGTTGTTGAAACTAGAAAGAAATATGAAATTTTTTATAATTAAGTTTTTTTATAATAGTGTCTACGGTTAAATTCGTAGTGTAATCTACGGCCTACCGGAAAGCTTTATATATGCATTTTTATTTATACTCGTTCGGGGATAAAATTATATTCCCAAAGGGATAATTTTCAAATCCATGATTTCTGCGAATCCAGCCATGTTAACTTGACTGTTTACAAAAAAAAAAATTAGAATATGATTTATTTATTTTTTTGTAGTAGATTATAGTACATTATTTAAGTTAACGATGGTAAATCATTTTCGAGCATGTTGAGTTGTGTCACATATTTGTTGTTTAGTACATATTTTTAATTCTTGTAGTAGCAGCAGTGTATAATTGTATATGATTAGGTGCACATGGATGTGCCCTACTAGACTTTTTTTTTTAATTAGATTTTTCCTACTAATTACTATAATTATTTTATTGAATAATTGTGTCATAGCCATCATAGTGTATATGTAATAGAAAAATAGACACTAAAATGGTTTTAGTTTCTTTATAACACTAAATTAATCTTAATTAATTTCACCTTTTTGTTACAGTACTTAACTTCTTATATAACTTTAATTTCATATGTCTACGTGTATATACATATTTCATCTTATGAGAACACATGTTATTTAAGCTTTAGCTCACGAAAATTGAAAAACTTGATGTCGATATATTTGATTTTTCAAGTTAAAATATGAAAGATTAGCTAAATTATATCATGGACTCAATAATAGAGACTAAACTAAATAACAATAACTTTACAGTCCGTTCTTAGTTGGAGTATTTATAAGTTGGTAAATATATGATTACGAACATCAACTGTGCACTAGGCAAGAACTTAATTATGTAGTATGATGAACAAATTGAGACATATACACATTATGACTAATTTCATTTGCTATTTCAATAACCATTTTCCCTATACGGGTATACTGATCCTAACGACCTTCAATCCTTCATAGAAAGTAAAAGTAAAAATTATCCATACGCGTCATCTTCAGTGTTTTCCTGTAAAAAAAAAGGTGGAAACCATTGGTGTAATTGTGTATGAGAGGACAAAACTATACATTCCTCTAATTATATAAACGTTTTGTCTTTAAAGAAAAAAAAAAAATTGCATGCAAAAAGAGAAAATTCTGAGAAGACTTTTTGTATTCACATCAACACATAGTCAAAGATTCAATTCAATGTATATATATATTCCATAAAAAGCTTCTCTTTTCATCGGATCCTATTCATCATTTACTAGAAACTATAAATCGTTTATCAAAAACAAGAAGAAGGGAAAACAAAAACTAAAACCGTGTTTTCAATGTGCTTTTATATTCATATATGATTCTAATTAGTTTAGATTTTGAAAATATACATATAAACTTCAAACAACACTTGTCAAAAAGATATTGATGGGTCAAAGTCTTAACACAGAAAGTGAAACTAGAGGCATTAATCTGCTAAATCAAACAAAGTCTAGGACTTGGGAAGAAATATTCCCACAAAAGGAAGCTTCGAAAAAACTCGTTTATATGATATTTATTACACCAAGTGACCCCAATCAATTGATATAAAACCCCCCCTAATTAAGGTGTTTCTCTTATTCCTCAATTTATCCATTCATCACTTTCCTCAATCTCACTTTCTCTCTTATAAGCATCTCCTTGGTCTTCGCTCTCTCTCTCATCGCCGTGATGGTGCTCTCCCACGCCGCGTCGGAGTCGGACATCTCCGTCCACTCCACATTCGCATCACGATACGTCCGTACTTCACTTCCTAGGTAATAAATATAAGTAACACTTAATATAATAATCTTGATCACATTATTATACATATGTAAATATCGTTAAAAATGCATGTAATGATCAGGTTCAAGATACCGGAGAACTCGATACCGAAAGAAGCGGCGTATCAGATCATCAACGACGAGTTGATGCTTGACGGTAACCCACGGTTGAACTTAGCCTCCTTCGTGACGACATGGATGGAGCCTGAGTGCGACAAGCTCATCATGGCCTCTATTAACAAGAACTATGTTGACATGGACGAGTACCCCGTCACCACCGAACTCCAGGTATATTTCTTTTTTTTTTAATCAACATATATGGTCAACATGATTGTTTCAGAATGAGTTCTAAACATAGTTGATTACGTTATATATTAATTTTATTAAATGATTCTCGGATCTTGAGTGCATGATAGAATGTGATACAATAAACTCAAATATTTGGACTGGCCATTGATATATATTTTGGATCGAGATTATACGGTATATACCATGATTGACGTTTTGGGATTGCCGTAATTAAAGACCATGATTAATTAGTATAACTTGTAAGATGTTAGTGAATCTTTTTTCTATATGCATACCAACTTTGTTGACTTTTCATTTTTGGCTGTGTTGATCAATTTTGTGTGATTTGGAAAACTATAGTATTGAGGGTATCATTAATTATAATTTATTTCCACTTATGTTAATTATTTTTTGGGGGAGGTTGTATCTCGGAAGTACAAGGTGTCGATATCGTAGTAGTTGAGTACTTGTGTTATTATTCGTGAGGGTCTTTTTAAAATCTCCGTCTTAATTAATAGTATTTGATACTATAAAGGTTGTATCATTAATATGATGCTTGATCAATGAATCTTTTTCTACATGTATAAAATATATAACTACTATATTGACTTTTTCATATGAACGTGTTAATCAAATTTGGAATAATTTGGACTATACTAAAGTGATTTAGGGGGAATATTTGTACTACTTTATTTCCCCAAGCCATTTGTGCAATAGCTGGATAACATTTTTAATTATTGTTATATTTTGATCGGGTCATCACAGAAATAAATAGTGAGAAACCAATATAAATTATATATCGATCGGTTATACTTTCAAATAGTACATTCCTCCTATTTTATTTAAACTGACAACTTGAAAAAAAAAAATCACATTCTTGACATTATTTAATCTTGTTGTCAACAATCTGATCGTAATTATTTACATCATAAGGTAAACATGATATCATGTTGGGGTTATAGAATAGTAGTAATTGTTATGACTTAATTATCTCCACGACGTAGTGTGTACTGTATTATATTACTTTTGCTTTTACATCTGTCACGTTCGTGAATCATCCACTAAGATTGTATATATTTTATGTAAGTATCAATCTCGATGTGAGAAAAGTGATTAGTCAAGTTGGGTTTACACTAATTATTCTTTTTGTTTCAATATTGGAAAAAAACAAATAAAATAAACAGAACCGATGTGTGAACATGATCGCACATCTATTCAATGCACCGTTAGGAGAGACGGAGACAGCCGTCGGTGTAGGAACCGTCGGGTCATCCGAGGCCATAATGTTGGCCGGTTTGGCCTTCAAGCGTAAATGGCAGAACAAGCGTAGAGCCGAAGGCAAACCTGTCGATAAACCAAACATTGTCACCGGAGCCAATGTTCAAGTAATTAGCTTAACGTTCTTCTAAATGAAATCTTTAAGAAGCTTTAATCATTTTGATTAATTTTCTTACAAACAGCATTCAAAAATGTTTAGGTGTGTTGGGAGAAGTTCGCTAGGTACTTTGAGGTTGAGCTCAAGGAAGTGAAACTTAGTGAAGGATACTATGTGATGGACCCGCAAAAAGCTGTTGACATGGTTGACGAGAACACTATTTGTGTTGCGGCCATTCTTGGTTCCACTCTTAATGGAGAGTTTGAAGATGTTAAACTCTTGAACGATCTCTTGGTTGAGAAGAACAAAGAAACAGGGTAATTAGTTAATAATGGATTGTTTACATGCATGATCGCACTACAAGATAAATAATAAAATAGACTAAAACATGTGTGTTTTGATAGTTGGGACACACCCATTCACGTGGATGCGGCAAGTGGAGGATTCATAGCACCGTTTTTGTATCCAGAGTTGGAGTGGGACTTTAGATTGCCGTTGGTGAAGAGTATCAATGTGAGTGGTCACAAGTATGGACTTGTGTACGCTGGAATTGGTTGGGTGATTTGGAGAAACAAAGAGGATTTGCCTGAGGATCTCATCTTCCATATCAATTACCTTGGTGCTGACCAACCCACTTTTACTCTCAATTTCTCCAAAGGTAACTTTTTACTTCAATATTGATTTTTTTAATTATTACTCATCTTTATATATCTTTCTTGATAGTCCTGATCTTTTTTTTGTTCGACTTTAATTACTAGTCATGATCAAAGTGATGAATATATTAGTATTGCTTGAAAATTTTAATATACAGAAATTGATTTCATAATCCTTTCAGTTTTTTTTTTTTTAATTAATTATTTTCGTGTTAGTCTACTCTAGTAGTTGATCATCATCATTCATTGTGATGGAGCAACTGAGGTCAAACTTTTATTCCATTTAAAAATTAAGGAAACTTCGCCAAAGTGATGGAGGTCAAATTTGTTTGCAGTTTAATATTAGGGGAAAACGTAACATAGAGGTTATCGTATTCGAATGTGAATGTTTTATTTTATTCATTAATTTAATCTACCAATAAACGCAGGTTCTAGTCAAATCATAGCTCAATACTATCAACTTATCCGACTGGGCCACGAGGTAAAGTCTGACCACGATTATAAATTAATTAGATAAATTATTGCTAATTATATTAACTAGACCGTTGTTAGTTAACAATTAAAATGTAACAAACAGGGTTACAAAAATGTGATGGAGAACTGCAGAGAGAATATGATCGTGCTAAGGGAAGGACTTGAGAAGACAGAGAGGTTCAACATTGTATCCAAGGACGAGGGAGTGCCACTTGTCGCTTTCTCCTTGAAAGATAGCAGCTGTCACACTGAATTCGAAATTTCCGACATGCTTCGCAGGTTAGCTGTCTTAACTAAGAATATTTCATATACTTTAGATATATGTTTGATGTATATATAGTGTAAACTAAGTTCTCTATGAATAATTTGTAATGTAGGTATGGATGGATAGTACCAGCCTACACAATGCCTCCAGATGCACAGCACATAACTGTTCTCCGAGTGGTTATCAGAGAAGATTTCTCGAGAACACTTGCGGAGAGACTTGTGATCGATATCCAGAAAGTGATGCATGAGCTCGACGAGCTTCCTTCTCGAGTGATCCACAAAATATCACTTGGAGAGGAGAAGAGTGAAGCTAACAGCGATAACTTGATGGTTACGGTGAAGAAAAGCGATATCGAGAAGCAGAGAGAGATCATCAAAGGCTGGAAGAAGTTTGTCTCTGACAGGAAGAAGACTAACGGTATCTGCTAATCGAATATTTAACGAAAATGTTTGAAGACTTTATTAATAACGCATTTGCATTGATTTGGGGATTTGAACGTTTATTTTCCATTATTGTTGAACCAAGTTTCGATTTATTTTGGTTTTGTAATATCGTTTGGTATTATTATTGCAAAATTAAGAGATAATTTTAACGTGTTTTGGTTCTTATTGCATCCCCATTATTATATATCGGATGAAGAGATCTAATAATCTCAGTAGAACACCTAAAACTAGATGGAAAAAAACTGTAACCAAAAAGCTAGGATCATTGTATATAGTAGATTAAAAACTGTAACCAAAAACTTAACTATATCAAGAATTCAAGAACAAAGTGAAAAAAATAAAATAAAAAACCTAAACATAACTAAAAACCCTTATAATTATAAATCAATAAAGTCTAATAAATAAGAAAACCCTAAGCCGGCGAAGGAGCAGGAGCTGATGAAACAACTTTGTTAGAGCAATGTCGTTTAACAAGGCCATTGAAGAAACGGCTATGGAAAGATCCAAACACGGTCTTCTCGCAATCACCTTTCATCTTTACGATGGCGGCGCAGCAATCCGATCCAATAGCGGGTTTGTGGGTGACGAATGCTTTGGTGATATCTGCAAAACATGTTTTAACCTCTTTGCAGTCAGACAAGCATTTAGCAACTTCCGGTGGTGGGTGGAAGTGGCCGGCAGGGAGAGGAGGGAAGGCTCTTCCGAGAGCAGGGAACGGGAAACGTGGCTTGTGGTACCACCACTGGAGCTTTTCATCACGTAATGATGGAGTTGACTCCAAAACCCTTGCTGCAACTTGGGACGTGACACAGCATGTAAAGAGAATCATAGCAACAAGAATTGTTGAAGTCTTCATCTTCTTCTGAACTTGTGAGAGTTTTAGAGTTTCTGAAGAATGCGATTTTTTTTTTGTTTTCTCGTGATGATTTTACGATGGTAAAACGTTGGGGGCTTATATAGGGGTTTATTAAACAGATTTTTGATAATTTCGAATAATCTATGTATATATCATCAATGGAATATTCTTTAATGTAATGAAATATGATGTTATCGTATATATTATCAGACTACATTTTATATTTAGTTTCGTTCTAGATAATATATAATGTTAGACCTGTGTTGAAATGATCATTATCTTAACAAAAAATATTTTTATAATGGAGCCTAATTACTGATAAGTTTATATAACAACAACCAAAACGGAATCTAATATTCCCTCGGTTTCACTTATTCCAATTCCACGGTTTAATGTTTTCTAACCAGTCAAATTTGGGCTGACAATTCAGAAACTAGGCCATTAACATCTATTTATTCTTATTTAATTTATCAATAGTTAAGGATCTCATAACTAAATAACTTATTACGTTTAACAAAATGCTAACGTTAGCAATACATACAATCTCACGCGAATAAAATATATGCATTCTTACTCTGAAAAGGTAAATAATTAATGAAGTGAAAAAGTTTTGAGTAAGTTTCAATTGTATAGAAATTAATTTTCATTTTTTAATATTTTCTTCATTTCATTACTTATGTTTGTTAAAAGGATCCGTTTCTTATGTTGGCCAAGATGAATTATTCAAGGATTGCGTAAAAAAAAAAAAACACTGCTAAATGATAACTTTATTAATTAAGAAGAAAAGACTAATAAAAAGAGAGAAAAAACAAAGAACATAACTAAAAAAAGAAGTACTAAGAAAACAAAGAACGAATTCGAACGAGTAAATAACTAAAACAACTAAGCTGGGGAAGGAGCAGACGGAGTGGAGGCAGCCTTGGTGGAGCAATGAAGCTTAACCAAGCAGTCAAAGAAAGGGTTGTGGAACGCTCCAAAGACAGTCTTCTGGCAATCGTCATCCATCTTCTTGATGGAGGCACAACAATCCAATCCAATAGCCGGTTTGCGGGTAAAGAAAGCTTTAACAATATCCGCAAAACATGTCCTTACATCCTTGCAGTCGGACAAGCACTTGGTGACAACCGGTGGAGGATGGAACGGTATTGGGTGGAAACCGGCAGGGAGTGGTGGGAGTGCCTTTCCTCCGGTGGCCGGGAACGGCCAATGTGGCTTAGGGTGATAGTAAGGGTAGAAATGGTGGTAATGCCACCATTGGAGCTCTTCGGTTCCTAAGGATGGATTGGACTCAAAATCTTGTTGTCCTATGACTAGACATGTGACACAGCTTGATGAGAAGAGAATCATGGCAATAAGAATCGCGAGATTCTTCATTTTTTGGCGATCTTTGATTGGGAGACTTTTTTGAGGTTTGGCTATGTGAAATGAGAAGAAATGGGGGGTTTTGATGGTGTTTGAGATGGAAACGACGTAAGGGTTTATATAGAGAGGTTATAAATTTGGGTTTTAGATTAAACTTCTTTGGTTGTTGATAATTTCGAATTGTGTATATTATTGGAATATTCTCTAATATACTCAATGTTGTTGTTTTTTTCTTTTCTTTGTTTTTCTCACGGCGTGAATAGTTGATGCTCGTTATGATTTTTGTTATCTTTTTCCCCCTCAAATAATCGAATGTAGCATGAGATTTGAGTATATCGTTAAAGTTTAGATAATTAATTTTTTGGACTTGTTCATCGTGTAAATAAAAGGGTGAACAGCAACTGATCTCAATATGTTTAACATGTATGCTCTCTATTTTTCAGGTTATGGAGGAATATGCTGGAACTAAATTAAAGTGTTAAATTTTGGATATTCCAACCAGTAAATATCTAAAATTCGTACATTTATGATATTAATTTACTTGTAGGAATTTAATCAAAAACCATATAAAAATTAAATACTGCCCTACTGTACACATATGTCAAGTAAATTGTAATGAAGGAGGAGCTAAACGGGAACTTAAATACTTCCATACACGTACACATATGCATGAACTACAACAACGTCTCATGATCTAATTGTCACAACTCAAAAATTATATTTATAGTGTAAGCACAACTTTCCTAATTATATTTCTATTAAACTAAATAACTCCTCATTCTACTAGGATTAATCAATCAAATATCTCGCTGCATCACTACCAAACATGTTAGAAATATCTCAGGCTGCAAGTTATTGGAGCTTATCCAACAAATTCGAAGAACAAATAGAGCACTAAAAACAAACGCCCATAGTAAAAACAAACGCACTAAACAGTAATTCGTTTTGTACTTTTTTACAAGTTTAAACAAACGCCCATCTATTTCTCTATTTGTGACTTCACTAGTGAGATTTTTAAAAATCTAAACAATTTTCTAAGGTTATCAAAATATAGATATTTTAATTTGTAATCTGGCAGCGTATATTGAAATTTTGCGACTATCTCTCGTGGTATGCGTACGAAAGAAGAAACTCAGTGGAGAAAATCACGAGTGGCAACACAATATGACAGATTCAAGGGAAATGTTGGCAAGAGAGAATCATTTTAGTCGAGAGTGCATATATCTCTCTATCCCTTTATAGTTTATATATATATTCTTTTTGGTCCTAGCTTGTACAAATAATTTAAAACTAATCTCACTAAAACGTATGCACAATATATTTATGAATTGTTTCATAAGATCGTGACCTCCTTTCAAGAGATCCCCAGCAACTAAATCTATAAGAAAATTTTCATGTAGAAGTAATAAGAATATTGAAGTGGCTAACTAGAAGAATATATTACAAGTTAGTAGTTATAATATAATATCATCGTTCCTTAAGATTTATATTATTTTCACTCATCAATTATACTAACGTTCAATTAGTTTTACAAGTCATGGGTTTTACAAGGTTCAACTATATATATCATAATATTCACTCCATTGCAATGAAGTGATGGTGCATGCTGAACGTTCTCGTGACCACGAGATCCTGATGACGTTAGTACAAAAGAAGAGGTAGGTGTACGTGTTTGAGAGTTGAATAGTAGTAAAACAACAGGAATGAATCTTGCGGTCAGTAGGAGAATATATGAAACATTCAATTATATATATAAGCAGTTAATTAATGCTTAATTAGATCGCAAGTTAAACGTTAACCACACAAAAGTTGTTAATGTGAAAAATTCAAACCGAGCAAGGCTTAGCTAGTCAAATGAATTATAAATTCCATTTAATTCTACAATAATGATATCATCATATGATGTATAAACTTGTAAAATACTAGAAAATAAAAAGGGAGACAGACCCATGGATAAGGGAAACAGTCGGATAACAAAGTCAAAGGATCCTCCAAATCAGAGGAAAGGTTCCCACCTACGGCTACGGTTCCGTATACCAATCAACCAAATCGAAAGTGCCAAGGAAATGAGGGATGGGTCCTCAACACGCGACTTGTATAAGTGGCAAAACTTATTAATACTAATAATCAACTCATTAAGAATTCCTAATTATCATTATAAAAAGGATATCATTTTGAAACTTTTGTTGTGAGATAACAACTGGAACTATGGAGGAAGTTAGTAATAATAATAGTATAGATAGATGTTGCGTCCTTGATCCTTCCCTTGCTTTCAGCTTCCGTTTTTTATTTCACTCATACTACGTGGTACACTACATACATACATATATATGCTCTTGCTGTTAAATCTTGTTTAATTTGTTAATTTCATTTCAGTTCACACTTTTGATATTTTTATTTAATCCTACTTACAAACTATTGTAAAAAAACCGGAAAACCTTTTTGTTTTTCTTCCAATTTGGTTAAAGTTAAACCTTAGAAAATAAAATAAAAATAACATTTTATGAGTTATAACTAACTTTTATTGACAAAAACTATAGTTATTTTTTTTGGCCATTTACAACTGATAACTTCCATGTAGAGTAAAGTGATAATATATGATAAGTAGAGAAGAAGAAAAAAAGAAAAGATGGCTATATAGAGGAGAGGAGAGTCCATAGACCATAGACTAAAGAAAAACACGGCTATAATATTTGAATATATTTATATAGTAAAAATGCAAAATACGCGCATTCAACCATATAATGTCAACCTCTCTATATGCACAACTGTCTATCTCCACCTTATAATTATTATTATTATACTATTCTTTTTTTGTCTTCCAAAAACATTCATTCTCTTGTATATATATATATACTCTCTTCTTGGATCCTCTCTCCCAAAGTCCTTAACCAAACAAATAAAGAACATTCAATTTCCATAGCTTCTTCTATCCTTTCTTCACGTAATGGGAAACTATGTTTCATCCGCACTAAGCAAAACGTCTTCTTCTTCTTCTTCATCGGCGGCGAGAGTGATACTCCCGGACGGTGGAGTGCGTCATATCCACGCGCCGATGAAAGCTGCCGAGCTAATGATGGAGATCCCGAGTTTCTTCCTCGTCGACGCCAAGTCTTTAAAGATCGGTCGGAAACTTAGCCCTTTAGCCGCCGACGACGACCTTCAGATCAGAGGATGTCACGTGTACGTGGCTTTCCCCATGACGCGTTCCACGTCAGCTGCTAATGCTTCGGATTTGGCTCGGCTGTTCGTTGCTGCTAAGAAACAGCGTCGCCGCCTCGTGGGTAGTGGTTGTTCAGGCGCCGCCGTCAAATCACACTGCCACAACAACGGAAAGGTTTCGCCGGACGGGGAAGATAATGATGATGATGACGTAAGGGTGGTATCGAAGCTGAATTTAGAAGATATCGAAGAGTTTTCGGCGGCGGAGTTTATGCATAGGATCTCTGTTTCCAAATCTAAGAAACCAAAGTTAGAAACTATAGTTGAAGAATCTTTGTCTTAATACTCTCAAGACAAAAAATATGATCAATTTCATTCTTTTTGTCCCTCTCTGCGCAAGTGGTTTGGTTTCTCTCTTTTGTGGTTTATTAATGAACAGAAAGAGACATTTTAGTCGGAGATTATTATTATATGAAACATTTGATGATCTTTCCATTTTTTTTTTGGGGTCCGATTATATAAAACAACGCAATTTCTTTAATTACTTGAATTGTTTAAAAGATATGAAACACTCGTTAGCTAATTTTTTCTTCTTGGATTTTTAGTTTCAATCAAGACAAGAACATTATAAAATGATAAGAGTAACATTTATAAACTGACATATAATTATCAACCAAAAATATGACACAGAACCATTGATAAAATTTCAAATAAGAGTTTAAGATCAGCGTAACACAGAAGAAACACAATTTGTTGCCTTGTGGAGGAGAGAAAGATTTTGTATTCTTAAGAAAATTAATGTAATTATTAACTTAATTAACTCTCACTAATTGACAATTTAACACGATTTGATGCGTATACGAATCCGTGAGTTAAGATATCTAATTATAGTAGTCATTTTTCACGCAGAGATGTGTAGTCTCTCTAACGACTTGTATTTTTCGTGTTGGTCATGTCGGTTAATTATTTTTGCGAGTATATTAGTATTAATTAATTTAACTTAGCTAAATATAATATATTTAATTAAGTGCGTTATCAATTAATTTTTATGCTATTAATTCAATAATCACGTATTTATTTTTTCCTTAAACCCGAATAGTAACGTGCCCATTGGTCTCCTTGACACGACGCCGTCGCCGCTCGTCACCGTTCGTCTCTGATATCGAGACTCCTTCGATAATCGGAGGCTCGAAGCTTTAAATCTCCCGATTATCACCAAAAGCGAAGATTCTCGCCGGAGATTTCAACTTGACGTAGCAAGGCCAAAGGTTCGATTTTTAATCTTTGTGTAAGGGGACGGTGTATATCCGGAAGAACATCGGTGAAGCTTTATGGTATTAGGATGATCATGTTCAATCCTTGATGAATCAGTATACGTCAAAGGAGAAAGATGGGTCATTTCGTAATCTGATAGGAATCTGAACAAGATTTAGGATAGTTTTGATGACATCAGATCATTTTAGAGACTCATAAGCCTGTGGAGGAGGTTAAGGAGGTCAGATATTTAGGAAAAGTGAAGCCAAGTGAAACGTTTTGTGTAGTACTAATTTGTGAAGGTGATGGGTGATGAGAATCTTGCTCACAAGCCTCTGGATGAGAAGGTTTCGTTGGATGTGACTTGTGGTAAGGAGGAGGAGATTGTGGAAGAGCTAAGGAGGTGTTTGCCCAAATGGGTTACACAAGAACAAGTTACAGATATGATTAGAGGGACATGGAGGAACATTGTCGAAATCGTTGATAATTTTTATGAGCACGAGACTAAATTCTATGAGCAAGTCTCTGCTGTTATATCTTTCACTTCTGGAGATGGGGTCATCAGTTCGGGTAACCATGATGCATTTGTTTCGAAACTGGAGTTTATTCATTGTGATACCGAGCGAAATGAAAGTTGTCAGCCATCGCAGTTTCACAAGCTTAAGAGCATGAGTAGTTCTCAGAAGAGCTGCATTTCTCCTGTGAAAAGGAACAAGAAGATAAAAGGTAAACCCAAGAAGAAAGGAAAAGCTTCTTCTATGATAGAATCTGCAGGTCCAAAGCAAGCTTCAATAACTAAATTCTTCAACATAGTTCCTTCAGATGAAACCAAGGCTTAAGAGGCTCAAGAAGCAGTTTGTCTGGATATTTTGAAGTAATGTGGTTAGCTGTTTCTGCAAAATCTGGTTGAGGGATGAACTGTTGCTTGATGTCAACTGATAATGCATCATTGATGCGGCAGAGAAGCGAGAATGTTGGATGATTAGGATTTGCTTGTTCATTTTCAGCCAACTATGAATCTTGGAGTATTGTCCCATCTTCACAGCAACTATGACCTAAAGATCTTGCGCCAGCTTTTTTGCAATGTAAGAAGCTCAATGTTTTGTCTACATTGGCCTCGTTTAGAAAGCTTAATTATAGAAGCATACATTGTCCTTGATCATTTTTTTTAGTCGGTGTTGTTGATTCTGAAGAGAAATCCCTTTTTGTTTGAACGTTATCTAGTTCCAGACCTTATTCTGGCAACGAACGTATGTAGCTTAACAAAATTCAGTGTTTGATTGAACAGCTTTTCCCAAAACTCTTTAGCATTGAGGATGGAAGAGAGCACTAAAAAGAACAGAAGAATTTTGTCTCTTTACAATTTTAAAAGAACTGATTCTATGATTACTGTTACAAAGCTAAAAAAAATTAACTTTCTATCCTCAAGATCATGGTTCTGCTGCCTTCTGTTGAATACGAATAGCAACCAACAGCTTTCATTGTCTTAGAACCTTCTTGCTAAATAGTGGTCATCTTACAAGACATTAAATATTGCTTCGTGCGATCCAAGCCATGCCCCGTGATTAATGCTATCTTTCCGGTCTCTTTGCCCTGAAAATCCAGCATTACAAGTTTCAGTTTACGCTAAGATAAGAAAAAAGAAAACTAGAAGTCTAGAAGCAGGAGAAAGATCAGTGTGTAAGTACTTTCATCAGTAGACCAACACACAACTGATGAGACAGAGTCAGAGAATTTGTTTTCAGACAGCAGTTGGCCAGATTTGATACTCCAAATGCGAGTATAACAGTCTTCTCCTCCTGAATCACACACCCAAAGACAAGTAAACTTGAATCATCTCACTATAATCAAACTCCTACGCTTTTCAAAGATCCAACACAGTGGTTACAAGGTGTTCTTCTTTATTACCTGATAAAAGAAATTTTTCTGACGGGTCAATGCCAAATTCGATGCGAGTATGAGAATTTACATGCCCTTCATATGTCTGTACAGCGACCCCTCTCTTAACCAAGCGTTGGTCGTATAACCTGATCTAAGAAAAGAGAAAAGTTTGCCTCATTAGATAAGGATTGAAATGCTCTTGACAATCTCTTAGTAAGTATAAGAGTAAGCTATAGCTAGTAGTGGTACTCACTGTTCCATCCATGGAGCTTGCCATTAAGTACTGATCAGAAATTTTAAGTGTCTTCAGGCTGGAGAAGGAATGAGATAATTATAGAGTCATAAAAACAAAGAAGTAAAGAGGACTTTCATATATGGTTTCAGTAGTTTACCAACCACGTAAGAGATGACGGCATATAGATAACATGAGATGGATTTATGTTTCCTTGGAGCTGCAAATATAATAAATATAGTATTGTATCACCAGATTGTTGCGAGGAAAGCTCAAGAGAACAAGAAGAAAATTTGGGACCACGACAAAGTTGTTATATAATCTTTAGCCGTACCTCAAACCATTGTTTATTTTTAGTAGTTTGACCAGTTTTACTTGATGACTGATATCGTATCTGGTGTCTAGTGAGCCTTGGAAAAGGTCTTCCTGGTCTCTCACGTAGATCAACTGTCACAATGGCTCCATTTCTGAGCCCGCACTGAACAATGTTTCCCTGGGAAATAGAAGTAGAAACAACATAAAACACATGTGTCCATGAGTAATGAAGACATAATGACTTTAACTTTTCAAAAAGGAGGGTCAGACAGTAACTTGACTTCAGAGAGACCACTGAATGAACAGATACCAACTAAGAGTTGGAAACAATATTGAGCCGCTAGAAATTGATGCATCTTAGAGCTTGGAGTTAAGAAAACTTTACCGCTTGATGAAATTGTAGGGCAAGAACATCGCTTTTGCTTCGGAGAAAGTATGAACCTGCTCCTGTTTCCAAATCAACCGAAGCGGCTCCTAAGTCGGTACCTGTCATATATCAAAATCATTTAATAATTTCTATATGGTTCCTAAAATTACTGAACCAAGTCCATTTACAGAGAATGCATTGGTAATCTCTGCCTTTTCTTCTACCCTCAGTTTTCTCTCTAGGTATAACTGTAACTGTAATAAAACAAAAATCCTGGGTGACAACAATATAACACCATAAGAAAGAGATGGTACCAATAGCAGCATGACTCCCACTTATATTGCAATCAGCTGTCCAAATGGTACACTCAGAGGAAACATTCCCTTGGAGGCTTCGTGGAGTAAGTATGTTCATCTCCTCAGCAACATTTAATATAAAAATTGACCCACGACCAGTTGATCCTAGTGTAGTTATCCTGTTTTCTTGTGTCAAGATTTTACAAATGGGAGATCAAGACTGAAACTAAAAGATAACAAACATTTTAAGGATACAATGCCCGGTTTACAGGGTTGGAGTTTTCAGATGCATCATATCTTCCAATCAACTGAATAGAAGATATAGTAGATAAGGCCAGATAAGGTAGTGCAGGTCTCCATATAAACCAAGGTGCTTCCCTTTCTTCAGGATTGTTTTCTTTGCGGGGAAGAACAGAAACTGGATCACACTCGATTCCACCATCGAATACTTGTCTAGCTTTGGAAACTCTCAGTATGCTGCAAGAAAAAACTTCCAAAGCATATAGGTTGGCATGAAAAATGATTTAAACAGCTCCACTATTTCTTCAATAAGTCGAAATACATAACGTTCCATCATGAAAAAGATAAATAACCATGGCACAGTCTTGAACATTGATAAAACCGATAATTATAAGAAACTGAGTAAGACATACCTCAAGCAACCACTAGAACTGCCTGCAACTAGGATGTTCTTTCTGGTCAAGCCCACAGATGTTTGTACATCAACCTGCAACTGTTTCAGAGCAGCATCGCCTGTGTGTTTTGTGGATTCGTATCTCCATACCTAAAACATAATAAAAGTTTCACATCTCTGTCTTCTGTAACCTTAATAAGAAACAGTAGTGTTAATTTAAAGATGGTAATACCAAAGGATAAGAGGCTTGTGTCTTTTGAATCTCCTCCTTGAAGTTAGACATCTTCTTATTGACAGGAATAATATTGCCATTTAACTCTCGGGAATAAACTAGCTTCAATGCCTTTACTTTGGTTCTCTTCTGATAATTAGTTTCCTGATGGAAAATTCCCACATAAAGTTACAAAAACAGAGCATACAAGCTAACGAAGCTGGAGAACTCTCATTGATGCTACAGGATTTGACCTTTACACAAAATTCGAAAGAAGTTAAAGAGTTTTTTAAGTAACTGACCTGTTCAGGCTTTGGTTCGGGTTTTTGTTTCTTTCTTGAAGAAGAAGAAGCTTCTGCTCCAGGGATAGGGCCTTTAATGGGGAAATATCTGTTCTTCTCTTCGTCGTAATAAAACCCAGGAAGTTCTGAAAATCAAATTTATACAAAAAGAACTAAAATTAACCCAAATCAATTTCAGGTACGTAATCCAAAATAGAAGAATTGTTGAGGAAGACGACTCAAGACCTGGCTTCATATTGTCTCGGAGGCAACTCTGTTCTCTGAGTTCTTCTCAGACTCCATTAAAGGCTAACATATGCAATTTAAATATAGCTTTAGGTTTTTGTTCAAGGAAAGAAGCTTAAGAGAATTGAACCGGAAACGTGTTTTTTATTCAATTATGATTTAAAAATCGAACCGAACAAGTTATGATCCGGTTTACAATAGTTGAAACTTGAAAACAAAAAACGCTTGTTTACAAACAACTTCACATTATGTATTATGCTTTTAGTTCTTGTGCTGTAATCTCCCACTTTCAGCACCAGCAAAAGGATCGATGATAACGTTAACCACTGCGGGTTTTCTTCCGGCGAATGACTCAGCGAGAGCGGATTTAAGCTCATCGGGTGTTTCTACAATGTAACCTTTGCCTCCAAAGGCTTCAATAAGCTTGTGATAGCCTGCATTAGGAACGAACGATGTAGGTGCTGGATCTTCTTTATGAGGACCAGAGATTTCTTCAGGACTCCTTCGGTCACCACCATAGACACCACCGTTGTTGAACACTATAATCACCACAGGAAGATTGTATCTAACCAATGTCTGCAATCATCACCAAAGACAAAAGCTTATTAGTGAAAAGATTCAGACCAAAACAATATCCACATTATGCTATGTTATGTAATGTTTTACTACCTCAACTTCCATGGCGCTGAATCCAAAACCAGAGTCTCCTTCAACGGCCACGACAAGGCGATCAGGAGAAGCAACAGCAGCAGCAATACAGTAACCTAAACCAACACCCATTGTTCCCCACGTTCCTGCATCAAGCCTTGTCCTTGGTTCTTTCTGAACCAAAACCGATCTTCCTACGTCCATGGTATTAGCTCCTTCAGATACCACAACAGGACTTGGTCCTTCCACCGCCAAAATGGCGTCTCTGATTATCCTCATAGGTGTCAAGAAATTGAAAGGGACGACATCTTTAGCAAGCTGTATCTCCATTTTCTCACTGTTCTCTTTCGCCTTCTTCCAAATCGATTCCACCCATGGATTCGACTTACCGATACAAAAAGGATCGTCTTTTATCTCTCTGTTCAACAATCCAACCACAGTTTTGGCATCTCCAATAATTCCCAAGTGCGGTTTCCTAAGCTCAATCTCTTCCTCAGAGACATCCACCAATATAAATTTCACATCTTTATCCCATTTTGGCGACTCTCCGAAATGAAGAAGCCAGTTAAGCCTAGCTCCAACCACCAAAGCGACGTCGCATTTCCCAATAGCAAGCGACCTCGCCGCCGTAGCCGAGAGCTCGTGTGTGTCCGGTAACAAACCTTTACCCATCGGAGTCGGTAAAAAGGGTATTCCAGTAACTTCAACGAGCTTCTTCAGCTCATCCTCTGCTTTCGAATACGCAGCTCCTTTCCCAAACACGATCAATGGCCTCTCAGCTTTCCTCAGCAACGAAACCACCAATTCAATCTCTGATCTCCAAGTTCCCCGAATTGGTTCTTGCTTCATAGATTTCTCAATCTCAGCCACCAATTTATCAGCTTCCGATTCCGAAATCTTCTGACGCAACACATCAGACGGAAGATCCAAATAACACCCACCGGGTCGATCCGAAACAGCTCGATCCAAAACCCTAGAAACACAATTGGGGATTTCACGAACATCCTTGGCTTTCTCAGATAATTTCGAGAAAGCTTTCACAGCTTCGATCTGATCAAGCTCCTGGAAATCTCCACGACCAACATCTCTCTGATCACAAGAGCCAGAGATCATCACCATCGGCCACGTGTTCGCCCAAGCGTTGGAAAGACCCGCGAGCCCGTGAACACAACCCGGACCCGAAACCGTGAGAAGTATCCCGGGTTTGCCCGTGAGGTAACCGTAAGCGGATGCTGCGTACCCGGCGGACTGTTCGTTGTGGAAGGCGATGAAACGTATCCCGAGAGCCATGGCTCGGCTAGCTAGAGACGTGACGGGGATCCCAACGACGCCGAACATGTGGGTTACGCCGAGATGAGACAGTGACTTCGCCACGAGGACGTTGCCATCAATCGAAGGTGCTGCTGAATCATCCGCCATTCTTTTACAGATGTTGCTCAATTTTGAGTTTCTACTTTACTTTGCAGCAGTTCCGTTATATAGGCATTTGAGTTGTGTTTTACTCTCACTTGTACATGTCTAATTATGTAACAACTAATCTTGTGTTTTGCATAAATGACTTTGTATTAGCCTATTATTGACTGTGTAAGTAAGTATGAATAAATGGCATTGGATGGGATCCGATAAATGTATATTTTTGGTCATTAGCGAGTCCTCCTTACCTAATCTTCTCACTAATTTGGATTTGAATCCGAGAACTATAAAAATCTCTAAAAATTATGAGTTCAGTTTGGTTAGGTACAACTATACAAGTGATCTTGTCTAGCACTGTTTGGCTCGGTTCATATTTAAATTTAAACAGTGTTTTAGTGACATTTTTTGTCCTTTCCGAGTTGGACTAATTCTTTTTTGAGGTTTGCCACCAAAATTGTATATAGCAAAGAAAAACAAATCAAAATTGGATTTTTGCTTGGACACAGTGTGGTGGAGGGCAGGGAGGCTTCTGACCACGACAAAACTAGAGAGCCACCTCAAGATTTCTTCTTAATATCTTATGATGGCAAATTTTTTTTTTTTATAAAGCAATGTTTAAAACGTTAGTGGCCTAATCCCTCAACCGATTGAGAGCTAACAAATTATCTCTAATCTAAATGGCTCAATTATTGGATAATCTTAGAGATTATTGTAATTTTTTTTTTTGTGTACGCCTAAGTTCATATTATCATATACAGTTAATATCAAATAGAACTGGACTGAATAATATAATGAAGAAAACATAAGAGCTTTGACATAAAGAAAGAAAAAAAAAACAGCAACGTGAGGAACCATTAACAATCAAACATCTTTAATGGCACGCACGTCCTCTTTCTCAAATTTGTCCTCACGTATACATACGCTAGCTCCAGATATTCAATACCAATATCATCCGATTTGTGTTTGTTTTCTTTTGTAACAAAACATGGCGAGATCGCTCAAGAAATCAGCCAAGTTGAGTCTAAGAAGAGTGCGGATCAACTCACCTTCCATTAGGTTCAAACCGGACTCGAGTTCCATAGAGAGAGACCAAAGAATCGAGTTTCTTCCCGAAAATGTTGATGACGCCGGGTCAGGGGGAGAAGAAACCATAGAAGAGAACAATGAAAATGAAGAGGCTGAAGAGAAACAAGAAGAAGAAAAAGTCAAAGTTATAGTAGAAGACAAAGAAGCAGAAGAAAAAGAACAAGATGATGCCAAGAGCTTTAACAATGGAGGTGTAGAAGGAAAAAATGAGGCAGTGGCAGCGGTTGAAGCTGTTGAGGGGGAGGCGGAAGGCGGGAACAGAGTAATGGTGGTGGTTGATAAAGCCCTAGCTTCCACCGGAGCTTTAGAATGGGCTATTACGCATACGTTACAACCACAAGACACTCTTTTTCTGCTATACTTTGCAAAACCGTTTAGAAAAAGTTATTCTCTTTCCCTCCTCTTTTTCATTTCCTTGTTTAAGGTTTGTTTGGTTTTGGCTAATAACGTTTTTCAATCGGATTGGCTTTTAGGCAAAAGAAAAAACCGAAAACGCGAGGTCAAAACCGATGAATTGGTCCATACTTTGAAGAAACTGTGCCAAACAAAACGACCGGGGGTGAGTCACTCTTGGTATTCGATTGTTTGTTTACGTTTGTGTGTATACTTATCATAGCCACACTATATACTGTTTTGATCAGATTCTTTTTTCTAACTGCTTACGCGTATTTTTCGTCTATATGTCAGATAGAAGTGGAGATAAGGAGGTTAGAGGGTAAAGACAAAGACAAAGGACAGAAGATAGTTGAAGAAGCAAAGAAGCAACAAGTGAGCCTTTTAGTAGTTGGACAAGAGAAGAAACCACCAGTGTGGAGGCTACTGAAGAGATGGGCATGGAAGAGACGCCGTGGACATGGCGGTGTTCTCAAATACTGTCTCGAAAACGCCTCTTGCATGACAATAGCCGTTAAACCCAAGAACCGCAAGCTCGGCGGTTACTTAATCACCACCAAACGCCACAAAAACTTCTGGCTTCTGGCTTAAAATCATTGCAAGTCTTCCTTTAATTTCGTGTTTGTATCATCATAAAGCTTTTTTGAGTTTTCACCTATTTCATCTATCATAAATGAAACAAACTTGCTCCAATACACAAATAGCAAAAAGACCCTTTTTTTTAATATTGATATAACAATGTAACTGCACAAAAATTATGAACACTTTCTTCCCTATATTCAATCGGTTAATGATTCCGAGATTCTGTTAATTAACACAACACATTGGAATGTAAGTGAGACTTCTTGGTGTTTACTAACCTTTTCTTCTTTGAGCTGAGTTTTCATTGTAATAATTTCGGGTTTGGTTCAAAACTACTGAACCCAATGCTTATAAGCAATCCGTTGAAGCTGATCATATCCTGCAAGCACTCCTGCTCCTGCTACTCCAAGAAGCATGTTCGCAGTAACTCCTCTATATAGCGCGTGGAACCCTTCAGATTTCACTATCTCTCTTAAGGCATGAATGGTGTTCCGGTATTTTACAGGTTGTCCTGATGTAAGCATCATTCTCCTCCTAAGTGTGTCAAAAGGGTAAGCAATGACGCCTGCAGAGGTAGTAATGCTCCAACCCAGTAGAAAGCTAGCTAAGAAGTTTCCCTGTCACAGAATCAAAGAACCATCTTTAGCTATTTTCTGTTCCTAGTTTAAGCTCTTATAACGTCATAGATAGATGAAATTACCTCTAAGGAACCAACTAAAACAATGGGTTTGATGGTGTCATACATCCCAAAATACATTCCTCGGTAAAGAGTGATTCCCACTATTGACACGCCAAATCCACGGTAAAGGCCTTTAATGCCATCGCTTGACAAAGTTTTCTGATACACATCGATCATCCCTTTAAACTGTCTCTTGCCATTAGCTGAACATTCCTTTGCATCAGTACCTAACCGGGTCCTCGCGTAATCAAGATGGTACAAAAACAAGGAAGTTGTTGCTCCAGCAGCGCTTCCGGAGGCTACATTTCCAGCAAACCACTTCAAGTAACCATCTTTCTCTTTAGAACAACCGAGAACGCTCTTGAAGTAACCTTTAAATGCAAAGTTGGAAGCCTAAGAGCAATTAAATTAAGTGACAATAAGAATCTAACACAAACGCCACTCAGTATAATGATGAGCACTCTGATCGAGTTAGTGTTCTTGGAAAGTACCTGTGTAGGGAAATATCGAATGACATTGGCTTGATTACCTCTCCAAAAGGATAAAACACCTTCTTCTCTGAAGATTCTGCCAAAGCAATTACCCAAACCAGTATAAGGTCTTATGAGATGTCCTGTCTTAATCATCTCCCCTTGATTCTGCAGTAAAAGCTTGACCCTTTCGATTGGAGCAGCTGCGGATTTAGCAACAATGGCTGCAGCACCTCCCATCACGAAGTCAGCAGAGAATCTCTCGGATTTTCCGACCAAAGCCATCCCTCTTTTCCCTACCTAATTCAATACCAAACGCATCAGAAAATGTACTTTACCTATAAATTGGCTGTCACAGCCAACAGTTTCTTCGGGGTTCATATCCAAAAACTAAAAACCCCCAAAAAGGGTCAAAATTTTCAAATTTTACAATACAAGGTGTTCAGGAATCAAACAACGAATCAAAAAGAACAAGAACTGATAAATATTGAAGTGAAAAACCTGGAGATTGTTGTTATATGGTTTCGCCGCAGAGAGATGAACTCGGCGGCGAAAGATTGATTTCCAGGTCCAGGAGGGAGAAGAGAGAAGCAAACGATTTCCTTTTTTTCTTCTTTGTTATTCGCTTTGACAACCCAATAAAATAGAAAAAGAGAAAGATAATCATTTTCTGTGAAATTGGGAAGCTGGAGGTGGAGAACAGAGCAGGAGGGAAAAAAAAGATGGATTTTTTTCTTCTTCTTTTTTTTTTTTTTTTTGTCCTTTTTCATTGTAATCCCTTTAATTATCAAATATAGAGATATTCTATATTTGCAAAATGAAAATTTTGAAAAAAGTAAACAAAAACAAAGTTGAGTTTGCCCCTGGAAATTTCGTACACTCAGACAGAGACACAGTTCCTAATGTTGACACAGGTCCACATTTCCAATTCTAACACTTAAAAATTCAAAGGGTATAACTTAGAAACCACTCTGTTTTCATTGTCTTAAAACTAAATAGCATATTCTCAACACAATTTCCATAAAAATGGGAAAATAAAAACAGAGGTCTCATGCATCACTTAGCCGCTCTCCCATCTGGAATCGAGAATAAGACAATGGGCTTTGAAGATTTGACAAAAGGAACGTCACATCTGAAATAGCCTTTTCTCTCAAGCTGAATCACGTCTCCACATTTCAGGTTCCTCATATTCGAATCACCAAGTGCCAATGTTTCCTTCTTTGTGTTAGGATTCACAAAATCGGCAACTTCATCATCATCTTCCAGCTTCTTCTTCGTGATTAGATAATCAAACTCAGTTAATGTGAGATTGACCAATTCATTTATCTCAGGAAGCCATGTGAGCTTCAGCTTTGTAGTCTTTACTGAACCTTGGAGATTCAGAACCCCAGACAACGCAGTGACACGCCCCTCCTCATCCTTTGTGACTTGCTTTACTATGGCATTTCCCCAATCCATCAAAGTTACTTCCTCATCAACGGATATGGCACTCGCATCAGCTTCCTCGATCCAAATGCTCTTAGTGAAAGTGGTCGTCTTTTCTCCAGCACCTTCAAATTTCTTGTGCTTTGGTATCAGGCGAACAAACGGTTCATCAGGACCATTCGTTAAGGTCAACAGTACGCGCCTCTCTGCAATCACAGCCGTGTGTCTAGGACACACAGGATCAATTATTCTCTTATTAATTGACCAAAGTTTGTCCCATTCCATCAAATTTAGATTCTTCGAAGCCCCCTGGAAACAAAAACCAATCAACACAAGTATTATTACAGAACATTCGAACGATACGAGCGATAACAAAACACAAAGGTTTACCTGCTCGAGAATGAATTGAATTAGAGCCTCAATTTTCAATCCTCTACGAACAATTCCTTGGACTGTTGGGAAG